AGCCAGCACCACGAGAATTTCATCACAGTCCCAGCTTCACCGCTGGTCTCTTCTCCAACTCCGACATGTATCGGCGCTCACCCGGTCATCGCGCCAACGAAGAAATCTGGCACGCAAGAATGGGACACCCAAGCAACACTGTGTTAAACAACACGATTCGAGCAGGAGTACTCGACAAGGACTCTTTACTTTTAACAGACGGACGAGAACTTCAACGAGCACGAGGGACATGCTTCACCTGTCCTGAAGCTGACTTACCGCATCAACCCTTCGTCTCGCATCACAATCCAAGCGCACCCGCATATGCACCACTCGAGAAAGTGTACAGCGACATCCTGTACAACCGCGAACCCGGACAAAACGCGTATAACTACACCATCACCTTCATCGACGCCGCCACACGTTACGTCTGGCACCTAAACTTACCAAGTCGCGACATGGCTTTCGAAGCTTTCATGGCATGGCTTCCAGCAGCAGAACGGGAATCGGGAGCTAAACTCAAAAGTTTTCAATCAGACGGAGGAGGAGAATACTCGTCACAACGATTCAAGCAGTACCTGGCGGAGAAGGGAATCAAGAGACTCATCTCCCTTCCCTACGCCCATCAACAGCAGGGTGTAGCAGAAAGGATGAACAGGACCCTGCAGAACACCATGCGCAAACTGTTACGTGGCATGCGGCTACCCAACCACCAGTGGCCCGAAGCAATGGACCACGCCGTGATGCTGCACAATTTGCTTTCTTCGTCGTCACTCCCGAACAACACATCACCGCATCTGCTGTGGACAGGGAAACTGGGCAGCACAAAAATGTTACGAGTCTTCGGCTGCATGGTACAGTACCGACCCCCATCTGCACGAGCCGGCCGATTCTCCCAACGCGCACAGTGGGGACTACACCTGGGCATCGAAAAACATTACAACGCATGGAAGATCTTCGATATCAACAGCAAGGAAACAGTAGCAGCACGTGATGTGATCTTCTACGAGCGGCTCACACTGCCAACATACCTTGCCAACCTGGACGAAAATCGAGACCCCACAGGTGGCTTCCGTGGCGATCGAGCCTTCGCTTCGGCAGAAGACGAAGCTGACTGGGACGAGCAGAACGTGGAAGGAGCCTCGGAAGAAGCCGGACCTCTTCCCTACTGCTCAGTGGACGTACCGATGGACAAAGATAACCCTCGCGAAAGCGTCAACGCCGAAACCTACTACCACTTCGCCGACAACGGTTACGTTACACCTGCTGAAGTCAACACCAACGAAGCAGAACGCATAGGGCCCAACTTCGCACCTGATCCAGAAGCTGGAGACGAGGCAGTCTTGTCAGAATCCCAGCCACTAACCACTGGGATAAAAGGGCTTGTTTGTGTAGCGGGTGAGTGCGCCCATAACCCCCCAGGCCGCCGTGCCTGTAACCCTTCCCTATGATCAATCGGGGATCACCAGTGGACCTCTGACACCCCCCCGCACTGGGATGCCCGAGGTGCACACACCGGGATTCGAACCCGAGACCTTCGCTCTGATACCATGTCAGAATCCCAGCCACTAACCACTGGGATAAAAGGGCTTGTTTGTGTAGCGGGTGAGTGCGCCCATAACCCCCCAGGCCGCCGTGCCTGTAACCCTTCCCTATGATCAATCGGGGATCACCAGTGGACCTCTGACAAGTCTATCCCGAGGACACCACACTTCCCCGCTACACACAGAGCGGACTCCAAATCCTTGGGCTCGTCACCGCGGTCCACGGCGCTGACATTCCTAAGGAGCCTGCAACGGTTCAGCAGGCTCTGGGGGGGGAGCATAAAGAAAAATGGCGCGAAGCCATGGACAAGGAACTGAAGGCATTAGAGGAGCACAACGCCTGGAAAGTCGTTCCCATCGGCGTAGCGCGAAACAAGACCATTCTTACTAGGAAATGGGTCTTCCGTGTGAAGACCAAGGCCGACGGCACCGTCGACAAGTTCAAAGCACGTTGGGTCGTTCGCGGCTTCGACCAGGAACATGGACGAGACTTCACTGAAACCTTCGCTCCGGTCAGCCGCCACACTTCACTTCGAATTCTTCTCGCCATCGCCGCTATGAAGAAGAAGAAACTGCGCCAAATCGACGTCGCGAACGCATTTCTCTACGCACCGGTCGATGCAGAGATTTTCGTGGAACTACCGCACGGCTCTAATACAAATTCCACGCACGTCTGCCAGCTACTAAAATCGCTCTACGGGATCAAACAGGCGCCGCGACTGTGGCAACAGTACCTGCATGCTCGCCTCATCCGCATCGGCTTCAAACAACTCCCGCACGATCAGGGCATGTACCGCCTCACGAAGAGCACTGACTACATTCTTCTAATCGTCTATGTGGACGATCTCCTCTACATCGGTTCTACCGACGGCATCACCACCTGGTTCGAAGGGGAGCTGCAGAAGGACCTCACCCTCACTGTCTTATCTACCGTCACACAGTACCTCGGACTTAACATTCGAGAAGATAACAACGCGATCTACCTCAGCGCCGAGAAGTACGCCGACACCATCGCCAAAAGATTCAGTATTACGCCAGCCGCGATCTCAACACCATACCGCTACACGACAGGAACCGACAAGGAATCTGCTGTACTTAAGCCCGCCGGCATACGCGACTATCAGAGGAAGCTAGGTTGCCTTCTCTTCGCAGCCGTCACCTGCCGACCCGACCTATCCTACTCCGCAAGCCAGCTCGCCACTTATCTCAAGAAGCCTGAAGCAGAACACCTGGCGGAACTTGACCGCGCTCTTCACTACTTCATCAGCACCGCGACGATCGGCCTAACTTATCATAAGAACGCAGCTACACCGACCAAGTTAATCGGCTACGTCGATGCCGATCATGCCGGTGACACCGACAACAGGCGCTCACGCACCGGCTACGTCTACCGCCTCGAGCCTATCGGTCCTATCTCCTGGCAGTCAAGCAAGCAGGAGTTAATCGCGCTATCCTCAGCTGAAGCAGAATATATCGCACTCTGCTCAGCCACCAAAGAAGGACTCTATCTTCGCGAGCTGCTGGAAGAAGCGAAGTTAGCTGAGTTACCCAACTTTAACGTGTTCTGCGACAACCAGTCAGCAATTCGCATCGCCAACAAGAACGGCTTCGCGAACAGGACGAAACATATTGCCCTACGTTACTTCTTCGTGAAGGACGAGATCGAGAAGGGGAGACTCGAGCTGTCATACTGCCCCACATCCGAGATGGCAGCTGACTACTTGACCAAGAAACTCGGAAAGCAAAAGTTCGAGTATTGCATGCTGCTGACTGGACAAAGCCACGTCACCAGCAGCGACACTCCAGAAGCGAGGGGGAGTGTTGGAGCGCTTCAGTCGTGTCGAAAACACCGCATCAGAAGCGAGGCAAACTACACCGAAGCACCCGCGAGTCAACCCTCGGAGGTTGAAAGAGGTTGCTGGAGGTTACGCAAAAGTCAAAGGTCAGCGACCTTTGACCCGACAAGTACAGCGCGACAGTTAAGGACATACAACTGACTCGTTACAGAGCAGTTGCCCGAGTCGTACTGTATCGAACCGCAACAGCAACAGCAAAAGCAGTTATAACTGTATCCCTTGATATTTCCTACATTATTATATATTATTGTACTCTCTTGTTATAATCAATCTACTTTGCCCTCACATACTAGCGCAAGGTGGTTCACAATTTCTTCACTGAAAGCTTCCGCTATTACAATTGTCCTATCCAGAGTTCTCCCCTGAAAAGATCCTAAGGGGCTATCTCAGCCCAACAATAAGAAGCCATAGTTCACTTATTTTTTCTCCCTGTTCAATTGATACTGGAACTTGTTAATATATATACCGAGATAAACCTATGACAAAACAATTTTCCACCAAGAAAAAACAGAAGAACTCTATAACACGCTTTGTAATAAGCAAATTTCTGCAGAGGTATGAAATCACACATTCTTAGTTGGAAAGTTATATGTCTGAATAATAAGGAATGGGTGAAGTTGACGCTGAAGTGTTATCTGTAATGTTATTTTGTCAAAAAGCTTGTCTTTGGGCGCCTTTTTCGAGCTACAAGCGTCAAAAGGGCCAATCGGTGAGGGTCTCGTTTTTTTTGGACCTATGGGCTGTGTTACACTTGGCTTCGATTGGAAGAAAACATTGATGCTTTCTGATTTGGGGTGACGTGTACACTACATTGCACCGCTGTCCCTGAAATTGTGATTCAGGAAGTGTGAATCCGCCAACTTGCTTATGACGAAGGGTGACGTGTGCTGCCATCTGTTTATCGCATGCCTTTCCATCGCAACTGTGCGAGGCTTCAATATCGTGAAACTTCCTGGCTCCAGCTGCTGTGTTCCCACAGTGGTTGCACACAAGGCAGGATTTTCGACATGCCGAAGGGCAGGACTGTTGCCCTTATCCAGGCTGGCGTTACTGGTTTGTCAGCTTGCATCTTCACTTGAAACCACTTCGCCAGTACGTCGCAGCCATTCATCGCCGTCGTTAACATTTCGGGGACGAGAGTTGCAAATTCGCTAGGATGCAAACTGATGTTGCGTGCTGTACCATCCACCGCGTGAATCCAATTCCGATGTGCAGTGACAGCTTAGGCGGTTCGGCTTCCACTGTCTGCATGTCCTGTGTGGGGAGGAGGGAGAATTGGATGGGAAGTTGGGAACACAACATTCAAATCTCAAGGGATACCAAATTTCAATTGCTGGACCTGCTTCGTATTTAGCCTCACTTCAGTGTCTCTGTCCTGGTCAGCCGAGTGTAGGTCGGCGCTCCGCCGTGATTGAGGTGAAGAGCATCACCCTAAACCCTTAGTGCACAAGCACTACGCCATGGCACTGCATTCCGCAGTTTTTTAACCCAGCAGCCAAGCTAGACACGCTGCATTGCCACTTTACACGTGACGTCCCCCATTCGCACTGTCGAATTTCCCAATTTTTGTTGAACTAAGCCCAAACAAACCCAACTGTACTCCCGTTCAGCTTCAAAATCCATGGCGAGCAAGATCTGCACCGTGAGAGCATCCGATCCGTCCATCGAGCAGCGATTCAACATGCTCGATGGCCTGGGGATGGCCGCGGAACTACTCGGCGGAGGAAAGCCGGCGCCAGGCGGGAGAAAAAGCGCAGATGCAGCGGATAGAGCTTTTCGCGGCGCCCCGCGCGGCGCGATATGCGGCGGCATTCAACCAGGCGTCATTCTCAGCGGAGCTGGTACCATCGCCTGGGAAACCTGCGGCGCGGTGAACAATATAAGTGGCCTGCGGTCGGCATTGGAAGCGGTGGTGGAGGAGAGCGGATGGGAGACCGACAGCTCGTTTGGGTCGACTCAGAAGTCGGTCGACAGCTCCGCCGCGTCGCACGGATGGGAGGAGCTGGAGCGATCGTGCGCCGCCATGGATTCGAACAACGTGCCGATCGACTGCATTGACCTCACGAACATGTTGGAAGAAGGCGTCGCGCCCGACAGCGATAATGCTAGTATCGAGGACGACAAAAACGAGGATAGAGACGGAAGCGATGATTCAACGAACGCCGACGAACGCACCCCCCATTTCTCAGCCGACGCCCCCGCTTCCCGCCCCGCCGCCCGCCCCGCCTCCCGCCTGAACCACACTTTCTCCCCCATCAATCGCCCAGACGTGGCAGCAGCGGTGGAGACTCCTCCGCCGAATCTGCACCGGCGCAGTTCTCTCTCCAGCGCGCCCGACTCGGTCCGCCTCGGAAACGCCAATGAAAGCAACCACGCGGACAGAGCGGCGGCGCGGGATAGCCACGGCGGAAAATACGCCTACAGCGGAAAGTATTACAGCGGAAGCCGCAGCCAAGCTCATTACTACTCTGATAGCTCGCCTCGACTTAAGGGGAGCCCTGCCCGATGCAGCTCTGAAGAATACGCCCCCCACAGCGGACCCCTCAGCGGCGGCGCTCACAGCGGAAGCCTCCTTTGCGACGGCCCCCCGAGCGAAAGCCCTCACAGCGGGCCATTGCGGCACGGATTTGGGTCGACGAGCAGCCTGAACAGCAGCCACAGCGGGAGCCCCCACCGCAGCCGTCCCCACGGCGGAAGCCCCGTTTGCGGCGCTCCCCAGAGCGGCCAACACAGCGGCCCCTTGCGGCACGGGTTCGGGTCGACGAACAGCCTGAACAGCAGCCACAGCGGGAGCATGGAGCTCGGCAGCAGCTACGGAAGCAGCTTCGGCGGAAGCAGCCTCGGCGCGAGGAGCCTCAGCGGAAGCAGCAGTGACCTCAGCAGCGGCAGTTGCGGCACTGGTTATGGGGGGGCTGAGTTTAAGCCGTCGCCTTGCCACGTGCTCCTGCGGCAGAGTAGTGCGGGAGACGTGTCACCTCTCGTGTCACCTCTTGTGTCATGCACGCCTAGTGTGACTGTCGCATCTGCAGCAGCGCGCCTCCGTCCCACCAGCAGTGGGGAAACCGGTGCAACTGGGGAAGGTAGACCTGTTCAGGCTGGTCTAAATAAAGGGGCAACTGTTGCTCCTCCGTCCCAGCAGCGCCCGTCCGTCCCAGCAGCAGTGGGGAATCCGGCTGCTGCTGGCATTTGCAAACCCGGTGGGGTGACAGTGTTGGTAAAGAACGGGGCTAACCCCGCTGCTATAGAGGCTTATTTCAAGCTGAAGGCTCAAAGAGGAAGATAGCATGTGCTGGTTTGTCGTAGGAGCTACACTGGTTTGTGTGCTGTTCTATACATGTTTGTCTGTGTGAAGGTACATGTGTGTACGGTAGTTCAAGGAGAGTGTTTCTGTACATACCGTGGAGTGTTGATGCAAAACAACAGAGCAAGCAGGAGCGCTTTTTGCTGTGTTGAGACTGGGTTGTACTGTGCGTCCTGTAATGCACCCATGAGTCTGTGTTCATGTTGGTTCGTTGCACAGTACAGTAAATATTTACACATCTTCTCGGATGGGCTGTCACTGACCGGGGTTTGCCATAACTGGGCGCATACTAGTATTTTATCTTACATTACACATACTGGTAACTACCAGATACAACTCTTTAGTGCCCCATGTAGATTATTGCACACCAGAACAGTAGGAATACTCCACTGTCATGAATCCAGCTTGCCATATTCAGCCAATAACTCATGCAGGGTGTGTGAGGGTGAGCTCCCCTCCCCTACCTTCGCCCTGCTCGCTGGGATTTCATCTTCAAATAAGCCTCCACAGCAGCGGGATTAGCTCCAGCTCTCACCCTCAGCTTCGTTTGAGCTCCTTTAGCCGAACCATCAACAGACGCCCACGCACACCCACCACCACCTTCCTTCAACGGAGGCTCTTCAGACCTTTCTTTCTCCTGCACCACCACCGCCCCTTTTCCCATGCTTTCCAAACCGTTGCCCGTACTGCTGCTCGCCTCCTGCCCATTCCTCTTGATCTGACTGATAGAACCTGGCGGCGCCTGCCCTGGTTGTAAAACGTATCTGAAAATTGTTTTCGGGCTGCCCGTGTTGCTCCGGTTGTGACGAGCAGCAGAGGAATTGGAGATCGCAGTCAAGCTGGAATGGCGAGGAATCATGGTGCCGGGATCTGCTGAGTCAGGGGATGCTCCAGACAGGGATCTTGATGACACTGTAGGCGACGATCCATGCGACGATCCAGTTGCTGTGACTCCAGCTGCGTTGAACGCGTCCGAACAAGAATCCTGCTGAGTCAGGTGCAATAAGCTCGAAAACACCACTCCTGGGACAAGTTTTTGCGCTGGAAAAGCACCACCATTCGCAGGAGTCACGGCAGTCGCAGGAGTCGCAATGCTCGAACTTCCGTCGCTGCATGTGGAGCCGAACGAGCTCCCACCACTCTGCATGCCGTATTTGCTCTGTCCAGATGACGCCGAGGAGGCAACCGCGGAGTCGCTTCGCGACGAATGCATCGTTTCGCTTCCAAGTTGGCTGTGAGGATTCTCCGAAATGCTCTGAGAGGAATGCAGCACGTGCGGTTGGATGAGAGACGGACTCCCCAGGAACCCCGAGTTCGGAGGAGTGACGTCAACTTGAAGCCGACTCGGGGTGCTGTTTCGCGCCCCGCCGCCCGCCGCGTGAAGCGGGGAATGGTACGAAAAGACGCTTCGAGCCGTCGACGAGGCGGCTGCATTTCTGGCCGTGGGCGATGATGCTGCTGCCGCCGCCGATGCTGCTGCGGCGGCTGCGGCCGCGTCACTGGTGGTACTACCACGATGATCGCGACTCGCGACCGTCGGACGGTCCAGCGTGAAACTCCGTCGAGGCTTCGAGTCGCTCCGAGTAGGAGTGCCGAAATGGAGAGAATCGTCGTCGCCATCGTCGTATGATGGAGAGTAAGTCACCGAAGTGATGGGGACCACTGAAGCTGGACTAGACACGGTCGCGGCTCGGGACATGATTGCGGTGGCGTTTCTGGGGCCGCTGCTGCCGGCGCGGCTCGCAAAATAGCCGTCTGCGCTCGCGACGTCGTCGTTTGCGCCGTCGATTTCCAGATCTTCGAGGAGCGAGGTGAGATCTATGCCGTCGATTCTGGCATTGGAGAAGTCCATAGCTTGGCATCTCTTCTCAAGGTCTGCATTGATGGGGGGAAGAAACTTCTGTTAGGATATGTCGCAAGGCAATCCGAGAATGTGAGCAGCAGGGAGGTGACAGACAGACACTCGAATAGCTGACATCATGTCAGATGTATGATACATCCATGTCAGAGCCCAAAAGTCTACGACAAAATAAAAAATTTGAAGACTTAAGGATAATGTTGCTAACACAAACGGAACCGATGTGCTCACCTTCCCAGGTGCGAGCGTTTGATTCCTTCTGCGAATAGCCTCTGTTAAGTAAGCCGCAATTCCCGGACGCATGGTTCACCATGGCGGAACTCATGATCGCGGCGCGTATACCCTCTGAGCGCTTCGTGCACTCACTACAAGGAGAGCGCTTAGAGAAGTTCAGAGTGAACAAATCGGCGGCCTGGAGAATGACAAATGGTTTCGGGAAATGTGAATCAACATAAGCAGGAAACGGTTCCTTATTTGTTTAGCGCCCCAAGGCTGTGACGAAAGGTCGAAATTCAGTTTGTTCTGTGCAACACTCCTAGAAAACGGTTCAAAACGGCATGTGGGTTTTTACATCGGTAATTCTGGTTGCAGAATCGTGAAGTGCCTCCTCCAGCCTTGGAATGAAATTGGTTGGATTGCGAGAAGTCCAACTCAGGCGTGCACAGAGGCCGCTACTGTGAGTGAAGCATCTACACTATACCGTTCTGGAAACGTCGGCACCGATTTTCACCGCCTCAAAAGCCACTCTCGAAGCCAATTGCACAAGCACAATGATCGAAGGCAGGCGCCACAAGAACGAGGAAATGGGATATTCCATTCCATTTCGTGATCAAACCACTGGACAGGTGGTGTCCCCTTCTCCGAGCGTCAAGTTGCATCCAGTGGTGGTGGTGAGGTGAACCGAAGACTGATACTCACATGGAAACACCACAGTGACCCACCACAGTGAACGCAGAGGTTTCGGGTCGGGTCGGGTCACGGTCATGTCCTCTCGCGCGTCGTCTCGTCACCTGTGACGGCCTTGCTCTACACTTGATCTGGCGTTGCCATGTCGGAAATTACACCCTCTCACTTTTCACCCAGAAAACGGAGAGCTTCCAGACCAGAACTTTACCGGAAGCATTTTTTTGGACCACTGTGCCCATTTCCGGCAACCATTTCTAAATATGAAATGTGTGCAACATACACCTGATGCCCTTTTCGATTATTCATTCATCGGGATTACCGTACCATTCGACACGCTGCTATCAGGGCTTAAAAAGGCTTCCGGATCATCAACAGGTTATAATATTTGGGTAATTTAACGTGTTTTGCATTACTGGATTGAAAGCCTTACACGTGATCAAGAAGAAAAGTGTTTGGGATGGGCTTGTGGCGATTGAGCCGTTGCCAGTAAACTTAAACCGTCGCTCTTGTCCACCACCAGAAACTGTGTTCAGTGTAACCTACAGTTAAACAGTGCCCGAAGCGTGACACCTAGGAAGCAACTCATGAAACTTCGTCAGTCAAGCTCACGTTTTTGTGGCGAATGCTGCTGTACCAAGCAGCCAAACCACACTTGGCTCTAAACGCGCCAATAAATGATCTCCTAGGAACACCAATGGCGACATGCCAAGTTCATCGCGTTTTTGTGTGTTGTGGATGGTCTTGTCTGGTCTAGTAAGGAAGACATTGCTGGCGAAGCAGGAAAAACTGGTTGGTGCAGCTCACTTTTGACCTGAATACAATCAATACCCATTACAAGAACACCCGGTAGCCGGGCGACATATGCGTGAAACGAGTTTTAGCATTTCGCTTACTCGTGCGTACTTTCGCACTCGTCGTCACGGGAAAAACTAGGATTGTAAAATAAAAGTGGAAGTAAGATAGAATATGGGTGTTTAATTTTGTAACCAGGCCAACATTCTGATGACGTGTGTTATTTGTTGTTTATGAACGGTAGATGTTAACTTCCTCATTTTGATGACTGTACTCCAAAATTTTGCACGATGCTAAATTTATTCACCCCACGGGCAAAAACGTTCGCGAGTGAGTAAATTTCCAATTGTGATAATCAAATGTTTTGACAGCCCATGTTTTCTGGTGTCTTGATCGTGCACGCGTTCAAAGTGTGGCGATGCTACCTCACCGGAGCCAACGTGAGAGTACGGACAGACCACAGATTACTACAGTACCGTACCTTCGCGCCCAACAGAACCTTAATCCGCGATATATTTGCTGGTTGGACTATATAGAGTTCAACTTCCACTGCACAGTCACGTACAAAAAGGGAGCACCGAATATCGCCGACGCACTCACTCGCCCCACTGCCCAACTTTCGCCATCCTACTCACCCAAGCGAACACCGTTTTAATAGGCCTATTCACCCATGGATACCGCACCAACCCATTCTTCACGACCGGGAATTCCCAGCAACTGACAAAATCAAAGGGAGTTTATTACGTAAATGCCTGTACCAATCACATTTGGGTACCAGCGTAATCACTACTACAGAGGAAGTGGAGCGCGCAGTCAAGCTGGAATGGCGAGGAATCATGGTGGCGGGATCTGGGGAGTATGGGGAGGCCCCAGACAGGGATCTTGATGACACTACAGATGACGATTCATACGATGATCCAGGTGACGATCTGGACGCATTGAATCCGGCTGTGTTGGGAGCTTCTAAAGCGGCGCCCTGATGAGGAGGCAGGTGCATCGGGCTTGAAAACACCATTCGTGCTAGAAACTTCTGCGCTGGGAAAACACTAGAAGACGCAGCAGCTGTCGCCGCAGTCGCAGCAATCGCTGCAGTCGCAGAAGCTGTCGCAATGGTGAAACTCCTATGGCTGCACGTTAAACCGAACGAGCTCTAACCACTCTGCATTGCGTATTTACTCCTCCCGTACGACGCCGAGGAGGAAACCGCAGAGTCGCTTTGCGACGAATGCATCTGCAGCGGGGGTGTGGGGATATTTTCAAAAGCGCTTTGAGAGGAATGCGGCAGCTGCGACAGAGTGAAAGTGTGCACATCCACAATTCTTTGGAAGAATCCGGAGTTCGGAGGAGTGATGTCAACTGAAAGCTGGTTGGGCGTAGTGCTGTGTCGCGCTCCGCCGCCGCCCACCACGTGAAGAGGGGAATGGTATGGAAAGAAGCTCCGAGTCGTCAACGCGGCGGAATTTTTGTTTGCGGGCAATGACGCAGCTGTAGTCGCAGAGTTCTCTTAACTGCGACGGCTTTCCAGCGTGAAACTTCGTCGTCGAGACTTCGAGTCGCTCCCGGTCGAAGTGTCGAAGTGGGGGGAATCGTCGCCGCTGTCGTGGGCTAGTGGAGTATAAGTTACTGACGTATGACCCACCTGGGAGGATTTCCAGATCTTCGAGGAGCGAGGTGAGATCTATGCCGTCGATTCTGGCATTGGATGAGTCCATGGCTTGGCATCTCTTCTCAAGGTCTGCATTGATGGGGGGAGGAATGTCAAGAAAATATTGTTTCTGGTTAATAACACAACAAGGTCACACAACAAGAATGTAAATCCAGTTGCGTACGAGACAGCGCCGCTGCACAAGCTCGAACGCGTATATTGTAGCAAATGCGAATAGGAGAACATGCGATTAGGTCCACACCGTGACGAGTTGCGCTCACCTTCCCAAGTCTGAGCGTTTGCTTCCTTCTGCGAAAAGCTTCTGCTCAGTAACAAACTGTGATTTCCATACTCATGGTTTACTATGGCGGAACTCATAGTCGCAGCGCGTATACTCTCTATGCGCTTGGTGCTTAAGCTTCAGCCGAAGCGTTAGTGCAACGCGAGTGACGATCGTGTGATTCTATACTAGAATTTCTAGTGGCGCTGTTGCGATCACAAATGCGATGAATGGAACCAGCAAGGGCTTTAGTCTCCTAAAGGCATGACGAAAGGTTGACCTGAACAACCTTCATTCAGTGTGGTTGACCGCGGATCTGTATATTAACGATCGAATTGGCGTGGTTCTATTCTCTTTTTTATTTGTGGGCGAATCTGGTTTGAATTTTTGGGATGAATTGGTTGGAGTTTTGAAAGGAAGTGGGAATCCTAGTTGAACAAGGGAAACCCCATTGCACCGAAGTTCCACCTTGACGCGAAGCGTGGACGACTGAATTGAAGCGACAAACGAAACAAAGGAGGAAAGGCCTAGAAGTTGCAAGGTTTCCTGTCCACCATTCAACCACTGGACGGATGGCGCCCCTACGTTCAAGTCAAGTGTCAAGTTGCAGTCGAGTTTGTAGTTTTGGTGGGCTCTCAGCCCAAAGAAATGTCCTCACTGATTTAACTTCAATTGCGAAGCTGCGATTTCAAACAACTGCAATTTCGTCACTGCGTCTAACTAGGCATACAGTTAACAAGTTTTCTGGTCAAGTCGTCTCACCGACCGCCACTACACCTGGTTCTCGATAATTCCACACCCCCTACCCTCTGTTTTATAGATACCCCAAACCTATTCTGGCTCGAAACGACGGACATCCAAAACTTCGGGGACTACCAATCGACATCACCCAGGTGAAGCATCTGAAAACTTGTGCAATGTATTTCGAGTGAGGATGGAGGGGGGGTGAGGTGCCCTGGGGTTCTTATTGTTTTCCGCAATTCGCGACAGGGGTGCGAGGAAGTCCCCCAGATAATTCGACATACGCCGTGAACTACCCTGCGAAAATGTTGCACTCAGGGTATGTACCTATAGGGTATGGCTTAGGGGGTGAGCAATTATCGAGAAAGAGGTGTACGTTCTTGACGTGTACAGTAACTCCCATGCTGGTCTTGATGAGATTCTTCGTTTGGGCTTGCCATCGAACCTCTGAAGATCATGCAGACGAGGGAGCATTTCTTCACCACACACACATGTGTGCGGGTGACGTGGATTTGGGGGACAAAAAAATCCCCTTTCTGGTCTGGAGGTCTACCTGTACTGTACCGTGTGCCCATTAGCGGTAAACATTTCTAAATCTAGCGGGCACTGCATGAACCAGGAGGAACTGAACTGTATACAGTAGAAGCAATCCGTCGGGTAGGCGCCGCCACCCAAAGAACCCCTCTTGTCATTCGCGCTTTATCGTTGTGGCTGCGATCAAACGACCAATACAACCACGACAACACACTTTCGAAGTGTAAATGCATCATTAAATGCCCCCCCTCGGCGCACCAATGACGACGACCTGCCAAGCTCACCCGACCGACTGTGCGTGGGTCGGCTTGTCGTCTCTCGTCATGTCCAGTCTCGTGGAAAACACTACAGTACACTGTAGTTGCTTGCTGCCGAAGAAAGGAGGGTAGCTGGTGCAACACGCAATTGACCGGAATAGCTACACGTAGAAGCTTCTTGCATCTCTAGAAGCTTCTTGCATCTCTACATCTCATTAGCAAGAAGGACTAATGCACTTAATTGACATGTGCAAGAAACGTACCTCATATTGCATCATGGCTGGCAAAAGTTAGTGCTTCACATCCCAGCAGTTAATAATTGTCTGCATTGCCTACGAATAAGTGCACACGCACACGCGCACACGCACACACACGCACGCACACACAAACGCGTGCGCGCGCGCACACGCACGCACGCACACACACACACACATACACACACACACACGCGCGCGCACACACACACACGCACACACACACGCACTCAACCCTCCCCACACACACCTAACACGCACACGCATACATTTACGCACTTGAGCGACTCGGTTTTTTGCGTTTGTGACGCGTCTTGTCTTGTCCATACCCTCAATACGGTTCCGGTATGACGTGAAATGGATTAGATAACCACTACTTGTTGACAAGCAACCAAATGCCTTTATCGCATGAAAGCAATCACATGTCCACCTTATTCCTTTGTTGCAATTGCACTAGAGTGGCATAAGCACCATTAGATACACCTATGAGCTCCATATGAGTGCCCTGCTCCACTAGCCTCCCACCCTGCCACACGCGGGATTAGCATAGTAAAGAGACACACTACATTTTAAACACGCAAACATTAACCAAGAGTGCAGAAAGGCACGATACGGTGCCAGATGAACAAACCCTCCCCCCTTACTCCCCCACCCACCCACCCACCCTCCCCACCCACTCCTTTCCCCCACCCATACCACAGCAATGCAGTCCACATGGCAGGTGGTGGAGAGGTGAGAGTCACTCAGACACTTAACCATACCACACACCCTGTTACTCTGTTACACAACACAATTACACACTTCTTCCCATCCCGCCTCCCCCTCCCCCTCTCACCTGCAGCACAGCAGTGCAGTCCGCGTGGCAGATTGTGGAGAGGCGGTGTGCCACACACTTCATATCTCTGCTACTCAGCCCAGCACACCCCCCTCTCCCCAACCCCACATCCCCGCCTCTCACCTGCAGCACAGCAATGCAGTCCGCGTGGCAGATTGTGGAGAGGCGGTGTGCCACGACAATCGTTGTGCGGCCAATCATGATGCGGTTCAGCGCTGACTGGACCGCCACCTCAGACTCTGCATCCAGTGCTGACGTGGCCTGCAGGGGAGGGAGAACCATGCATAGAGCAGAAGCTTGAAGCAGCGAAGGATGTGTGAGTGAGTGACGGGGTGACTGCCTGCGAGCAAGTGAGTGAGCGAGTGAGTGAGCGAGTGGGTGAGCGAGTGGGTGAGCGAGTGGGTGAGCGAGTGGGTGAGCGAGTGGGTGAGCGAGGTGCGAGAGAGTGAGTGATGGGAGGAGCGGGTGAATCAGTGAACGACTGGGAAAGCATACAACTGGGACAAGATCCATCAGCATGACCATCAGCATCAGCATCAGCATCAGCATGACCATTATCCAGCAGCACCACCGGGTCTTTCAGGATAGCTCGGTCACCGGTGATGCGCTGCTTATAAGATTGTATGAACATTCCACCCATCACCACCCATCACCACCCATCACCACCCATCACATTCTTGTACCATACCTCATCCAGCAGCAGCACCACCGGGTCTTTCAGGATGGCACGGGCGATGGCGATGCGCTGCTTCTGCCCTCCTGACAGCTGCACGCCCCTCTCCCCCACCTGCAGGGAAAAAGGGAGGCAGGACAGGAAAAGGGAGGCAGGACAGGAAAAGGGAAAAAGGTCCTGAGGTGTCATGCTTCTGCCCTCCCGATAGCTGCACGCCCCTCTCCCCCACCAGCACGCACATCCACAAGGGGGGGAACAGATGCACTCATGCACGCTGGCTGCCCGCGCTGCTTCCACCACACCAGGTAAGCGCACATATAAGCAACCACCGCCCCTCCCACTTTGCTCACCTGCGTGTCATATCCCTGGGGCAGACTGCTGATGAACCCATGCACGTTGCCTACCTGCGCTGCCTCCACCACACCAGGAGATAGGAGCACATATAAGCCCCGCCCCTCTTCACCCCCCCTCCTCTCACCTGCGTGTCGTATCCCTGCGGCAGACCGCTGATGAACCCATGCACGTTGGCTGCTTGCACTGCCTCCACCCCACCAGGTAAGAGCACACACAACAAGCCTTCCTGCTTTCCCCCTACTACCCCACCCAACCCCCTCTTCTCACCTGCGTGTCATATCCCTGCGGCAGCCCGCTGATGAACCCATGCACGTTCGCTGCCCGCGCTGCTTCCACCACCTCTGCCTCGCTGGCGCCTGGCTGGCCGTACAGGATGTTGCCGCGGATGCTGGGGGGGTAAAAGGGTGTAAGGGCAGCATGGAGGACGATGAAGGGCAGGGGAGACGTGCAGTGTGTGCGTGAGGCGCCTCAACGCGCTGCTTCCACCACCTCTGCCTTGCTGGCGCCTGGCTGGCCGTACAGGATGTTGCCGCGGATGCTGGGCAGAGCAGTTGGGGGACATGGGAGCATAAAATGGTTCTACAGGTGCTGCAGGGAGTATGGAACGGTGGAGAATGGTGAGAAGGGTGGGCATGAAGAAAACGAGATGAAAATAGAGGAATTTTTTTCTCAAAAACACCACATTGCTTACGTGGTAGCAAAGAGGGCGGGTTCCTGGCTGACCAGCCCGATGAACGATCGCAGCGTCTTCAGATGAACGGTCCGGATGTCCTCCCCATCCACCCGCACGCTTCCAGCCGTCGGATCGTAGAATCGCTCCACCAGGGCCACAACAGAACTTTTTCCGCTGCCCGACGGGCCCACCAGCGCCAGCATCTTCCCCGGCGCTGCCCGGAGAGAAAAGTCTTGCAGCACGGGCGTTTCCGGGCGGGTCGGGTAGGCGAAAGAAACCGACCGGAACTCAATCTCCCCACGAACAGTTGAAATCACCTCAGCCGTCGGATCGTCCGAAAGAATCTTGGGCGTCCGATCTGTAGTCTTGAACACCGATCGAATGGCCACGCTTCCCTTGGCAATATCTGGAGCAAGGGTAATGCTCTCTGCTATAGCCATTGACGTCATTATAAGCACCATAAACGATTTAAGCACATCGCCGTATGAAGCAGTATTGGGAATTAAAGTCGACCCATACCAGAGGGCTAGAGCATATGACCCATACATGAAAAACTGGCTCAGCCCGAAACCTGCCCCGCCAACCTGCCCGCGAAGGAACGAGCGCCTGAGGGGGCCTGCCAGCCTGGCAGTGAACAGTGCGAGGATTTTGTCCTGTGCGTTGAATGCTGCTACAGTGCGGATGTTAGCGACTGCCTCTGCTGCTATGGTGGTGGCGCCCGCGTGGGATGAGTTCTGGTTGCCCGCGAAGCCTGCAAGAAATTGTTGCTGCGAAGGGGGGGAAAGGGGGTGAGAGGATGTTAGCGACTGCCTCTGCTGCTATGGTGGTGGCGCCGGCATGGGATGAGCTCTGATTGCCTGCAAACCCTGCCAGGAATTGTAGCTGGGAGGGGAGGGAAAGGGAGGGGAGAAGGGGTTGAGATGGGATAGAGGAGGGGAGAGGAGGAGAGAGGGAGTGATGAGATGAGTTCCAAACAAAAGAGAGATGTAAGAAATGGTGGTGCTAAGGTTGTTGCTGACAAATGCGATGACACATGCGGTCATGATCATCACTACCATCAGCAAGACTGTCCGTAGTTGATCAAAAGTACAGAGCGCCCTCACCCTTACCTCCATGAGTGCAGCGAAGATGAGCAGAGGGAATGTGGCGATGACGACGAGTGCCACCCGCCACTCCACCACGAACCCGATGACAAACGCGATGACGATCACTGACAGGTTCTGCGTGGCGAGAGCAATGCGGTCCGCCACGGCTGCTTTGACTAGAGTGGCGTCGGTGGCGAGGCGAGAGGCGATGGCTCCACTGGCGTTGGCGTCCCGATCGAACCATGCCACCTCGTTGCCCAGGATGGCTGTGGGTGGGGGAGGCGGGGAGCAGGGAGGGAAGGAGGGATGGGAAGTGGATGGGAGGGAGGAGGAAGAGGGAGGCGAGAGCAATGCGGTCGGCGACGGCTGCTTTGACTAGAGTGGCGTCGGTGGCGAGACGAGAAGCGATGGCTCCACTGGCATTGGCGTCCCGATCGAACCATGCCACCTCGTTGCCCAGGATGGCTGTGGGTGGGGTGGAAGGGAGGAATGGAAGGAGGGAGGGAGGGAGGGAGGGAAAGAGGGGAGAAAAGGGGGGGAGGGAGGGGAGGTGGATGGGAGGGAGGAGGAAGAGTGTGGCGAGTGCGATGCGGTCGGCGATGGCTGCTGCGGCTGCATTGGCATCGGTGGCGAGACGAGAGGCGATGGCATCCCGATCGAACCATGCCACCACATTGCCACCATCAGGCATGAGGCATGAGGCATGAGGCATGAGGCATGAGGCATGAGGCATGAGGCATGAGGCATGAGGCATGGGGCATGAGGCGTGAGGCATGAGGCAGTAGGCATGAGGCATGAGGCATGAGGCATGAGGCATGAGGCATGAGGCATGAGGCATGAGGCATGAGGCATGAGGCATGAGGCATGAGGCATGAGGCATGAGGCATGAGGCATGAGGCATGAGGCATGAGGCATGAGGCATGAGGCATGAGGCATGAGGCATGAGGCATGAGGCATGAGGCATGAGGCATGAGGCATGAGGCATGAGGCATGAGGCATGAGGCATGAGGCATGAGGCATGAGGCATGAGGCATGAGGCATGAGGCATGAGGCATGAGGCATGAGGCATGAGGCGTGAGGCATGAGGCAGTAGGCATGAGGCATGAGGCATGAGGCATGAGGCATGAGGCATGAGGCATGAGGCATGAGGCATGAGGCATGAGGCATGAGGCATGAGGCATGAGGCATGAGGCATGAGGCATGAGGCATGAGGCATGAGGCATGAGGCATGAGGCATGAGGCATGAGGCATGAGGCATGAGGCATGAGGCATGAGGCATGAGGCATGAGGCATGAGGCATGAGGCATGAGGCATGAGGGATGCATAAGGCATAAGGCATGAGGCATGAGGCATGAGGCATGAGGCATGAGGCATGAGGCATGAGGCATGAGGCATGAGGCATGAGGCATGAGGCATGAGGCATGAGGCATGAGGCATGAGGCATGAGGCATGAGGCATGAGGCATGAGGCATGAGGCATGAGGCATGAGGCATGAGGCATGAGGCATGGGGCATGAGGCGTGAGGCATGAGGCAGTAGGCATGAGGCATGAGGCATGAGGCATGAGGCATGAGGCATGAGGCATGAGGCATGAGGCATGAGGCATGAGGCATGAGGCATGAGGCATGAGGCATGAGGCATGAGGCATGAGGCATGAGGCATGAGGCATGAGGCATGAGGCATGAGGCATGAGGCATGAGGCATGAGGCATGAGGCATGAGGCATGAGGCATGAGGCATGAGGCATGAGGCATGAGGCATGAGGCATGAGGCATGAGGCATGAGGCATGAGGCATGAGGCATGAGGCATGAGGCATGAGGCGTGAGGCATGAGGCAGTAGGCATGAGGCATGAGGCATGAGGCATGAGGCATGAGGCATGAGGCATGAGGCATGAGGCATGAGGCATGAGGCATGAGGCATGAGGCATGAGGCATGAGGCATGAGGCATGAGGCATGAGGCATGAGGCATGAGGCATGAGGCATGAGGCATGAGGCATGAGGCATGAGGCATGAGGCATGAGGCATGAGGCATGAGGCATGAGGCATGAGGGATGCATAAGGCATAAGGCATGAGGCATGAGGCATGAGGCATGAGGCATGAGGCATGAGGCATGAGGCATGAGGCATGAGGCATGAGGCATGAGGCATGAGGCATGAGGCATGAGGCATGAGGCATGAGGCATGAGGCATGAGGCATGAGGCATGAGGCATGAGGCATGAGGCATGAGGCATGAGGCATGAGGCATGAGGCATGAGGCATGAGGCATGAGGCATGAGGCATGAGGGATGAGGAATAAGGCATGAGGCATGAGGCATGAGGCATGAGGCATGAGGCATGAGGCATGAGGCATGAGGCATGAGGCATGAGGCATGAGGCATGAGGCATGAGGCATGAGGCATGAGGCATGAGGCAGGAGGCATGAGGCAGCGAGGCACGAGGCACGAGGCACGAGGCACGAGGCACGAGGCACGAGGCACGAGGCATGAGGCAGTAGGCATGAGGCATGAGGCATGAGGCATGAGGCATGAGGCATGAGGCATGAGGCATGAGGCATGAGGCATGAGGCATGAGGCATGAGGCATGAGGCATGAGGCATGAGGCATGAGGCATGAGGCATGAGGCATGAGGCATGAGGCATGAGGCATGAGGCATGAGGCATGAGGCATAAGGCAGGAGGCATGAGGCATGAGGCCTGAGGCATGAGGCATGAGGCATAAGGCATGAGGCAGGAGGTATGAGGCATGAGGCATGAGGCATGAGGCATGAGGCATGAGGCATGAGGCATGAGGCATGAGGCATGAGGCATAAGGCATGAGGCATGAGCCATAAGGCATGAGGCATGAGGCATGAGGCATGAGGCATGAGGCATGAGGCATGAGGCATGAGGCATGAGGCATGAGGCATGAGGCATGAGGCATGAGGCATGAGGCATGAGGCATGAGGCATGAGGCATGAGGCATGAGGCATGAGGCATGAGGCATGAGGCATGAGGCATGAGGCATGAGGCATGAGGCATGAGGCATGAGGCAGTAGGCATGAGGCATGAGGCATGAGGCATGAGGCATGAGGCATGAGGCATGAGGCATGAGGCATGAGGCATGAGGCATGAGGCATGAGGCATGAGGCATGAGGCATGAGGCATGAGGCATGAGGCATGAGGCATGAGGCAGTAGGCATGAGGCATGAGGCAGTAGGCATGAGGCATGAGGCATGAGGCATGAGGCATGAGGCATGAGGCATGAGGCATGAGGCATGAGGCATGAGGCATGAGGCATGAGGCATGAGGCATGAGGCATGAGGCATGAGGCATGAGGCATGAGGCATGAGGCAGTAGGCATGAGGCATGAGGCATGAGGCATGAGGCATGAGGCATGAGGCATGAGGCATGAGGCATGAGGCATGAGGCATGAGGCATGAGGCATGAGGCATGAGGCATGAGGCATGAGGCATGAGGCATGAGGCATGAGGCATGAGGCATGAGGCATGAGGCATGAGGCATGAGGCATGAGGCATGAGGCATGAGGCATGAGGCATGAGGCATGAGGCATGAGGCATGAGGCATGAGGCATGAGGCATGAGGCATGAGGCATGAGGCATGAGGCATGAGGCATGAGGCATGAGGCGTGAGGCATGAGGCAGTAGGCATGAGGCATGAGGCATGAGGCATGAGGCATGAGGCATGAGGCATGAGGCATGAGGCATGAGGCATGAGGCATGAGGCATGAGGCATGAGGCATGAGGCATGAGGCATGAGGCATGAGGCATGAGGCATGAGGCATGAGGCATGAGGCATGAGGCATGAGGCATGAGGCATGAGGCATGAGGCATGAGGCATGAGGCATGAGGCATGAGGCATGAGGGATGCATAAGGCATAAGGCATGAGGCATGAGGCATGAGGCATGAGGCATGAGGCATGAGGCATGAGGCATGAGGCATGAGGCATGAGGCATGAGGCATGAGGCATGAGGCATGAGGCATGAGGCATGAGGCATGAGGCATGAGGCATGAGGCATGAGGCATGAGGCATGAGGCATGAGGCATGAGGCATGAGGCATGAGGCATGAGGCATGAGGCATGAGGCATGAGGCATGAGGCATGAGGGATGAGGAATAAGGCATGAGGCATGAGGCATGAGGCATGAGGCATGAGGCATGAGGCATGAGGCATGAGGCATGAGGCATGAGGCATGAGGCATGAGGCATGAGGCATGAGGCATGAGGCAGGAGGCATGAGGCAGCGAGGCACGAGGCACGAGGCACGAGGCACGAGGCACGAGGCACGAGGCACGAGGCACGAGGCATGAGGCAGTAGGCATGAGGCATGAGGCATGAGGCATGAGGCATGAGGCATGAGGCATGAGGCATGAGGCATGAGGCATGAGGCATGAGGCATGAGGCATGAGGCATGAGGCATGAGGCATGAGGCATGAGGCATGAGGCATGAGGCATGAGGCATGAGGCATGAGGCATGAGGCATGAGGCATAAGGCAGGAGGCATGAGGCATGAGGCCTGAGGCATGAGGCATGAGGCATAAGGCATGAGGCAGGAGGTATGAGGCATGAGGCATGAGGCATGAGGCATGAGGCATGAGGCATGAGGCATGAGGCATGAGGCATGAGGCATAAGGCATGAGGCATGAGCCATAAGGCATGAGGCATGAGGCATGAGGCATGAGGCATGAGGCATGAGGCATGAGGCATGAGGCATGAGGCATGAGGCATGAGGCATGAGGCATGAGGCATGAGGCATGAGGCATGAGGCATGAGGCATGAGGCATGAGGCATGAGGCATGAGGCATGAGGCATGAGGCATGAGGCATGAGGCATGAGGCATGAGGCATGAGGCAGTAGGCATGAGGCATGAGGCATGAGGCATGAGGCATGAGGCATGAGGCATGAGGCATGAGGCATGAGGCATGAGGCATGAGGCATGAGGCATGAGGCATGAGGCATGAGGCATGAGGCATGAGGCATGAGGCATGAGGCATGAGGCAGTAGGCATGAGGCATGAGGCATGAGGCATGAGGCATGAGGCATGAGGCATGAGGCATGAGGCATGAGGCATGAGGCATGAGGCATGAGGCATGAGGCATGAGGCATGAGGCATGAGGCATGAGGCATGAGGCATGAGGCATGAGGCATGAGGCATGAGGCATCACCCTTCCACCCTTCCACCACCCACTCACCTGCCAGCATTTTCTCTCTGACTCGCTTCATCAGTGCTTCCCCTGACACGCCAAAGCCATAGTTGAGCACGGAATGCACTGGCAGGGCCAGCACGCCCAGAGCCGTGAAGACCAAAGCCCCACCTTTCCCAACCTGGCAATGTTCCCCCACGCTTCTTACCTGCCCCTCACCCCCACGCACCTGCCAGCATCTTCTCTCTCACTCGCTTCACCAGAGCCTCTCCTGGCACCCCAAAGCCGTAGTTCTGCACCGAGTGCACTGGCAGGGCCAGCACGCCCAGAGCCGTGAAGACTATGGCCCACTTGTTGACCTGCCGCTTCATCTCGTCCGTATCAGGATTGTAGAGAGCTGCTATCACCTGCAGAGGAAGGCACGTGGGGTGGGATAGCACAGTGTGAGAGGAAGGAGCCGTGAAGACTATGGCCCACTTGTTGACCTGCCTCCTCATCTTGTCCGTGTCTGGATTGTAGAGAGCTGCTATCACCTGCAGAGGAAGGGGGAGGGGGGAGGGGGGTGTGAGATGGCACAATGTGAGCCGAGCAGCGAAGACTATGGCACAATGTGAAGACTATGGCAAAATGTGAAGACTATGGCACAATGTGAAGACTATGGCAAAATGTGAAGACTATGGCACAATGTGAAGACTATGGCAAAATGTGAAGACTATGGCACAATGTGAAGACCTCGTCACCTGCTTACTTCTGAGTCGACTCAACAGTGTTACAGTGGTACAGTGACTCACGTCAATGAGCAGCAGTGCATAAACGGGGTTGAACGCGCCTGCCATCACAGCACCAGCCGCGCCCAGAGCCGTGAACGGCCACTCGGGAGCACTCATGCGCGCCAGACGCCACCACGACGCCTTCTTCTTTCCGCCCTCTCCTTCCCCTTCTCCTTCTCCTCCTTCTCCTCCTCCCTTCCCACCCTCCTCCTCCTCTCCGCTCTCCTTGCCCTCCTGACCGTTCTTGCCTGTGCCCTCTCCTCTCTTTTTGCCGCATGGTAGTAACGCCCTCAGGGGAGCAGGTAGCACCTTCCTCAGTTCCCCCCACACTTGCTTCCCTCCTCCCCCTTCCCCTCCCTCCTCTTCCTCCTCCTCGTCTGTTTCACCTGGGTCCACGTCAGCAGTGTCCACGTCAGCGCAAAGCCCACTGTGGCCACGTGGCAGGGAGGATTCTGAGAGGGAGCTGAGCGCCTTCAAGATCTTCCTTCCCACGTCCGCCTCTGCTCCTGATTGGTCCACGTCAGCAAAATGGTCTTGCGACTGCAATGCTGAGCCCTGATTGGTCAACGCATGCGAATTCGAGTGTGCACCCTCCCCTGCCACCATCTGCAGGCGTACCAAGTTAGCATACACGCCTCCCTCTTTCCTCGCACCTTCCTTTGCACTACCCACATTCTTCCCTTCAACGTCCTCCCCTCCCCCTTCCCTTTCCCCCTGCCCCACTTCCCCATGCGCCATAAGCTCTTCATGTGTCCCCTGCTCTACCACCCTCCCCCCCGCCACCACAGCAATCTTGTCTGCATTCCGGATCGTGGACAGCCGGTGTGCGATCACAACCGTTGATCTGCCGCGCATCAGCCCGCCGTCCAGCGCCGCCTGAACCACACGCTCTGATTCGCTGTCCAGCGCTGACGTGGCCTCATCCAATAGGAGCACGCGCGGGTTGCGCACGACTGCTCGGGCGATGGCGATGCGCTGCTTCTGCCCTCCTGAGAGCTGCACTCCCCTCTCCCCCACCTGCAGGAAAAAGGGAGGCAGGACAGGAAAAGGGGAGGCAGGACAGGAAAAGGGGAGGCAGGACAGGAAAAGGGGAGGCAGGACAGGAAAAGGGGAGGCAGGACAGGAAAAGGGGAGTGGGAGAAGGGAAAAAGGTCCTGAGGTGACATGCTTCTGCCCGCCTGACAGCTACACGCCCCTCTCCCCCACCTGTATGCCCATTCGTACACAGGCGAGGGCAGGGAAAGGGGAGTTCGAGTGTATGTACATTGTACAATCGCCACACCTCCCTCCAAGTCACGCCTGAAGGAGCAAACACGCCACGTCACGCAGAGCAAAACAGCCCCTCTTTCCAAACATAAAACCTGCAGCCCAGTCATCCCCGCTTACCTGTGGCTTTTGAGAATTCTCAAAAAACATACGCTGCAAAACAGCCCCTCTTTCCAAACATAAACCTGGCGTGTTTATGTTTGGAACGGTTTAAGCCCAGTCATCCCCGCTTACCTGTGTGTTGTACCCGTGTGGCAACGCAGTCACAAAGGAGTGCGCGTTGGCGATCCTCGCTGCTTCCTCCACCTCCTCCAGTGTCGCATCCTCCTTGCCATACCGAATGTTCTCCAGAATGCTGTGTGATGTGGGGAGAGAGGGGGAGAGAAAATGGTGAGGGTTGTGATACATCACATACAATATCATCATACACTTGCATCATCAGCCAGTTCACCCCACCCCACATCACCCCACCTCGTTCCACCTCACCATACCTCACCCCACCTCACCTGGTGGCAAACAGGGACGGCTCCTGGCTGACGAGGCCCAGCTGGGAGCGCAGCCACGTCAGGCTGAGCTGGCGCAGATCCGTGCCGTCCAATGAGACGGCGCCAGCTGACGGATCGTAGAAGCGCTGGATGAGAGCCACGACGGTTGACTTGCCGCTGCCTGATGGGCCGACCAGGGCGACAGTGGTGCCGGCAGGGATTGCGAGGGAGAAGTCCTGACACAAGGGGGGGGGGGGAGGAAGGAAACGAATAAGGAGTGTTTGAGAAGGAAACGGTTGACTTGCCGCTGCCTCATGGGCCCCACCAGGGCAATCGTGGTGCCAGCAGGGATTGAGAGGGAGAAGTCCTGAGAGAGGAGAGAGGCAAAGGAGTACAAGTACTGAAAATGGAGGAGACGGAGAAGCGACTCAAGAATTGTTTCAATTGAATTGGAAGGCAGCTCACCTTAAATATCGGCACTTCGGGCCGAGCCGGGTACGCAAAGCACACCTTCTCAAACTCCACCCGCCCCTCCACCGCCTCCAACTCCTTCCCACCGCTCCCCTCCTCCCCCTCCTCCCCACCGATCACCGGCCGTCTCGCTATAGTCACAAAGATCTTATACGCAGCGACGCAGCCCTTGGAAAAGGCGGTGACGTTAGGGAGGGCCTGGCCGAGCCCCAGGCTGCCGAGGGCGATGGCGAACATGGTGGTGAGGATTGACCCCCCGTTGCCGATGCCTTGGGAAATGAGGAGTCCGGAGAACCAGAACATGAGCGCAAAGGAAAGGAAAAAGAGGGCGTAGATGGCTCCGAGACCCACTCCCTTGGCTAATCCGCCCTGTGTTTGGCAGGGAAGGGGAGAACATGGGAGGAGAGGAAACGCGAGTGGGAGTGGGTTCTTCTGGCCGAGCCCAAGGCTGCCGACGGCGATGGCGAACATGGTGGTGAGGATTGACCCTCCGTTGACGATGCCTTGGGAAATGAGGATACCGGAGAACCAGAACATGAGCGCAAAGGACGCGAACATGAGTCCATATATGGCGCCCAGTCCCACTCCCTTGGCTAGTCCGCCCCGGATTGTGCCGGTTTGTTGGGGTTGGTAGGGGTGAAGAGGGATGGAACGGGAGAGGGAGAGACGGATGTGAGGGAGAGAGAAGGAGGTGAGAAGGCTGGAGAACCAGAACATGAGCGCAAAGGACGCGAACATGAGCGCGTAGATAGCGCCTAGGCCTACGCCCTTGGCTAATCCTCCCTGAGAGGTGGGGGGTGGGTGCGCAGAAAGGCATGGAAAGGAGAGGTAGGGGAGGAGAAGGAGATGAGGGGGCCGGAGAACCAGAACATGGGTGCACATGATGCGAACATGGGTGCACATGATGCGAACATGGGTGCACATGATGCAAACATGGGGGCATAGATAGCGTCCAGACCCAGGGTCGGATAGGGCCAGATGAGGGGGCCGGAGAACCAGAACATAAGGGCGAAAGACGCAAACATGAGCGCATAGATGGCATAAGGAGATGAGGGGGCCGGAGAACCAGAACATGGGTGCGAAGGATGCGAACATCGGGGCATAGATAGCGTCCAGACCCAGGGTCGGATAGGCAAGGACAAGCACCTATCAACGTACCTTGACGCCCAGCTTGAACGTGTCTCTTAAAGCCCGGCCATACGCCTCCACTGTCCTGTCCTCTGCCACGTATGACTGCACTGTGCGCACCTGCCCCACCGCCTGTGAGGGGTGGGGGGCGGGGGGGGGGGGAGGAGAGATGCAGAAGAAGAAGGAGAAGAGGGGGTGGTGAGGGAGGTTGTGCGGAGGTGATGAGGGACGTCCTGTCGTCTGCCACATGCGATGCGACTGCACTGGATGCACCTGCCCCACCGCCTGATGTGGTTAACAGAGAGGAGATGCAGAAGAAGGAGAGGGGGGGGGGGGAAGGGGTTCGTGGGGGGTGATGAGGGACGTCCCGTCGTCTGCCAACTTTTGAGACGTCTCAAAGGACGTCCTGTCGTCGGCCACATGCGATGTGACTGCACTGTACGCACCTGCCCCACCGCCTGTGACGGCACAAGAGGGGCCAAGAAGATGGGGGCAACGGCGGTGTGTGACAACTGCTAAGGGAAAACTAGAGAGTGCAAAGCGGTGGGAGATGGAGAGGGAGTGGGGGACGGGTGGTCGGATTGCAATACTCAGAATACTCAGAAGAGGGTGTCTTTTGAGATGTCTTTTGAGACGTCTTTTGAGACGTCTTTTGTGACGTCTTTTGTGACGTCTTTTGTGACGTCTTTTGAGACGTCTTTTGAGACGTCTTTTGAGACGTCTTTTGAGACGTCTTTTGAGACGTCTTTTGAGACGTCTTTTGAGACGTCTTTTGAGACGTCTTTCGAGACGTCTCAAAGAGGTGGGAGAGCGAGCAGGAGACGGGTGGACGGGTTGCACCTCTGGTTGCAAAGCTCAAAATATTCAGAAGAGGGTGCCTGTAGTTGTCACCACCCCACTGATTGCCAAAGGGACTGAAGCTGTCATCCCCAAAGCTAGAGTCCAGATGAATACAAGAAAGATGACTCTAGTTCTTGGGGATGAAAGATGTACCTGCTCTGCTATCTTCCCTGCTTCAGTGTAAGCCTTCTCGCCCTGAGTCATGAGGCCCGTAAGCACAGCCGCATAGATCCCTCCCGTGGCGATGATGAGCGGGCAGACAGCGAGGATGACGAGAGCCAGCTGCCACACGCTGGTGAACCCGACTATGAAGCCACAGACGAAGGTGGAGAAGTAGTGAATGCAGTTGCCCACCTGGTTGGGGGGGAAGGAATTGAGGGCAGGGGAGAGGAAAAGCGTACACACGCTGGGGTAGGGACAGCTGCCACACGCTGGTGAATCGGACTATGAAGCCACAGACGAAGGTGGAGAAGTAGTGAATGCAGTTGCCCACCTGGAAGAGAGGGGAGAGGGGGAGGGCAGGGGGGAGGGGCAGCAGGGACAGCCCCCCACAGCGATAATGAGCGGACAGACAGCGAGGATGACGAGCGCCAGCTGCCACACGCTGTTGAATCCGACTATGAAGCCACAGACGAACGTGGAGAGGTAGTGAATGCAGTTGCCCACCTGGTTGGGAGGGGAGAGGGGGAGGAGCATGGCATTCGGGGGGGGGGGGGGGGGGGGGGAAGGAGGGATACGCGGATATATGGAGCATGGGTGTCTGGCGTAGGCCCAGCTGCCACACGCTGGTGAATCCGACTTTGAATCCAAGTACAGCGCGTGGCAGCCGGCCATCTTCCACGCACGCGAACGTGGCCAAGTAGCGAATGCAGTTGCCCACCTGGTTGGGGGAGGGAGGGGAGGAGCAGCACCCGCATGCTTTGAGGCGCCTCACAGGATTTCCCAATGCACTACCCACCTTGTCTGAAATGGCGTCTTGCAGCAGGAGTACATCAGATGCCACGTGAGTGACGAGCACACTAGAAGAACACACCCACCCACCCACCCACCCACCCACCCACCCACCCACCCACCCACCCACCCACCCACCCACCCACCCACCCACCCACCCACCCACCCACCCACCCACCCACCCATCCATCCACCCACCCACCCACCCACCTTCTCCGAAATAGCGTCCTGCAGCAGCAGCACGTCAGTGGACACGCGCGTGATGAGCTCCCCCGAACATGCCTCGAGGTCGAAAAACGCCACCTCCTGCCGCAGCAGCGCCTGCAGGTACAGCCGGCGCACCCTTGCACTCTGCCTCTCACCCGTGTGCATCCAACAGGCCACCTCTGTCGGGGGTGGGAGGGGGAGGAGAGAGGAGAGAAGTGGAGGGGAGAACCGAAACACAAGGGCTCAGGTCTCTTCTCCTGCAGTAGCAACGCCTGCAGGTACAGCCGGCGCACCCTTGCACTCTGTCTCTCGCCCGTGTGCATCCAACAGGCCACCTCTGGAAAGGGAGAGGAAGGGATAGGGGAAGGCGAGGAGAAAGACTGAAATACAAGGCACCCTTATCCAATAGGCCACCTCTGCGGGGAGGAGATGTCATTTGAGGTGAAAATTCATGCGGGTTTGGGATAGACATGGATGCTGACGTGGACGATGACGTGGATGATGACATGGACAATGACGTGGACGATGATGTGGATAATGACGTGGATGATCTCTTAGTATATGCGGTGAAATTGAGACTGCGACGCAAAGGAATGATGTTTATTACCTAGCCATCCGCCAACCAAGCAGCATATTGCGATGTAGACCATCGCGAGGACAAACTGCCACATGCTCGCATACACATCACATGCACACCACAAGCGTACAAATTTGAGACACGTAAGCACAGACGAGAGGGAGAGAATGAGGCAAGAAAGCAACGTCATCAGGCGCAATGTCCCGCATTATGAGCCCACTCGCAAGTGTACAACAGCATGGCCCTCCCCTCACGTTCCTCGCCCGCTTTTTGAGTCCTAAACAACGACAAAAGCTATTTTTTAGTCCTAAAAAACCCCCTCTCCTCATGCTTCCCCCCCCATGCCCATCCCCGCACGTCCCTCCCCCCCTCGCCCCTCACCGTGTTCACGCTGGACAGGTCGTTCGTCCCAAACGAGTCGACCATTTTCCCCAACGACAGGAACGACAGCGGCACAAGTCATTTTCGAGTCCTCATAAATCCCCTTCTTGCCCCTCACGCCCCTCCCCTCACGCCCCTTCCCCATCCCTCACCGTGTTCACGCCAGACAGGTCATTCGTCCCGAACGAGTCCACCATTTTCCCCAGGAACAGGGACGACAGCGGCACAAGTCATTTTGAGTCCAACAAAATCCCATCCTCTCATGCTTTCCCCCCCATGCCCCTCTCCCTCCCGCCCCCTCCCCCCCCCATCGCCCCTCACCGTGTTCACGCCGGACAAGTCGTTCGAGCCGAACGAGTCCACCATTTTCCCCAGGAACAGGAACGACAGCGGCAGCGCGGCGCCGTGAAGCACGGCGCCAATCGAGCCGACCGCCATAAGCGCCCAGTCCGTGCGGTCCGCGTAGGAAAAGAGCCGCCAGTACGGCACCGCCGGCTGCTTCTCCTTCTTCTTCCCCTTCTTCTCCTTCGGATCATCCTCCTCTTTCTCATCCTTCTCATTCTTCTCGGTCGCCTCCCTCGCCCCTTTCGGCGTCTCTGAGACGGGGACCGACGAGTCGCCTACCGTCCTCTCTTTTAGTAGTAACGGATTTCCGCCGTCTGGAAGCCCAGTATGATCCATGCCTTCGTGATTCGCCGCGTCTGGATCCCCAGGATGGATCATGGCCGCGGCGCGCTGATCCGATTCCGCCCCGTGTCGCTTCATGGATCCGTCCGTTTCCGCCATTCGTTCTGAGGAGTCTAAAAATTTGAAATATAATTATGGCTTTATTGCCACTCAACTTGAGAGTCCAGATACCCAATCACAAGTACTACTGACGCAAACGCGCGTTATTAGTACAATCCTCTAACATAAAATGAGCTGCGAGACGCGAACTGCGATTATCGGGCTTATCACATCATGGACCATCGAGCATTTGCTTACGTTCCATGCTGGCACGAAGGCAACACGGGCTGTGTGCTGCTCGCTCTGATTTCTGCAGAATCGTGGACACGAAACATGGCACTCGAAAATGAGAGTTCTAAAATGGCTGTTGTGTTGTGTGTGGGGAATTTGTATTGTAGGGCCCTGGCACGTCAGGTTGACGCTACACACTGAGGAGGGCGGATTCTGACATGGTAGTGAACCCGGCAACATTCGGGTTCGCCAACGCGGCGAAGCTCGCCAGGTGCACAGCACACCTGTACTTGCACTGGCCTCCTGCCACCTCCCTGGAAATGAGGACGAAAGAACGCAAGGAGACGTGGTGGAGAACTCTCGCTGCCCGGACTTTCGTGAATGTTTGCCGTGCGAATATATTGTGGTGACAAGGTGCTAGTCTGCCTCAGCTTGGTCATTCACTTGTTCAAAGGAGTGTTCAAAGGTGATGAACACTGGGTTTGGGAGAACAGAAACAAACAAACAGCAGCTTCGCTGACGCAAGGGTGACGTTGCGGCTTGCGCTAAACCTTTTGTGATTGGTGCAGTACATCATCAGCGAGGGTTGCTGGTATTTTGCTGACACCAGCTCCACGCATGCGACGAGAATACCCATTTTGCTATCACATACTGTATTGGAGATTCAGAGGGTGAACTATTTACCCAAATAGTGAAGTCCACCATATCGAGTTGAGAGCAGTGAATCCTTCCTTCCGCTGCTCCGAACCGAACTACAAAAGACAAAACTTCACGTGATAAGGGCAACAACCCATCAACTGTCGCGCGTGCCACAAGAGTCAGTGGCATCGGATCGGATCATGCGTACACATGGTGTACTCCGTTTCTTTCGGTTGTGCGGTTGAGCACACCATGCGACACGAAACCACAGACGAGGTGCTCAAAATATTCTCGCGAAACCTCGCTGACTCTGAAGGAACCCCAAGAAGGACTTGCTTTATACCGTACCACTTCGCTGATTCGCGAATAAATCTGTTTGTTGGCTGGTTGCCTCCTCGTTCCGCAAAAGCTTGTTCGGATCCGAACGGGTTACCCGAGGCAAATCGTTGTTGGAGCATTGCTGGTTGGTCCTTCTCGGGCTGGAATCAGCCAAGCAGCTTCGATGTTTGAATGGAATTGCTGCTTGGTCCTTTTCGGACTGAAATCAGCCAAGCAGCTTCGATGTTTGAATTGAATGCTGCAAGCATTGACGCGGAAATGAAGACATTGCCCCTTTCGCACCGACCACGAACGGACCATGAGGGGACAAGAGGGAGAAAGGAAGCGTAGCCATTTATGTTCAGTACAAAAATACAAGACTTCGGTCACTCTAGTTCACAAAGCCTCCGCGCCTCGCTCTCGCCCTCCAACCTTGGGTTGTAACGGCAGATGCGGCGGCGATAACCACTTACACTTCGGCTGCTACGCTCGCGGCCTCGCCGTTGTGGGCACATCTTAGTGCAAACGCCCACGGTGTATTTAGGTCGCGAGACTCCATCACTTCCCATTCAACTGACGCCCTTGTAATAGCTATTCAAACCCGAAGCCTCTCAAAACTTCGTATATTCCACCATGAGTCTTTCGAGCGCCGCACTTATGCACAGCGTCGCCTTACGATGCGCTCAGAACTCGACGTGCACGAACGATCTCATTTCCCCAGACTCCACGCTCCCGCTCAGCAGCTTCGAACGCCACGACGCGGCTCGGGAGTGCGCCGGCCTAATCGCCAATCCTCAGTCTACTACCGTCAGAGCGCGGGCGACGTTGCAGTGCATTGACGCGAAGCCGCGGCAACTCTCGACGATGGAAGCTCCAATTTCTCCTACCTGTGATACCAGAATCGGACAGGAAACAGGATATTTTCACCTCTGCACACCGCGTCGTGATGCACTCGTAGCGCTACCGGATCGGCGAGACTGCGCAGAGGCGTTGTGCCCGTCCTGCTCACGGCGAATCGCAGAGCTCGTGTGCGATCCCATGTGGATTGACGACGCTCGGTCGCGCATCCGCGGGGCGGCGCTTGCTGTCGTCGAGGCGCAACAGGCTTCCGCGGAGCTAAGCGCGCGAGTGGCGGAAGCATCGACGGAGCTTCTGAGCGCGGGTGAATACCAACTTGGTTCTGAGAGGAGAAAGTCCGGATCTTTTTCAACTAAAGACCGTCAAGACGCGAAGTGCCGAAGCCCAAGCTCGCTCGGACGCTGGTGGAGCCGGGAGACGTGTAACGACGGAACAGAAGAAATGGTTGGCGGAAACCTTACAAAGAATTGCAGTTCCGAGTCAATTGACGCCCTTTTTGCGGACCCTGCTAGTAGTCGGAACAGAAGCCGGCGAGTCTTTCGGAAATCAGCCACAGCGGGATCAGCTAGCCTGCAAGACATTGAAGTGACCATTCCACCTCAGTTCATTCGGCGAACGCAAACCTCGTCGCCGCGAAATGCGGTGGCAGATGCTACTCTTAGAGAAAGGCGTGGCGGAATAGTTGACATTGTGCGACACGCATTTATGAAGCCCGCGTCCACATCGTGATGTGTAGCTGTGTGATGGGCCCCTTTAGCCAGTAATGTATAGTTAATGATGAATTTGAGGGTCCTTTTGTGAACTATGCAATATCGGGAGGAACATATACACGATATATAAGGGCGTGTCTACTGCGTACATTCACTGTTTACAGTTCATCAGTCGCGGTGCAAGTGCATATCAAACGGTGCACAACGGTTCTCAACTCAAAAATTTCCACCGTGACGCAACACGCATATACGCCCAAAACCTTGATTGCTAGTGAAGAATCATGAACGCTGCCATGAACCTCTTGGTCCGGTTTGTGTTGTCTGGGAACCTCGGGATTGGCTTGCTGTCTGGGAACCTCGGGACGAATGAGATTGGCTGATCACACAGATAGTTTCTGCCCCGGATGAATGCTTTCGCGAACCTGTGGGTCCCGTCCATTTTGTTCTCATCCACGGATCACAGTTCTCATCCACAGAAAACGCATTCTCGACAGTAGGCAGAAAACGCATTCTTGACAGAAAACGCACCCTTGACAGTAGGCACCCACGCGTTTTTGTACAGCCCTGAATTCTGTCATTCCGAGCCGAACCGAACTACCCCGCCGGTTCTGTAGATTCCACCAAACCAAACTAGCAAGCAGCAGCAGCAAAATCTGTGCTGTTGTGGTTGGGACGAAAGGGGGAAGTCGAATGGTCCAGCAGTTCAGTTGCAAATGGCGTCTCTGAAAATGAGGTAATGCTGAACAATGCTGGTTCATATTGTGCTGGGGGAGGCGTTTAGGTGGTGGTGAAGCACTCACGTTTATGTGTGCAGCAGGCATTACAGCCATCGAGGAGTTACTTGGCTGGAAATTGTGTCTGTTCGTCTCTCAACCAACCCTCTAACTTATGTTATCAGCTGGAATTATTTCGACTGTCATTCTACCAGAAGACTTCTCCACCACAATTTGACGCATTCAACAATACATCGTCAGCACATTTTTCACGTTGCTGTTGGATAGAACCATAACACATGCAGGCTGTCTCGTGATCTGCTAAGAGCTCTCATCGGATAAGTTGACCGTTGCAATTTCGGCTTCCTATTCGACAAACCCACCAGAATGTCTCCGACATGGATAAGCCGAACTGCAATGCTTGCTCCGCCTTTTTTTATTGGCATCTTAACGGGATTCACACTGCTAGCTCTGCAGCAGTCAATGTCTACCAACTTGAAATTTCAATCTTTTACGGAAGACCAGCAGCAGACAGAATTTGTCGATTCGCACCAAATGCTCAAGAATTCCGTCGACAAAAGTTCGTTTTCGTTTGAAGAACGGTTACCAATTCGTTATAATACGTCAGCGGGGATTGTGGAAGGAAAATTGAATGTCCATTTGATTGCTCATTCCCACGACGATCTCGGATGGGTGAAGACAGTTGATGAGTACTACGTAAGTTCAAGCCACATATCATATATGCTTGTTATGATTCTTGTCACTCACGCTGATTCTGCGTACCTCCTCCACAGCTTGACCAAGTACAATACATCATCGAGACCGTCGTTGATCAGCTCGCAGATAATCCTGACCGTAAATTTATACAAGTCGAACAGGTGAGCTGTCGCGTCTTTAAGACGCAATATATGCCCGGATTCGCCGTAAAACGAGACATGCATTAACGCGTATGTTGCAATTCATCGTATGCAGGGGTTTTTCTTCTTATGGTGGCAGCAGCAGGGCGAGACAATGAGAAATAGAGTCAGGAAGCTTGTCGCTTCTGGTCAACTTGAGTTCATGTGAGTCCACAAGCTATCCAAACGATGAATCCGGTTAAGCTGAACGTTCATGTCGCCTCAGATGTCACTCCTCATCATAGTTGTGCAAGTCATTACATCTAAGTACCTGGCCTGTAAACTCACACGCCTAAATTTTGTTGTTACATGCCAAATTCCGGCATCACTTCGTGGGGCGTTGCCTCACATGCACGCGATTCTTCATGTGAGGCCAAAGGTCGAGAATCTGAGACACCACCTGAGCACTTGACGCCAATACATTTCTGCACATGCGACCGTTTTCTCGCCTTGTCTGCAAGGGGCTCGCATTTGCTCCCTGGAATAGGCTCTCACGCACTCATACCCTATCCTGCTCGATTCCCTGCTGTCTGGTGTGCTGTGCAGCAATGGTGGGTGGGTGATGCATGACGAGGCGGTGTGTCACTACACGGACATGGTGCACCAGATGTCCATGGGGCATCGTTTCATTCAGGAGCACTTCAACATCACTCCGCGTGTTGCATGACAGATCGATCCCTTTGGCCACTCCGCCACCCAGGCTAGCCTCATCACCTCGCAGGTGGGTAAAGTATTTCACCTGTGGTTTTTTTTCGTCTCCTCTCTGTAATATCCTTGTTAGCAGCAGCTCTCGTTTTAGCAGCATTTACCACCAGCCTCTCATCTCGGTCGGAACTGTTATTATCTGTACCCTAATCTCTTCTCTTCTGCCAATAATTCGTCATGCGTTGTGCAATTCTGCCACGTATACTCCCGTGCCGTCTCCCCCCCCTTGTGTCACGGCCAGGGTGGCTTGGACGCCTTTATCTTTGGCCGAGCGGACTATAAAGACATGGAGAAACGCAAAGCAGAGCAGAAGATGGAGCTTGTGTGGCGGGCGGGCACAGGGGCGCCCAGGGATACACAGGTGTTCACTGGGATTCTGTACGATGGATACTACTCGCCACAGGAGTTCCGCTACCAGCAGACAGACAGCCCAGAGTACCGATTCAGGGTAAGCAAGTTGGTGTAGAGTGGGTGGGTGAGGCTGGTTCGTGGTCTGAAGCATCATAGTGAGTCAGGCACAAGCTGTGGGCCTGGGATTGATTTAAGGGAAATGCTACTTTCAGGAGTTTTGGTACCATGAGTCAGCTAGATATCACAATGTCTTGGTTTGGAGTTAGTGTTGGGTTGTTGAGAAGTGGTTGACGTTCTAACATAAATGTGAAAGAACACATCAATGAAGCGTGTTATGGCACATAGGTGTGAGGCATGAATGGCATGGTACAGCACCTAATGTCACGTGCCATCACGTCACTCACTGTGACCCGTCCTCTCCCTTTCCTCTGTGGCCCTTTATCTATCTCTCACTGTGTGCATCGTCAGGACTGGCCGAACGAAAGAAATCCCAACGTGGAGCAATTTGTGAACTTCTTTGTTCAGGAGACATTGAACAGGGTGAGTCAGTCAGCATATGCAAGGTGAGTTATAAAGGCCATGGTGAGCGAGCATATACGGGATTAGTTCCGTTTCGGTCAGCTGAATGGCAAAGGAGTCAAGCACACCAAGAATGTCGTAGTTTCTTCCATGCATGTATGGGGGATTTTTTTACCTTCACCATCCTTCCATTGTCACCCCTCTTCCCCGTCTCGCCTCTCCCTCTGTCCCTCGCTCCCTCTCGCTCCCCGTGCACTCTCTCTCCTTCTTCCTCTCCTTTTCCCTCGCCTTCCCCCTTCAGGCCCGGGCGTTCCGCACGAACCACCTGCTGTTCCCCATGGGCGAGGACTTCTCGTTCAACGAGGCCATCATGTGGTTCAAGAACATGGACAAGCTCATTCACTACGTCAACCTTGTGAGTTGCTGTGGCATGGTGTGGTGTGGTGTGGTGCGATGTGTTAGGGTATGGTAAGCATGGCATCGCATGGACAAGCTCATCCACTACGTCAACCTGGTCAACAGTCGATGTGGGGTTGCTGTGGCATGGCATGGTGTGCTATGGTGTGAAAAGGTAGGGGTATGGCTTGATGTGGTTCAAGAACATGGACAGGCTCATCCACTACGTCAACCTGGTCAACTGTCGATGTGGGGTTGCTGTGGCATGGCATGGTGTGCTATGGTGCGAAAAGGTAGGGGCATGGCTTGATGTGGTTCAAGAACATGGACAGGCTCATCCACTACGTCAACCTGGTCAACAGTCGATGTGGGGTTGCTGTGGCATGGCATGGTGTGCTATGGTGCGAAAAGGTAGGGGTATGGCTTGATTTGGTTCAAGAACATGGACAGGCTCATCCACTACGTCAACCTGGTCAACAGTCGATGTGGGGTTGCTGTGGCATGGCATGGTGTGCTATGGTGCGAAAAGGTAGGGGTATGGCTTGATGTGGTTCAAGAACGTGGACAGGCGCATCCACTACGTCAACCTGGTCAGTTGCTGTGAGTGAGGTTGACATGCTATGGCATGGTGGTATGGTATGGTTTGGTAGTAGTATATGCAATGTGCTTTACGAGGTTCTAGAACGTGGACAGGCGCATCCACTACGTCAACCTGGTCAGTTGCTGTGAGTGAGGTTGACATGCTATGGCATGGTGGTATGGAATGGTTTGGAAGTAGTATATGCAATGTGCTTTACGAGGTTCAAGAACGTGGACAGGCGCATCCACTACGTCAACCTGGTCAGTCACCCCTCCACCCCTCCACCCCACAATCCCTCCACCCATCCACACCTCCACCCATCCACCCATCCACCCCTCCACCCATCCACCCTTCCACCCCTCCACCCATTCACCCCTCCACCCTTCCATACCTCCACCCCTCCACACCTCCACACCTCCACCCATCCACCCATCCACCCCTCCACCCATCCACTCATCCACCCCTCTACCCCTCCACTCATCCACCCCTCCACCCCTCCACCCATTACCCATCTACACCTCCACCCCTCCACACCTCCACCCATCCACCCATCCACCCATCCACCCCTCCACCCCTCCACCCATCCAACCCTCCACCTCTACCCATCCACCCCTCTGGGGGTTGTGAGGGAGAGGCGCCGCTGCTCTTGGGGTTGTGAGGGAGAGGCGCCGCTGCTCTGAGGGGGTTGTGAGGGAGAGGCGCCGCTGCTCTGGGGGGTTGTGAGGGAGAGGCGCCGCTGCTCTGGGGGTTGTGAGGGAGAGGCGCCGCTGCTCTGGGGGGTTGTGAGGGAGAGGCGCCGCCGCTCTGAGGGGTTGTGAGGGAGAGGCGCCGCTGCTCTGAGGGGTTGTGAGGGAGAGGCGCCGCTGCTCTGGGGGGTTGTGAGGGAGAGGCGCCGCTGCTCTGGGGGGTTGTGAGGGAGAGGCGCCGCTGCTCTGGGGGGTTGTGAGGGAGAGGCGCCGCTGCTCTGGGGGGTTGTGAGGGAGAGGCGCCGCTGCTCTGGGGGTTGTGAGGGAGAGGCGCCGCTGCTCTGGGGGGGTGTGAGGGAGAGGCGCCGCTGCTCTGGGGGTTTGTGAGGGAGAGGCTCCACTGCTCTGGGGTTGCGAGGGAGAGGCGCCGCTGCTCTGGGGATTTGTGAGGGCGAGGCGCCGCTGCTCTGGGGGCTGTGAGGGAGAGGCGCCACTGCTCTGGGGGTTGTGAGGGAGAGGCGCCGCTGCTCTGGGGGCTGTGAGGGAGAGGCGCCGCTGCTCTTGGGGTTTTGAGGGAGAGGCGCCGCTGCTCTGGGGGCTGTGAGGGAGAGGCGCCACTGCTCTGGGGGTTGTGAGGGAGAGGCGCCGCTGCTCTGGGGGGTTGTGAGGGAGAGGCGCCGCTGCTCTGGGGGTTGTGAGGGAGAGGCGCCGCTGCTCTGGGGGGTTGTGAGGGAGAGGCGCCGCCGCTCTGAGGGGTTGTGAGGGAGAGGCGCCGCTGCTCTGAGGGGTTGTGAGGGAGAGGCGCCGCTGCTCTGGGGGGTTGTGAGGGAGAGGCGCCGCTGCTCTGGGGGGTTGTGAGGGAGAGGCGCCGCTGCTCTGGGGGGTTGTGAGGGAGAGGCGCCGCTGCTCTGGGGGGTTGTGAGGGAGAGGCGCCGCTGCTCTGGGGGTTGTGAGGGAGAGGCGCCGCTGCTCTGGGGGGGTGTGAGGGAGAGGCGCCGCTGCTCTGGGGGTTTGTGAGGGAGAGGCTCCACTGCTCTGGGGTTGCGAGGGAGAGGCGCCGCTGCTCTGGGGATTTGTGAGGGCGAGGCGCCGCTGCTCTGGGGGCTGTGAGGGAGAGGCGCCACTGCTCTGGGGGTTGTGAGGGAGAGGCGCCGCTGCTCTGGGGGCTGTGAGGGAGAGGCGCCGCTGCTCTTGGGGTTTTGAGGGAGAGGCGCCGCTGCTCTGGGGGCTGTGAGGGAGAGGCGCCACTGCTCTGGGGGTTGTGAGGGAGAGGCGCCGCTGCTCTGGGGGGTTGTGAGGGAGAGGCGCCGCTGCTCTGGGGGTTGTGAGGGAGAGGCGCCGCTGCTCTGGGGGGTTGTGAGGGAGAGGCGCCGCCGCTCTGAGGGGTTGTGAGGGAGAGGCGCCGCTGCTCTGAGGGGTTGTGAGGGAGAGGCGCCGCTGCTCTGGGGGGTTGTGAGGGAGAGGCGCCGCTGCTCTGGGGGGTTGTGAGGGAGAGGCGCCGCTGCTCTGGGGGGTTGTGAGGGAGAGGCGCCGCTGCTCTGGGGGGTTGTGAGGGAGAGGCGCCGCTGCTCTGGGGGTTGTGAGGGAGAGGCGCCGCTGCTCTGGGGGGGTGTGAGGGAGAGGCGCCGCTGCTCTGGGGGTTTGTGAGGGAGAGGCTCCACTGCTCTGGGGTTGCGAGGGAGAGGCGCCGCTGCTCTGGGGATTTGTGAGGGCGAGGCGCCGCTGCTCTGGGGGCTGTGAGGGAGAGGCGCCACTGCTCTGGGGGTTGTGAGGGAGAGGCGCCGCTGCTCTGGGGGCTGTGAGGGAGAGGCGCCGCTGCTCTTGGGGTTTTGAGGGAGAGGCGCCGCTGCTCTGGGGGCTGTGAGGGAGAGGCGCCACTGCTCTGGGGGTTGTGAGGGAGAGGCGCCGCTGCTCTGGGGGCTGTGAGGGAGAGGCGCCGCTGCTCTGGGGGGTTGTGAGGGAGAGGCGCCGCTGCTCTGAGGGGTTGTGAGGGAGAGGCGCCGCTGCTCTGGGGGGTTTTGAGGGAGAGGCGCCGCTGCTCTGGGGGTTGTGAGGGAGAGGCGCCGCTGCTCTGGGGGGTTGTGAGGGAGAGGCGATGCTGCTCTGGGGGTTTGTGAGGGAGAGGCGCCGCTGCTCTGGGGGGTTGTGAGGGAGAGGCTCCACTGCTCTGGGGGTTGCGAGGGAGAGGCGCCGCTGCTCTGGGGGGTTCCGAGGGAGAGGCGTCGCTGCTCTGGGGGTTTTGAGGGAGAGGCGCCGCTGCTCTGGGGGGTTTTGAGGGAGAGGCGCTGCTGCTCTGGGGGGTTGTGAGGGAGAGGCGCCGCTGCTCTGGGGGGTTGTGAGGGAGAGGCGCCGCTGCTCTGGGGGTTTTGACGGAGAGGCGCCGCTGCTCTGGGGGTTGTGAGGGAGAGGCGCCGCTGCTCTGGGGGGTTGTGAGGGAGAGGCGCCACTGCTCTGGGGGTTGTGAGGGAGAGGCGCCGCTGCTCTGGGGGGTTGTGAGGGAGAGGCGCCGCTGCTCTGGGGGTTGTGAGGGAGAGGCGCCACTGCTCTGGGGGGTTGTGAGGGAGAGGCGCCGCTGCTCTGGGGGTTTTGAGGGAGAGGCGCCGCTGCTCTGGGGGTTGTGAGGGAGAGGCGCCGCTGCTCTGGGGGGTTGTGAGGGAGAGGCGCCACTGCTCAGGGGGTTGTGAGGGAGAGGCGCCGCTGCTCTGGGGGGTTGTGAGGGAGAGGCGCCGCTGCTCTGGGGGTTGTGAGGGAGAGGCGCCGCTGCTCTGGGGGTTGTGAGGGAGAGGCGCCGCTGCTCTGGGGGGTTGTGAGGGAGAGGCTCCGCTGCACTGGGGGCTGTGAGGGAGAGGCGCCGCTGCTCTGGGGGGTTTTGAGGGAGAGGCGCCGCTGCTCTGGGGGTTGTGAGGGAGAGGCGCTGCTGCTCTGGGGGGTTGTGAGGGCGAGGCGCCGCTGCTCTGGGGGGCTGTGAGGGAGAGGCGCCACTGCTCTGGGGGTTGTGAGGGAGAGGCGCCGCTGCTCTGGAGGGTTGTGAGGGAGAGGCGCCGCTGCTCTGGGGGTTTGTGAGGGAGAGGCGCCGCTGCTCTGGGGGGTTGTGAGGGAGAGACTCCACTGCTCTGGGGGTTGCGAGGGAGAGGCGCCGCTGCTCTGGGGGGTAGTGAGGGCGAGGCGCCGCTGCTCTGGGGGCTGTGAGGGAGAGGCGCCACTGCTCTGGGGGTTGTGAGGGAGAGGCGCCGCTGCTCTGGGGGCTGTGAGGGAGAGGTGCCGTTGCTCTTGGGGTTTTGAGGGAGAGGCGCCGCTGCTCTGGGGGTTGTGAGGGAGAGGCGCCGCTGCTCTGGGGGGTTTTAAGGGAGAGGCGCTGCTGCTCTGGGGGTTTGTGAGGGAGAGGCGCCGCTGCTCTGGGGGGTTGTGAGGGAGAGGCTCCACTGCTCTGGGGGTTGTGAGGGAGAGGCGCCGCTGCTCTGGCGGGTTTTGAGGGAGAGGCGCCGCTGCTCTGGGGGTTGTGAGGGAGAGGCGCCGCTGCTCTGGGGGGTTGTGAGGGAGAGGCGCCACTGCTCTGGGGGTTGTGAGGGAGAGGCGCCGCTGCTCTGGGGATTTGTGAGGGAGAGGCGCCGCTGCTCTGGGGGGTTGTGAGGGAGAGGCGCTGCTGCTCTGGGGGGTTGTGAGGGCGAGGCGCCGCTGCTCTGGGGGGCTGTGAGGGAGAGGCGCCACTGCTCTGGGGGTTGTGAGGGAGAGGCGCCGCTGCTCTGGGGGGTTGTGTGTGAGGGAGAGGCGCTGCTGCTCGGGGGGTTTGTGAGGGAGAGGCGCCGCTGCTCTGGGGGGTTGTGAGGGAGAGGCTCCACTGCTCTGGGGGTTGTGAGGGAGAGGCGCCGCTGCTCTGGGGGGTAGTGAGGGAGAGGCGCCGCTGCTCTGGGGGTTTGTGAGGGCGAGGCGCCGCTGCTCTGGGGGCTGTGAGGGAGAGGCGCCACTGCTCTGGGGGTTGTGAGGGAGAGGCGCCGCTGCTCTGGGGGCTGTGAGGGAGAGGCGCCGCTGCTCTTGGGGTTTTGAGGGAGAGGCGCCGCTGCTCTGGGGGCTGTGAGGGAGAGGCGCCACTGCTCTGGGGGTTGTGAGGGAGAGGCGCCGCTGCTCTGGGGGCTGTGAGGGAGAGGCGCCGCTGCTCTTGGGGTTTTGAGGGAGAGGCGCCGCTGCTCTGGGGGTTGTGAGGGAGAGGCGCCTCTGCTCTGGGGGTTGTAAGGGAGAGGCGCTGCTGCTCTGGGGGTTTGTGAGGGAGAGGCTCCGCTGCTCTGGGGGGTTGTGAGGGAGAGGCTCCACTGCTCTGGGGGTTGTGAGGGAGAGGCGCCGCTGCTCTGGCGGGTTTTGAGGGCGAGGCGCCGCTGCTCTTGGGGTTTTGAGGGAGAGGCGCCGCTGCTCTGGGGGCTGTGAGGGAGAGGCGCCACTGCTCTGGGGGTTGTGAGGGAGAGGCGCCGCTGCTCTGGGGGCTGTGAGGGAGAGGCGCCGCTGCTCTTGGGGTTTTGAGGGAGAGGCGCCGCTGGTCTGGGGGTTGTGAGGGAGAGGCTCCGCTGCTCTGGGGGGTTGTGAGGGAGAGGCTCCACTGCTCTGGGGGTTGTGAGGGAGAGGCGCCGCTGCTCTGGGGGTTTGTGAGGGCGAGGCGCCGCTGCTCTGGGGGCTGTGAGGGAGAGGCGCCACTGCTCTGGGGGTTGTCAGGGAGAGGCGCCGCTGCTCTGGGGGCTGTGAGGGAGAGGCGCCGCTGCTCTTGGGGTTTTGAGGGAGAGGCGCCGCTGCTCTGGGGGCTGTGAGGGAGAGGCGCCACTGCTCTGGGGGTTGTGAGGGAGAGGCGCCGCTGCTCTGGGGGCTGTGAGGGAGAGGCGCCGCTGCTCTTGGGGTTTTGAGGGAGAGGCGCCACTGCTCTGGGGGTTGTGAGGGAGAGGCGCCGCTGCTCTGGGGGGTTGTAAGGGAGAGGCGCTGCTGCTCTGGGGGTTTGTGATGGAGAGGCTCCGCTGCTCTGGGGGGTTGTGAGGGAGAGGCTCCACTGCTCTGGGGGTTGTGAGGGAGAGGCGCCGCTGCTCTGGGGGTTTGTGAGGGAGAGGCTCCACTGCTCTGGGGGTTGTGAGGGAGAGGCGCCGCTGCTCTGGGGGTTTGTGAGGGAGAGGCTCCACTGCTCTGGGGGTTGTGAGGGAGAGGCGCCGCTGCTCTGGGGGTTTGTGAGGGCGAGGCGCCGCTGCTCTGGGGGCTGTGAGGGAGAGGCGCCGCTGCTCTGGGGGGTAGTGAGGGCGAGGCGCCGCTGCTCTGGGGGCTGTGAGGGAGAGGCGCCACTGCTCTGGGGGTTGTGAGGGAGAGGCGCCACTGCTCTGGGGGCTGTGAGGGAGAGGCGCCGCTGCTCTTGGGGTTTTGAGGGAGAGGCGCCGCTGCTCTGGGGGCTGTGAGGGAGAGGCGCCACTGCTCTGGGGGTTGTGAGGGAGAGGCGCCGCTGCTCTGGGGGCTGTGAGGGAGAGGCGCCGCTGCTCTTGGGGTTTTGAGGGAGAGGCGCCGCTGCTCTGGGGGTTGTGAGGGGGAGGCGCCGCTGCTCTGGGGGGTTGTAAGGGAGAGGCGCTGCTGCTCTGGGGGTTTGTGAGGGAGAGGCTCCGCTGCTCTGGGGGGTTGTGAGGGAGAGGCTCCACTGCTCTGGGGGTTGTGAGGGAGAGGCGCCGCTGCTCTGGCGGGTTTTGAGGGCGAGGCGCTGCTGCTCTTGGGGTTTTGAGGGAGAGGCGCCGCTGCTCTGGGGGCTGTGAGGGAGAGGCGCCACTGCTCTGGGGGTTGTGAGGGAGAGGCGCCGCTGCTCTGGGGCTGTGAGGGAGAGGCGCCGCTGCTCTTGGGGTTTTGAGGGAGAGGCGCCGCTGCTCTGGGGGTTGTGAGGGAGAGGCGCCGCTGCCCTGGGGGGTTGAAAGGGATAGGCGCTGCTGCTCTGGGGGTTTGTGAGGGAGAGGCTCCGCTGCTCTGGGGGGTTGTGAGGGAGAGGCTCCACTGCTCTGGGGGTTGTGAGGGAGAGGCGCCGCTGCTCTGGCGGGTTTTGAGGGCGAGGCGCTGCTGCTCTTGGGGTTTTGAGGGAGAGGCGCCGCAGCTCTGGGGGCTGTGAGGGAGAGGCGCCACTGCTCTGGGGGTTGTGAGGGAGAGGCGCCGCTGCTCTGGGGGCTGTCAGGGAGAGGCGCCGCTGCTCTTGGGGTTTTGAGGGAGAGGCGCCGCTGGTCTGGGGGTTGTGAGGGAGAGGCTCCGCTGCTCTGGGGGGTTGTGAGGGAGAGGCTCCACTGCTCTGGGGGTTGTGAGGGAGAGGCGCCGCTGCTCTGGGGGTTTGTGAGGGCGAGGCGCCGCTGCTCTGGGGGCTGTGAGGGAGAGGCGCCACTGCTCTGGGGGTTGTGAGGGAGAGGCGCCGCTGCTCTGGGGGCTGTGAGGGAGAGGCGCCGCTGCTCTTGGGGTTTTGAGGGAGAGGCGCTGCTGCTCTGGGGGCTGTGAGGGAGAGGCGCCACTGCTCTGGGGGTTGTGAGGGAGAGGCGCCGCTGCTCTGGGGGCTGTGAGGGAGAGGCGCCGCTGCTCTTGGGGTTTTGAGGGAGAGGCGCCGCTGCTCTGGGGGTTGTGAGGGAGAGGCGCCGCTGCTCTGGGGGGTTGTAGGGGAGAGGCGCTGCTGCTCTGGGGGTTTGTGAGGGAGAGGCTCCGCTGCTCTGGGGGGTTGTGAGGGAGAGGCTCCACTGCTCTGGGGGTTGTGAGGGAGAGGCGCCGCTGCTCTGGCGGGTTTTGAGGGCGAGGCGCTGCTGCTCTTGGGGTTTTGAGGGAGAGGCGCCGCTGCTCTGGGGGCTGTGAGGGAGAGGCGCCACTGCCCTGGGGGTTGTGAGGGAGAGGCGCCGCTGCTCTCGGGGCTGTGAGGGAGAGGCGCCGCTGCTCTTGGGGTTTTGAGGGAGAGGCGCCGCTGGTCTGGGGGTTGTGAGGGAGAGGCGCCGCTGCTCTGGGGGGTTGTAAGGGAGAGGCGCTGCTGCTCTGGGGGTTTGTGAGGGAGAGGCTCCGCTGCTCTGGGGGGTTGTGAGGGAGAGGCTCCACTGCTCTGGGGGTTGCGAGGGAGAGGCGCCGCTGCTCTGGGGGGTAGTGAGGGCGAGGCGCCGCTGCTCTGGGGGTTGTGAGGGAGAGGCGCCACTGCTCTGGGGGTTGTGAGGGAGAGGCGCCGCTGCTCTGGGGGCTGTGAGGGAGAGGCGCCGCTGCTCTTGGGGTTTTGAGGGAGAGGCGCCGCTGGTCTGGGGGTTGTGAGGGAGAGGCGCCGCTGCTCTGGGGGGTTGTAAGGGAGAGGCGCTGCTGCTCTGGGGGTTTGTGAGGGAGAGGCTCCGCTGCTCGGGGGGGTTGTGAGGGAGAGGCTCCACTGCTCTGGGGGTTGTGAGGGAGAGGCGCCGCTGCTCTGGCGGGTTTTGAGGGCGAGGCGCCACCCCACCACTCCACCCCTCCACCCCTCCACCCATCCACACCTCCACCCATCCACCCATCCACACCTCCACCCCTCCACCCATCCACACCTCCACCCATCCACCCATCCACACCTCCACCCCTCCACCCCTCCACCCATCCACCCCTCCACCGGTCCACCCCTCCACCCCTCCACACCTCCACCCATCCACACCTCCACCCCTCCACCCATCCACCCATCCACCCCTCCACCCCTGCACCCCTCCACCCCTCTTAGAGGCGCCTCTCGTCTTAGAGACAGGCGCCTCTCCTCGAAGGGGCAGGCGCCTCTCCTCTGAGAGGCAGGCGCCTCTCCTGAGGGGCAGGTGCCTCTCCTCTGAGAGGCAGGCGCCTCTCCTCTGAGGGGCAGGCGCCTCTTCTCTGAGGGGCAGGCGCCTCTCCTCTGAGGGGCAGGCGCCTCTCCTCTAAGAGGCGGGTGGCTCTCCTGTAAGTGGCAGCGCCTGTCCTCTGAGAGGCGCCTCTCCTCTAAGAGGCGGGCGGCCCTTTTCCTCCCCCCTCTCTCCCCTCCACCCCTCCACCCCACCACCTTTGGCATGTTCTGGCATTGTGGCATGGTTATGCATGGTTAGATCGAATCCCCTTAACATCCATTAATATAGCATTCACGATTTTGTCAGCTGCTTTTTTCCTGCCCGACCTATACTGTGCATGACATTTGTGCTCCAGGATGGCTGGGTCAACGCCCTCTACTGCACGCCATGCAATGCCATGCACACTCTCACAATCCTCTTGTGCAACATGTGTTAATTCGCGCCCCCACCCCTGTCAGGATGGCCGGGTCAACGCCCTCTACTCCACCCCGTCCTTCTATGTGGACGCCGTTCAGAAGGAGAACAAGACGTGGCCTCTCAAGACGGGTGACATGTTCCCGTGCGTACAGACTGTGTGGTCTTAGAAGCGATTCAGTAATTTTAATAAATTCAATATTCACATTCAGGTTATTTTTTAACTGTATATCTTCCAATCTCGCTCCCCTTCCCGCTTTGTTCTCTCTCTCGGCCATACATTCAGCTATGCTGACGCCCCGCACTACCTCTGGACGGGGTATTTCGCCAGCCGGGCAAACTTCAAGCGCTATGCTCGTGCCTGCAGCTCCCTGCTGCTGGTGTGTTCTTTTTGCCTTGCCTTGCTTTGACTTGACGTGTCCCGACCCGGTGTATGGCCCACTCCTTCTTGCATGTTCTTGTCTTGGTCTAGTCAACTCCTGTCAGCCCCTTCCTTCTCCTATACCTTGCTATTCCCCAAATCACTTGGGGTTCTCTGCGTCCCTTCCTCTCCCATCTACTGTTCTGTCCCTTTCACCCCTCCTTTCATCCCTCCTTCCGTCCCTCTTCCTAATGCGCCTAGGCGACCACAATTCTCGAGGCTGCTGTGGGCAAGACTGCTCTGAGGGACTGGGGGCTGAAGACCCACAGGATGATCGCTACAGACGAGTTTCTGTTCGACAATCACCTGGGAAAGAACCTGAAAGGCACTAGCGGGGTGGAGGGGGGCGATAGTGGTGGGGATGTGGGAGAGGGTGGGGGAGGGGGGAATGGAGAAGGGGGAGAGGGGGGGAATGTGGACAGTGGTGAGTGGGAGGAGTGGGAGAGTGTGGGTGCAGGTGCGAAGAGGAGGAGGGTGGCGTCCACGTTTCCTTTGGAGGAGGCAGTGGCAGTGGCACAGCACCACGATGCCATCACAGGCACGGCCCAGCAGCACGTGAATGACGACTACATCCTCCGACTGCACAGAGCAGCACAGGAGGTGAGGAATGGGGGGAAGAAGATGGAACGGTGGGAAGAGGGGTCTCTGGGGGGGGGGGGGAGGGACTGCTGTGAATTCTGCCTGCATTTACACAGTCAGACTTCAAGAAACGTCTCAACAGGGAGTGAGGTGAGAGGCGAGGTGCCGGGTTACTTTTCTCAGTCTATGGTGCGGTAGTCATACACTCCCTTTTAAGCAACCCACCCAATTTGACACGTCTTTTCTCTCTCTCCTCGCTGTTTCTCCCCTCCTTGCAATCACTCCAGGCCTCCACTGTAGTGGCGGCTGCTCTCGTTCACCTCATCACCCAAGCAGCCCCCACCACTCTACCTTCGCGCTCCTCTTCCCCAACGTCCAGCTCGACTCCCCAAGAACCATCTCGAGCCTTCTTCACTCCCACAGCCGACCCAACAATGGGGCCCTCAGACTTCCCTCCTTTCAATTCCCAGCCTGGTGACCCCACGCTTGATCCTGCTGCTCAGTTACAAGCCGAGCCATGGGCTCCTGCAGACCCGGATCAACCCCAGTCGTTTCCCGAGAAGCCAACCCTCGAAACTGCTAGTCCCTTTGACCCTTCCATGCCGGAGAGTAGCGAGACTGACCCGCTTTTCGCTCAGCTGCACCCAGAATTGACTCAGGGCGAGGCAGGCTCGAATGAGGGAGACCAACAGCAGGCAGCAGACATGTCGTCGTTCTTCCCTTACAATCGCCAAGTGCCTCCTGTTGAAGAGACACTCCAGTCGCAGGAGAGAGTGCAATGGACAGATGCGAATCAACAGGAACAGCCCACAGGAACCGTTGATGTTCATGCTCCACAAGAGGAGGTTTCGCCTGGGAGAAGGGGGCAAGAGATGGTGCTGAGGGGAAGAGACACCATCACAGGAGCAGAAAGTAGCAGATTGGTGCGTGGGAAAGGGGAGGCAGGCTGGGAAATGGGGGGAGAAGGAAGTGGCGCAGGCAGCAACAACAGGGGAAGGCGACTTTTGAGGGAGGCGGGAGTTGTGAGCGATGTGCGTCAAGCGAGGGAGGACAACGAGCAAGCGAGCACAGAGGGTGGTGACCGAAGGAGTGCAAGCGAGGGAGGCGCGGCGCAGAACCTGCCTGTGCTGGACTTTCAGATGGTATGTGATGTGTTGCTTTTTGTCATGTTACAGTTGCTTCAAAACCATGCAGCTTCCAGGCTTCTTAGTTCTGTGTGCAAGTAGCGACCTCGGTTACACTATGTGCTCAGAATACGTTGCCCTCCCTCACTGTAGTTCCCTATTTTATATTGTTTTCTACTTACGTTGGCTTCATCTTCTTCCGCCATTCACACTCTCCATCCCCTTCCACACCCCATCCCATCCCCTGCATTCCTCGTCCATCCCCTTCTACTTACCTTTCTCCGCTTCTGCTGCAGTGTCCACTGCTCAACCTCTCTTATTGTCCTCCGTCTGAAACGAAACTCAGCCCAGACCAAGTCCTGGTATACCGCACCTCCTCGTCTCCTCTTCATGTCCTCCTGTCTTTAACCTGCATCTCTTCTCCTTCATCGTCCAGATTTCCTTTTCCACGTACACTTCCTGTTTGTTATTCGAGCCACGTCCCACGCTGAATTCCCAACCAGTCAACTACGTCGCTTTTAGTCGACTGAAAAGTCAACTCTCGAGTCCACTAACAAGTGACTTACTCGTGCTGGAAACCCAACCAGGTGGTGACTGTGTTCAACCCACTAGGGTGGCCCCGCACAGAGATCGTTCGGTTCCCGGTATGCCCCTCCTACCTCCTACAGCATCCCTCTTCCATTTTTCTCTGCATTTTTCATCTCTCTGGGTCTTTCTTCATTTCCCGCACAGCCTCCCACCTCATCCCTCCTCTACCCCTCCCTTTCCCCACCACCCCACCCCAACCCCACTCCCGCCCCCCTTTTCCTTCCCCAACCTAACTGCACCCCTACCTCTTCTCCTACCCTCCAGGTCGCCTCGCCATCGGTCCTGGTGACAGACTCGTCCAACTCACCAATCTCCGCCCAGATCGTCACCGAAACCCTTGTGGACCCCAACACACGCGCCCTGTACATTGCTGCATACACCGGCCAGTTTCCCGAGGAGCCCCAGCAGTCCCAGCAGCCCCAGCAGCCAGGGCAGCAGGAGGGGCAAACGGAAGGGGCCCAGGTGCAGCAGGAGGGGCGGGCCCGTGTCAGTTGTGTTCCGTGCCGAGGTGCCTCCTCTTGGTTACGCCACATACTTCGTCACTGCTGTGCCACCAGGTATGAGCCTGTGACAGCAGTAGTGACAGCAGGAGGGGCAGCCAGTGTCAGTTGTGTTCCGTGCCGAGGTGCCTCCTCTTGGATACGCTACGTTCTTCCTCGCTGCCGTGCCACCAGGTATGAACCGAACCAGTGCCAGTGCCAGTGAGAGTGAGAGTGAGAGTGAGAGTGAGAGTGAGAGTGAGAGTGAGAGTGACAGTGCCATAATCCACCTTGTTTTCCCTTAAACCCCTCCCCTGCACGCTCTTCCCTTCCTCACACACAGCCATCCCTGTTCTTTCGCCCATGATGTGCCCCCCACACAGGCACACAAGGAGCAGCCGTCATCAGCACAACAGAGTCAACAAAAGTTCCTGCCCTCAAAGACCCAGCTGGAACCCCCAACAGTGCAAACACAGCAAACTCTCCAGCTGAAAACATCGTTCTAGGAGGGTTTAAGGCCGACTCATCTTCTGGTGCTGGTGGCGCTGCTGGCAAGTCTACCGGTGCAGGAAAGGAGGGAGACGCTGCTCTGCGTGTGACGTTCTCCAAGGCAGCGTATGGCATGACGCAGATGGAGCTTGTCCGACAGACTGATGGAGAACAAGTGACTGTGGTGAGTGCGGGTTAACTGCTTGGGATGGGATGGGATAGCAGTGGTGCTGGTGTCGAGGCTACTGGTGCAGGCAACGAGGGAGATACTGCACTGCGAGTAACATTTTCCAAGTCAGAATATGGCATGACGCAGATGGAGCTCGTTCGACAGACTTATGGCGGACATGTGACTGTGGTGAGAGCTGGGAGAGCTCTCATATGCTTGCACAAGTTACCATGTGTACACAACGACTCTGAATGCCAGTATTTTCGTCTAGCATGACCTGGATCAAGAAGCTGTTGGATTGATCCCGTCACCTACCCCTCAGCGTGCATTGAGTTGATTTTTGAGGCGTCTCAAAAACCTACCCCTCAACGACCCCCTCTCACTCCGTTTATCCCCCCACCCCGCTGCTGCTTTCCTTTCCTGCTGCCCTGGCAGGATGTGGCAAAGCCGGTCAGGTCGGACGTAATGGAGTACGTCACACAAAAGGTACACAGCGGTGGAGAATGTCGCACAAAAGGTACACAGCGGTGGAGAATGTCACACAAAAGGTACACAGCGGTGGAGAATGTCACGCACAAGGTACACAGTGGTGGAGAGTGTCTCGCACAAGGTGCGTAGTGGACTATGTCACAAACAAGGTATCTGCTGAAGTGCATGTCCCCTTTCTCCACCACTTGCCATCTCCCCTCCCACCCGTTTTCCCAACCCACTTTCTTGACCCTCCTTCTCATTCTTCCTCCTCCCTCCCCTCCCTCCTAATCCCCATTCACCTCTCGTCGAAACCTCTCAACCCCACTCTGCCCCCCAACTCACGTCCCTCCCCTCTCCTTGCATATCCTCTTCCTTCTGCTCGTGCCTCCCCCTGTGCCTCCCCCTCCGCCTGTCAGGGTGGAGCCTACATCTTTGACCCCACTGCTGAAGCAGCCAACCCGACTCAGAGAGACGACCAGGTGAGTGCAATCAGGATTTTCCTGAACGCCTCTGTTCTGTGTCCACGCTAGCTCGAGCCTGACAGCCAGGTCCTGACTACTTTGGCGTCCACGTCAGCACGATCAGGGTCTGTCAGTACGGTAGTAGTCAAACATCATAAGACCTTGGTATAGTTATAAATGAGGTTACAAGTATTTGCACTCTACTTAAATACACAGTGTTTTGCCTTCTGGTATATCGTGGACTCTCCATGGGATGGAATGGAAGGAGAGACCATGGGAGAGAAGACTTTTGAGTCGACTCAAGAGCAAGTGCTTGTCACTCACACTCCTGTTTCATGCCTTTCCTTGGCCATGCTGACGTGTCCAGGTGTCCATCCGTGTTCAACGTGGACCAATCGTGGAAGAGTTCTCCCGTCAAGTTGCTCCATGGATCTCAGAGGTATGCTGACAGCCAAAACAATATCCCTCTGCAGCTCCTTCAGTTTCCTGTTTCTCAATGCTACTTGCATTCGCTTTCTTTCCTTCTGCTCCCACTCTCCCCTTTCCCCCCTCCCCCCTCCCCCATCCCCACCCCCCGAATGCTGCGTGCATTTCCTTGCAGACCTTCCGGGTGTACCCAGGGTGTGACTACGCCGAGCTGCACCATGTGGTAAGAGCCCTTCCTTTCACCCCTACAATCACGCACTCTGACTGACCTGAGAGGCATTCGCGCCCTTTGACAAACCACTTAGCTCACATGATTAAGATTCCAAGTGGTTGTGCTTTGCACACCTGTGCACGTGTCTGTGCTCTCTCAGTGCTTACGCATGATGGAATGCGCAAAACACTCCGTGAATGAACATCTTTGAGGCACCTTTAAAAAATTGCGCAAACATTCCGCTTAAAGCACCTCCCTGCACCTCACAGCCTTTATGTGTGCCGTTTCTTATACCCTATCGTTTCTCCACCCTCTCTCCTTTCTCAACCATTCTCCACAGATTGGCCCTACCCCGGAGGACAGCAGGGGTCACGAGGTGGTGACCCGCTTTGCAGCGCCCATCAGCAGCAACAAGACCTTTTTCACAGACTCTAATGGCAGGCGGTACCTCAAACGGGTGAGCTCAGTTCATAGACAGGTGCGATTAGCTTAAAACGAATACCTCAAGTGGAACGAGTTAGTGCTGTTGGCTGCTTGGTGAGAGCATCCTGATTTCTCTTTCACTCCTCTCTCCACCTTATCTGTTTCTTATTTCCATCCATCCATTGTCCCATCTTCCCTCCCACCTTCACGCACTTCTCTTTCCCCATTCTTGTTCTCCCATTCACGCACCTCCCTTGGTCTCCCATACTCCCTTTCTCCCCACACCATCTTCCCTTCCCTGTCACCCCCCTCAATCCCATGCCCTCTCCCCCAGGTTGTGGACCATCGCGATGATTGGGAGCTTACAGTCACCGATCCCATCGCAGGCAATTTCTATCCGGTCAGTCAACTCCAACCAATCCTTACTTTCAGTCCAATCGAAGTGACGATTGAGTTGACTCAAAAGTCACCTCATTTTTATCCTGCCAGTCCAGTCCAACCTATCCCTCAGTCCTATCAGCCCGTTGAGTCGAACCAATCCTTACTTCAGTCCACGCAGCTAGTCCCCGCCCCTCCCCCATGTGACGGTGAGTGCACTTATAGGGGTGTTTGATGCGCCTTAGGAAAGCATTCCTGCATCCTTGCTCTCTCCCCTTCCCCAAGTGGCAATGGGCGTTCATTGTCATGGTTTGAGTCCTCCTGAAGAATCCTCGCTGCTTCCTCGTTCCCCTCTCCCTCCTGCAGTTGGCGGTGGGGGCGTTCATGGGCGATGGCGAGTCACATGATGAGAAGTCCTCCTTGCTTCCTCACTCCCTCCTACCCTTCACTCCTATCCCTCTCACAGGTGACGGTGGGGGCTTTTATCGGGGATGGCGAGGCACAGCTGTCGCTGTTGGTGGACCGAGCAGCCGGTGCTGCCAGCCTGGCAGCCGGACAGCTCGAAGTCATGCTGCACCGGTGAGCCTCCCAACCCATGCTGCACCGGTGAGCCTCCCAGTCATGCTGCACCAGTGAGCCTTAGAAACATCTTACTCTGAGAACCTTGACATGCTGAAAAGATCTTGTTGTAAGGATATAATACAAACCTTGACTTGTCTGGGCACTCACAGTCACTGAGATGTTCCATTAACATCTCACCAAAATCTGTGATATCAAACCCCTGTGTGCGCGAATGCAGGGCACTGGTGACAGTGGACATGAAGGGCGTGGGGGAGATCCTCAATGAGCAGATCTCGTTCAATGGCAACAATCAACGCCTAATGGTATGCTCATCTGTGTACACAGTACGGGGAACTATGCATGGCATGGCTAGAAATAACATGCCTTCAGAAAAACAAGCTGAATTCAGGAAACGTGTTGAGCAAAAACTGCCATAAACGCAATCAAACAAGCAACGTCCAGTGCATGCTTCTTGAGTGTGGTCCTCTTTCCGTCATGCATTAACCATTCCTTCTTGGTCCGTTCCTTCTTGATCCCCTTCCCGCCCCCACCCTTCCTCTCCAGGTCATAGGCTCCATCCGCTTTGGCTTGCACCCAGGGGGAAGCACAGTGGCGGGAGATGAGGAGCACGCAGAGGAACAGCTTACAGTGACCACTTCTGCCGTTGCCCCTACTGATGCTGACGCCGCTGCTGCTGATCCCACTGGTGCTGGTACGGGTGCTGACAGCATCCCACCCCAGGGAGTTCCTGGCTCATGGCCTGAAGCACCCCCGCATGGAAGACGAGGGGCTGAAATGGACAGAGGAGAGAGCAAAGATGAGGCGCCTCAGGGTTTGTCAGGGATGGGCCGGCCGTGGGAAAGGCGTGGAGGGGAGAGGCAGGAGGGAGAGGGGGAGAGGAAGGGGCAGGGGGCGCAGTGGAGAAGGGTGCACGCCCAGCGCCTTATTGCTCCTCTGCAGCTAGCATTTGCTGTTGAGGTGTGTGCGCGCTTCTTGTTTGTGCTCCACGTGTGCTCTTACCATCTGCGCATGCTTTTCGTCTGTGAAATGGGTTTGCTGTTGACGTTCATTCGTGCCTTTTTGTTCTGCCAAGTCAACCCCACAGGTTCATCTATTGCAGCAATTTACGAGATCTTGCCAGTTTCCTCTTTATTTCTTTACCCTGTCAACCCACCACACCCCACTAACCCTTGCTCCTCCCAGTCAAAGGAGGCCATAAGAGCAGCCGAGGCAACCCACAGGTGGCGCTACTCTATCTCGCAGCAATCACACGGCAGCCGCCCCCCCACACCCCAGCCTGCTTACTCCCTGCCACCAAACGTAGCTGTTATCTCCTTCCAGGTCAGCTTCACCTCGCATAGCTCTGTTCAGGTCGGACTAAACTTCTAAGGGAGTTTGAATGTCAGGTTTGAATCCCTCTGATCTCCTCTCACATAAGCTCAACCCCTCTTGGCTCCCTTCGAGTCAGCTCGACCCCCCGAGCAGCCCCCTCGTTCTCCTTCGTTCTCACACACAAAAACACAATCGTCGTGCTTCTCGTTCAACATGGCCATGCGGCCATGCCTGCTTGATCCAATGTCGCAGCGCCTCATTGCCTCTTCCTCTCTCGTCCACTCTCTCTCTCTTGCATGCAGGAGCTGTCTCCAAGGAACATTGTGCTGCGACTGGCTCATCTCTACGAGGTACTAGCAGCTTGAGGACATTGTGCACCCTCTTCTGCTCCCTATGAGCCATACCCAGCATCTTTTTTACGCAGATACACATATGCTGGCCTCTCAGTTTTTTTTTTTTTTCTCTCTCTCTCTTACGGCCTTTTCACTATATTGTTTTACCCTCGAACACACATGGAGTGCACTGTGTAGGCGCTCCTTGTGTTGCAATGCCCCCCCCCTCTCTTTCTATCTCCGCCATCTCTGTAGGCTGATGAGCATCCAACACAGTCCAGAATCGAACGCGTCGACCTAAGGCAACTTCTCTCATCACAAAAGGTACTGCATGATATGCGATTGCACAATGCCCATGGCTATATTTCATGCAGTCTTTTTGTATGCCCAGCTGTTGGTGCACACCGCTTTCTGCCCCCCCATTTGTTCACAATCCCTTCTGTGTGCTCTGATTGATGCAGATTCAAGGAGTAACAGAGCTAAGTTTAATGGCTAATCAGAAACGATCGGAAATGCGTTGTCCAATGACATGGCGTGTCGATGGAGATTCAAGCCATTCAAAGGAGCACTCACTCTGGGGAGGCCCTATGGACCCAACTTCCCTCACAGTGGAATTAGCCCCGGGGGAGATCCGCACTTTCTCTGTGCAGCTCTCCACTCAATAAGTTAAAAAATGGGTTGGTTCGGTGGTTTTTTTCTAGGACACCTGGTTGATTCACTAATTTATTTTCAATTGCAGGATAACTGGAAAATGTGGATTCACTAATTTATTTTCACTTGCAGGATAACTGGAAAATGTGGAGAACGTGTTACATTCACAAACGCGTCTGCTTATCTTGGACGTTGCACACTGCTCCAAAAAAAATCACGCCCCGCCTGCACTACCTGACCCAACGAAGTACTGAACTGCCAGAATTGTTAACTCCCCAGCTCTGGCCTCAGGAACACGGCACCCGCCACTCAACAAAAGCACAATTCACCCATGCAGCTAGCCCATTCGCAGCACGACTGGTTCGACAGCAAGACCATTTACACGACGCCTGTAAGCGAGTTAGCTCTCCATGGAACAGCAGCAGCCGCCGCAATGCGCGCTGGACGCGGCGCTGAAGCGATCCGAGGCTGTAGACGACAGCACGCCACGTGTCCGCGGACACACCTTCCACGAAGCTTCTGTTCTGCCCGCGCGCGAATCCTCTCGCCGCGATCAGCCGCGAGAGGGTAGCGCAAACGAAATCCCCTGTAGCGCGAATGGCGATACTCGAGATAGCGATGCAGTCGCGACTGCTACAGGAGAAGCAACAGGGCGAGGGGAAACGAGTAGTGCTGTACCAGCAGTAGGAGGAGCGGGTTCGGTGACAGTGGATTATTCGGTGCTTATGAGCCGAATGCTGACGACTGGGTTTCAGGCCACGTGTCTGGGGCAGGCGATTAATGAAGTCAATCGAATGGTGAGATCTCGTTACTCGCGTCTCATGTTCCTCCACGGCCGTCCCTGTGCCTGTTCAAGCCGCTCTGTTAGTTTCGGCCACCGAGCTCCCCTAATTCCCCTTTCTCCCTACCGTGACTTTTCCATGTTAAACCCCAAACCCTGAACCCCGTTTTTCTTTTACCTCGTGGCGGCATAGAGACGACCAACCGCCCAATCCCGACGTCATAGGGGAGTCGAATGTTCTGCCTTTGCTACCTCTCCTTCGTACATCACACCCAGACCCCACTCTCTAACCCTCAACCCTCAAACCCCCCTCCCCTCCCCAGCTCGCGTGGCGGCTGAATGACGACCCGCCCAAGCCAGACGACACGGAGGAGGAGAGGGACCCGGCCTTCCGGTCGTCTGTGCGGTGCAAGATCTTCCTGGGCTTCACATCCAATCTCATGAGCTCGGGGCTCCGAGAGACCTTCTGCTTCCTGGCGAAGCACAAGCTGGTGGGTCACTGCCTCATGAGTGTGTGAGTTGGGCGCTCGGGGATTGTCTCAGTCCGTAGAGGGATAGAGAGAGAGTCTCAGTCTCCTAGTTGTCTGTGCGACGGTGCAAGATCTTCCTGGGCTTCACGTCCAACCTCATGAGCTCGGGGCTCCGAGAAACGTTCTGCTTCCTCGCAAAACACAAACTGGTGGGTCACTGCTTCGTGCGGGTTAAAGGGACTCCCTGCCGTTCGGTCAACTGTCTGTGTGGTGCAAGATCTTCCTGGGCTTCACATCCAATCTCATGAGCTCGGGACTCAGAGAGACCTCATGCTTTCTCGCAAAGCACAAACTGGTGGGTCACTGCTTTGTGTGGGTTATTTGGGGGGCTCGCGCGAGTTAGCCTTTCAAGGTCGTTCTCACTCGGTAAAGGGGCAGAGAAAGGAAGTGTCCCAGCCTTCTTGTCGTCTGTGCGGCGCCAGATCTTCCTGGGTTTCACCTCGAACGGTTCAGAGACACGTTATACTTCCTGGCGAATCCGATACTGGTTAACATCTTCCTCAACTGTGCATCATTTCTTCATCCCCCGTCTCCCTTTCTCCCCCCGTTTGTGTGAATTCCCCTGCGCTCATAGATGCTTCTACTCTCCCACCGACCCCGCCCACCCACTTTTGAGGCGCCTCAAAAGTCCCCTGCGCTCATAGATGCTTCTACTCTCCCACCGACCCTGCCCACCCACCCACTCACCTTCCAGGTGGATGTGATAGTGACTACAGCGGGGGGCATAGAGGAGGACGTGATAAAGTGCCTGGCGCCCACTTTTGCTCGGTTCCACCTTCCTACCCGCCCATCCACCCATAATCGTTCAGGTGGACGTGATAGTGACTACAGCGGGGGGCATAGAGGAAGATGTGATAAAGTGCCTGGCGCCCACGCTCCTGGGCGATTTCTCCCTGGCGGGGAAGGACCTGAGAGCCAAGGGGCTGAACCGCATTGGCAACCTGCTGGTGCCCAACAACAACTACTGCCTCTTCGAAGACTGGGTGCTGCCCGTGCTGGACGCTTGCTTGCACGAGCAGCAGACGCAGGTGAGGGCTAGGGGAGGTGAAAGGGAGTGTAAGTTTCTCCCTGGCGGGGAAGGACCTGAGAGCCAAGGGGCTGAACCGCATTGGCAACCTGCTGGTGCCCAACAACAACTACTACCTCTTCGAAGACTGGGTGCTGCCCGTGCTGGACGCTTGCTTGCACAAGCAGAAAACACAGGTGAGAGAAGGGAGGAGAGAGAAAATGTTATCATTCCCTTGCTGGGGAAGGACCTGAGGGCCAAGGGGCTGAACCGCATCGGCAACCTGCTGGTGCCCAACAACAACTACTGTCCTTGACTTCCCCCCTGCCCATATGTGCCAGCCTCGAGCAGGGCGTGGTGTGGACGCCCTCCAAGCACATCGACCGCCTGTGGAATTATTTTAACCGACTCACAAGTTTGACGTGCAGCTCTAACTGCACCGCACTCTCACTTCCCTCCCTCCCTCCTGTCTTCCCTTTGTGCTGCCTCAAGCAGGGCGTGGTGTGGACGCCCTCCAAGCTCATTGACCGTTTGGGGAAAGAAATCAACCACGAGGAGTCGGTTCTCTACTGGGCGCATAAGGTGAGCCTCATCCCCGCCTCTACACACTCAGCAGTTCAGTTCAATCTTTGTTTTTGTGTTGTTTTCTTCTTGTGATGTGTGTGTGTGTGTGTGTGTGTGTGTGTGTGTGTGTGTGTGTGTGTGTGTGTGTGTGTGTGTGTGTGTGTGTGTGTGTGTGTTTTTTTTTTTTTTTTTTAAACGAGAAGAACAAAAAAAAAAAAAAAATGTTCTGTGCATCTCTGTGTTCGTGGCCGCTTCATTGTCAGAACGGCATCCCGGTGTTTTGTCCAGCCATCACGGACGGGTCTCTGGGTGACATGATCTACTTCCACTCCTTCCGCTCGCCAGGGCTCCTCATTGACCTTGTGCAAGGTGCGTTGACCTGCGTTGACTCAGTTGACCTGGTCAAGACATGATCTACTTCCACTCCTTTCGTTCGCCAGGGCTCCTCATTGACCTTGTGCAAGGTGAGGGCTTGCGTTGACCTTGTTGACTTGGTGCAACACCAACATGACACACCCCCTCACCCTCTCCCTTGACACTCTCCCTCCTCCCCTTACCCTCTCCCCCGACCCATTCCCCTGACACCCCCCCTCCCCCTCTCCCCTCCTCCCCTTCCCAGACATCCGGCGGATGAACGGCGAGGCAGTGAACGCCACCCCCCGGCGAACAGGCGTGATCATTCTGGGAGGGGGGCTGCCGAAGCACCACATCTGCAACGCCAACATGATGCGCAACGGGGCAGACTACGCCGTCTACATCAACACAGCGAGCGAGTTTGACGGGAGCGACTCGGGGGCGAGGCCAGACGAGGCTGTGAGCTGGGGGAAGATCCGCGGGGATGCCACCGCCGTGAAGGTGAGTTTGTGTGCTTTTTTATCCGAAGTAAGGGTTATCTTGTGAAGGCGAGAGAGCCGGGAGCTAGTGCGCATGGTATGGAGTGGGGGGGCAGGCACGGGGAGGGGTGTTTCAGGGCGTGCAATGCCAACATGATGCGCAATGGGGCGGACTATGCAGTCTACATCAACACAGCGAGCGAGTTCGATGGGAGCGACTCGGGGAAGATCCAAGGAGATGCAGGTGCAGTCAAGGTGACTCAATGTCCCCTTGACATGGCGCCATTGATCCAGAGGGCGAGCACGCCTTTGAGCCGGCTCAAGGTCGCCAAACATTGACGTCGCCATGTGACGGTGCGAGAGTGTGAGCGGGCTCACATGGCGCAAGGAGAGAAAGGCGCTGAGAGCAGGAGGGGTATGTGAGGAAACTGCAGGGGTTGACTTTTGAGTCGACTCAAAAGTCAACAAGGCACTGAGAGCAGGAGGGGGATGTGATGAAACTGCAGGGGTAGTGAGAGAGAGCGCACATTATGTGGTAAGTCAAGTCAAGAATCACCTTCACCAATCTCCTCATCTCATTCGCCCCTCTGTGCATACAACGCCTTTGATCTAATAACCCCGTTTCCCTTTTCCTTCAGATTCATTGCGATGCCACCATCGCCTTCTTTCTGCGTCTGGTTAAGTTAGAAAGTCACCTCCCCCGCCATCTCATCCCTCTCCCCTCCCCTCTCACCCATCTCCTCCATCCCCCATTAACTGCTTGGCCACCTGCAGGTTTATTGCGATGCCACCATCGCCTTCCCCCTGCTCGTAGCCGAGACGTTTGCCCCCCACTTACAGGAGCGAGTGCAGCAGCAAGAACAAGCAAAGCAGAACGTGCAAGCAAGGGAGAAGCAGTAGTGTCAGACAGCAGGCAGAATATGAGGACCTCCAGGGAAGAGCATGACAGGCATGTCCGAGGGACTGCTAGCACGTGCATGCGTGAATGCACCCAGGTGGTTGTGTTGAGCCGTTCCTCTGCATCCCAGTAGGGTTTGAATTGTTACAAATGTTTCACAATACACAAGTTTTTTTGCAGGCTTGAAAGGAGAGCACAAGCAGAGGCTATGGTGTTATTCTTTCGACTGCTATGCTCAAATCATGGCCGTTCAGTTCCAACCAATCTATGGAAAGGCCAACACAGCGGAGTGGGCATATGTATGCCATACTGCCCCATGCCATACAAGGCAAGAAGAATGAAAATTCACCACCTAGGAAATGCTAACTACAGGAATCTGCTCCCTTTGAACCCTGAGGGGGAAGATCGATATGGAACATCCAATGTCTGCAGCAGTGACGTATGAGGCGACTCGAACACTCAATGGGACTTGTTTCTTTTGAGGCGCCTAAAGAATGGAAGTGTAACAAGGGGGGCCACAATGCCCCTGAGTGATCACGACGTGGCTCAAAAGGCTTGAAAGGCTCGAAAGACGCAAAAGGCACCTCAATTGGAGGAGCAGAGAGTCTAAATATCCATGGGCTCACACGCTGAACCTGGCGGCGCCTCAATAGCAGAACCACCTGTGGTATTGGCAACAGCGGGAGGAGCATTCGCAGCGGCAGGAGCACTGGTGGCAGCAGTTGCAGCATAGGCGGCGGTGAGACCCCCACCCTGACTGTGTGGAGCGGGCATGTTGGAGAAGGGGAGCACGAGGTGACCTGATGAAGCGGCCAGAGACGCCTGGAAGCTGAGAGCGTCTATTATTGCGCTGGCGTCTTGTAACGAGGATGGGTTCATCTGCTGCAGCAGCTGCTCTAGGGAGGCTTCCAATCCTGGTAGGGTTGCTGCTGCTGCCGCTGCTGTCGGTGTTGGTGCGGCTATAGCTGCTGCTGCTGCTGCCCCCTCGTTAGAGCCCCACTGCTGTACAGTCACACCTGGGGTTGCACCTGCTGTCGCATCAGTTCCCGTCCTTGCACTAGACTCTGCTGCTGTCCCAACTCCAGTTGCTCCTGCAATAGATCCCCATGGCTGTATAATCACACTGGGGCTAGCTCCTAGCCCTCCGAACCCGTTTCCCATACCGCCCCCCCCTGCAAAAGAACCCCACTGCGTTACATTCACACCTGGGCTTGCTGCTACTCCTGGGCGCATCCCTCCCATATAGCCCCACTGCTGCATAGTCACACTCGGACTGGCTGCTATTCCTGAGCCCATTCCCCCCACAGTACCCCATTGCTGCATAGTCACACCTGGGCTGGGTCCTGTTCCCAAGCCCATCCCCCCTATCGTACCCCACGGCTGTATAGTCACACCCGGGCTGGGTCCTATCCCTGAGCCTAGTCCCCCCATAGAGCCCCACTGCTGCGTAGTCACACCTGGGCTGGCACCTGAAAACCACCCTGCTACAAGGTCAGACATGGAGGGATAAGTGATCTCAGGTGCTGCAGAGGTGGTCAGGCTCGGGCGGGTACTTGCGAGGTTCGGTGGGCCGTTTGGGTGGTTCGGCAGCACGTCTGGAAGGTTCGGGACGGCTGGGTTTGGCTGGGTGGCAACAGGGTGGGGCGGAAGGTTGGAAAGAATCCATTGAGAGGCAAGTTGACCGAAAGGACTCGGGCCAAAACCCGAAGCAGGGAGAGTGGAAGCAGCTTCAGCAGAAGCAGCCTCGGCAGAAGCAGCCTCGGCAGAAGCAGCCGTGGCAGACACAGGCAGAGGTGAGTTCACAGGGGAGAGGGCTGCACTGATGGTGTTGGGCGTAGCATCCGTGCTTGCAGGCGCTGTGACAGCAGCAACAGCAGCAGGAGAAACTGGCGCTGGAGAGGAGGCTGCTGCTGTATCAGCAGCAGCATCAGCAGAGCAAGCTGAAGCATCACAACGAATCGTGGCCACTGCTACTGCATCAGCACCACTGCTGGTTCTGCCACCACCAGCCGCAGCATCCAAGTCATAATCCCCCAAATCCATAGGTGCCTTTGTGAGCTCATGATAATGAGACGCACTAGGCTCGGAATCAACAAGCTGCGGGTCGGGATACTCTGACAGAGTGGAGGATGGCTTGGTGGGAACGTGGATGTGTGAGGGGTGGGTGGGTATGGTGCTGCTGCTGCTGCGGGTGATGGTGAGGCTCGATCGCACACCCATGTACTCATAAACCTCCTGGTGCTCCTGCATCTCCCCCTCCTCCCCGTCCTCCTCATGTTCCTTCTCCTCCTCCTCCTCCTCGTATTCCTCCTCCTCGTCCTCCTTATCCTCATGTTCCTCAATTCCCTCATTTTCCTCCTCTGCATCTTCCCGCTGCTGCTCTCCCAACTGCTGCAGATGAGTATAATCGTTATTCTGCTGCCCATGCCCGTGATGCTGCTTGTACTCCTGCTGTTGCCCATGCCCACCCATCTGCTCGTCCTCCCTAGGAGATGCAGCGTGTGCAGCACCAGTGGCAGCATCAGTCGCAGCACCATTGAACTCCGTGCTGCCTCCTGCTTGTGGAGTCGACTCACAAGTCGCAGCACCAGCATCCTCCTCTCTGCACACTGCAGCAGCCCCACCATCAGCAGCCCCACCATCAGCCCTCCCACCATCTTCCTTCCCACCATCAGCCTTCCCACCATCTTCCTTCCCATCATCTTCCTTCCCATCATCTCTCAACTCATCAACTCTGGCCTCACTGCCAGTAGTATGTCTCTCTCTCACATCGGCTTGACTCGCAATGCCTTCAGTCACACTGGCAAGATGCCTCCCCCCTCGTCTTCCACTCCACTCCTCGCTAACCTTCCCCAACCACACATTATCCATTCCCTCTCCCCCACTCGACCCCTCCAAACGATTCAACTGAGTCCCGACATCCCTCCTCTCCAACACCATATCCTCCATACCCGAGGCTGCTTCACCTTCGGCCGAACCAGCCCCAAACTGTCCCGAGCCTGACGCAGAGCCTCGGCTCCCGAAGCTGGAGCTCCGGAGGGCAGGGGAGAAGTGCGGGCGGTCCGGAGGAGGGAGCCGGCCTGACTGGCTGTGTTTCAGAATTCGCTTAGCAGGACTGGCTGGGCTGGCTGCGCCGGCATGGTATACAGGTGAATCTATTGCTGCTGGTGCGGCTAGTGCTGGCGCTGCTGGTGCTGCTGCTGTTCCCAGTTCTGGTGCTGCCACTGCTGCTACACCTGGCTCTCCATAAGAAGCAGCACGCGATGCTGCTTCGCTTGCTCCCAGCACTGCGCCACCACCTTCCACCGCCACTTCAAGTCCCGGCCGATCCACACGCAAAGCAGGCGCTGCTGCAGCAGCTGCCACTGCTGCTGCTTCCGCTGTGGGCCTGTCCATGCCTGGTGCGCCTGGCTTGACCAGACCTGCACTCGTTTTCTGTGCCTCAGTCCCTGATGGAAGCGCTGCTGCTTGAGGCTCCTGAGGTGCTTTAAACACCGGCGCCGTTTTCTGTGGCTCACCCGGTAGTGGCGACTTCATACCCCAAGGCCGGGCAGCAGCAGCACGGGGAGACAGTACTGCATCTGTTTTCTGCGATTCACCTGGCAGAGGTGATTTCATCCCCCAAGGCTGCACCGCAGAAGCAGCACTAGGAGATGGCTCCCAAGGGTCACGAGGTTCCTGAGGAGCTTTGAACACCGCTTCTGATTTCTGTGATTCACCCGGCAGCGGTGACTTCATCCCCCAAGGCCGCGCCACCACGCCAGGAGAAGGGCTGGGGTGGGGAGACACGGAAAGAACAAGGGGATTCGAAGAGAGGGGGGCAGTGCTGCCGCGGGTAGGGAAGGGAGCGGATGTGGAGAGGGGATGAGGGGAGGAGTGGGCGGAGGGAGAGGGAGGAGGGGGAAAAGAGCCGCCTCCACCAAGGAGGGAGAGATCCCCGACCAGCTGGATGGTGCCGTCTATGACGGCTATAGGCGCGCCTGGTAGGGGGCCCGCCACGCTTCGTTTGAGCATGGGACGGGTGCGCATGGGTCGTGGAGGCGGGCGGTCTTGGTTGTCCTTTTGTGTGGCCTCATCTTGCTTCTGCTGCTGCTGTGGCAGCTGCTGCTGCTGCTGTTCGCATTGCTGCTGCGGCTGCTGCCGCAGGGGCTGTTGCTGAGACAGCTGCAGTTTGGGTGGCTGCTGAATCTGCTGGCTCTGCTGGTTCTGCTCTCTCTGATGCTGTGGGTTGGGGCTAGGGGTACTGGGATCAACGCTTGTAATCGGCCGCTTCTTCGAGATCAACGGTCCAGATTGTCCACTGCTCAAGCTGCTCCTTTCCGACCAGCTTCCGAGCCTCCCGATGTTCCACCGCCGAACCACCTGCAGCTGCTCCGGCCGAGGGGACCGCCGTTCCAAACCTGTTTCTGAACCAAACCTGTTACCATCACTGGAGCTTCGGCGAACAACAGGGTTCCTATCCCCCTGCCTGTCCCCACCGTCTTTCCTTCCACCTCCCTCCTCGCCCCTCCTCTGCTCCCCCACTCCATGCTTTGGAGGCACCTCAAAAGTCGTCTCTTGCTCCTCGGCCCCTCCATGCCCACCCTCTTCGACTGCACCGTCAACATCCATTCCTGTTGCTGCTGATTCCCCTTGTTCCTCCTGTTGCCTCTGCTGCTGATTCTGTTGCTCTTGGTTCTCCAGCCGCTGCTCCTGCTGCTGCCGCCCCTGCTTCTGCTCTTGTTGTGGTTGGTGGCGGCTCTTCTGAACTGTTTCCTGTACCTCACTGGCCTGCACATCGTCTTCCCTTTCAACCGCTTTCTCCTTTTGAAACTCTTCCGTCCTTCGAACCTCGCCATCAGCAGCAACACATTCCTCCCCCTGCCTCTCATTCTTGCGGCCTCCCACAACCAAACCCTCCACCCTCCCTCCAACCATTTCTTCTCCTTCCTCGCTCGTTCCACCAAACTGCGCTCTCCTTTCAGCAAAGGGAATGGCATGGGTTTTCTCAGTGGGTGCCTCAGCTCTTGACTTTTGAGTCGCCTCACAGGTTTCTTCGCCCCTTCCACCAGACTGAGCTTCCCTGTCAGCGGGAGGAAGCACATGGGCTTTGTCAGTGGCTGCCTCAGCTCTTGTCTTTTGGCCAGAAACAGACGGTCGGTCTTGTGGAACCCGGAAGCCCTCGTCGTCCTTCCCTCTGGCACCTTGAGGGCCCTTTGAACAGTCGCCTGACTCTCCAGTTTCTGCTACCCTAGGTGCTGCTACAGGTGCTGTTAAAGGTGCTGCCACAGGTGTTGCCACAGGTGCTGCCCCAGGTGCTGCCACGGCTGCTGCCCCTGCTGTCCCAGGTGCTGCCACGGCTGCTGCCCCTGCTGTCACAGGTGCTGCCACTGGTGCAGTGACAGGTGCTGCCACAGGTGTTGCCACGGGTGCAGTGGCGATTACAGGGCCCTGGGCTGACTGTTGAGTTGATATAAACGCAGCCTCCAAGCCACCAGGCGCACCAGCAGTCGCCTCCAGGCCCACCTGGCTCTGCATGCCTTGGCCCCTTTCCAGCCACTGCGAGCAGAGTAGGGGGAGACAGTGGAGGAGATCAGAGTGGGCACGAGAGATTGAATGGCGATGGGAATGAGGATGGGGATGGGATGGGGATGAGATGGGGATGGGATGGGCATGAGATGGGGATGGGATGGGGAAGGGGATTGAGATGGGGATGGGGATGGGGATCGATCGACAGTGGGACAGGATTGGGGGAAAGGTTACGAGCTGGTGAAAGGTCAGAGTGAGATACACGGTACGGGGGGCCGGGGAGGGTTGGGGAACAGGATGACGGAAGGGGAAAGGGGTCGAAATTGAGGGGAGACTAATGCAAGAATGGTGCAAAGAGTGTGGCGACGGTGCAGAGGGTGTGGCGACGGTGCAGAGGGTGTGGCGACGGTGCAGAGGGTGTGGCGACGGTGCAGAGGGTGTGGCGACGGTGCAGAGGGTGTGGCGACGGTGCAGAGGGTGTGGCGACGGTGCAGAGGGTGTGGCGACGGTGCAGAGGGTGTGGCGACGGTGCAGAGGGTGTGGCGACGGTGCAGAGGGTGTGGCGACGGTGCAGAGGGTGTGGCGACGGTGCAGAGGGTGTGGCGACGGTGCAGAGGGTGTGGCGACGGTGCAGAGGGTGTGGCGACGGTGCAGAGGGTGTGGCGACGGTGCAGAGGGTGTGGCGACGGTGCAGAGGGTGTGGCGACGGTGCAGAGGGTGTGGCGACGGTGCAGAGGGTGTGGCGACGGTGCAGAGGGTGTGGCGACGGTGCAGAGGGTGTGGCGACGGTGCAGAGGGTGTGGCGACGGTGCAGAGGGTGTGGCGACGGTGCAGAGGGTGTGGCGACGGTGCAGAGGGTGTGGTGACGGTGCCGAAGTGAGGTGACGGATGGTGCAGAGGGTGTGAGTATGGTGCAGAGGGTGTGAGTATGGTGCAGAGGGTGTGAGTATGGTGCAGAGGGTGTGAGTATGGTGCAGAGGGTGTGAGTATGGTGCAGAGGGTGTGAGTATGGTGCAGAGGGTGTGAGTATGGTGCAGAGGGTGTGAGTATGGTGCAGAGGGTGTGAGTATGGTGCAGAGGGTGTGAGTATGGTGCAGAGGGTGTGAGTATGGTGCAGAGGGTGTGAGTATGGTGCAGAGGGTGTGAGTATGGTGCAGAGGGTGTGAGTATGGTGCAGAGGGTGTGAGTATGGTGCAGAGGGTGTGAGTATGGTGCAGAGGGTGTGAGTATGGTGCAGAGGGTGTGAGTATGGTGCAGAGGGTGTGAGTATGGTGCAGAGGGTGTGAGTATGGTGCAGAGGGTGTGAGTATGGTGCAGAGGGTGTGAGTATGGTGCAGAGGGTGTGAGTATGGTGCAGAGGGTGTGAGTATGGTGCAGAGGGTGTGAGTATGGTGCAGAGGGTGTGAGTATGGTGCAGAGGGTGTGAGTATGGTGCAGAGGGTGTGAGTATGGTGCAGAGGATGTGAGTATGGTGCAGAGGGTGTGAGTATGGTGCAGAGGGTGTGAGTATGGTGCAGAGGTTGTGAGTATGGTGCAGAGGGTGTGAGTATGGTGCAGAGGATGTGAGTATGGTGCAGAGGGTGTGAGTATGGTGCAGAGGATGTGAGTATGGTGCAGAGGGTGTGAGAATGGTGCATGCCTGTTTCAGTAGTGCCAGTTGCTCCTGCGTCAGGAATTTCGGCAGCTGAGAGAAGTCGGGCAGATGAGAAAAATCAGGCAGCCCAGAGGGATCCGGCAGCATATTACAGCTGCCTCTTTCTGCAGCAGCAGCAGCACCACCACCACCACTGCCGCCACCATCACCAGCAGTAGTGGGAGCAGTAGTAGCAGCAGTAGCGCCAGCAGGAGCATCAACAGGAGCAGTAGCGAGAGGAAAAGGGAGAGCAGGAAGATGGTGGAGGTGTGGAGAAGGAATCACAAAACCGCCTGATCTGATGACATGAGCACTGCCAGCACTGCCAGAGGCAGCAGCACGAGCAGCAGCAGCAGCAGCAGCAGCAGCAGCACCACCAGCAGCAGCAGCGCTACTGGCACCGTTGGTGCCCCGGCTTCTACCAGTCACCGTTGGCCCACCACCATCCAGACGCCCTGTGGTTGACACACTAGACGTGCTGACCTCCCCTGCTGCCACCCCTGGGTTCTTCCTCCCAGCCCAAGAAGCTGGGAAGACGATGTGAGGGGTGGCGGGAGGGAGGAGAAGAGGGGAGGTTGTCTAGGGGCGGGTTGATATGGGGAAGGGAGATGGGGATTTGGATGCTGGGTCAACGGTGCAGATCTTCTTGTAGCATCAGGAATGGACGGTTGAGATGCGAGGGATGGAACGGTTGGAGCAGGGAGGATGTCTGAACGCATGAGTGCGTCGAAAAGATTTTGCACCCCGCTCGCAATTTCAGCTGCCCGGCTGGTCGGACCGCCGGCTGCTGATTGGTCGGAAGCTGACACTGTGGCGAAGCGAGAGAGGCAGGGGAGGGGGTGATTGGTGGGTGCAGCAGAGGAGGTAGACGGAACAGAGATAGATACGGAGGCGGGGAAGGGAGGGAATGCGGAGCGAGAGGAGGCAGGGGAAGGGTTGTGAATGAAGGGGCTAGTAGGCTGGAGGGAGGGGTTCGGGGGTGGATTGGTGAGGGAGGAAAGAGAGGGAGAGAACGAAGGGATGCGGCCTTGGGGTTGGAGAAAGAGCGGGGAAATGTGGTGGAGAGCGGTGCTGGGGCAGGGAAGGGAGGGAACGCGGGGCGAGAGGAGTGGGCAGAGCGGGGGGAGGAGATGGTGGAGGGGGATGGAGAGGGGGCACGAGTGGGCACAGACGAGCAAGGAGCAGCAGCAGAGGTAGAAGCAGCAGCAGCAGCAGCAGCAGCAGCCGCAGAGGGAGCAGCAAGAGCAGCAGGGAGGCCCATGAGCAGGCCAGCAGAGGAGAGAGCGTCCAACTGAAGCATGGCCCTCGCTAGATCCCTCTGGTCTCCCATACTCGTCTGTGCTGTCAATGCTTGCAACACACCCATCTGCTCCTGCTCGACCAATCGTTGCCCCCTGCTCATCTGACCTAGAGACGCTTGGGCTGCATGCTCCTGTCCCAGTACCGCCTCCCTTGCATCTGTGTGCTGTCTCCTTGGGTCAAGCACGCCAGGGCCTTGGCATGGCTGTGTGTTTGCTTCCCTGTGCCTCTCCTCTGTACGAGCCAAGGCAGTTGCAGCCGCAGTGGTTAAACTAGCCCCAGCAGGAGTAGCTTCGCTTGAAGCAGCAGCAACAGCAGCAGCAGCAGCAGCAGCAGTGGCAGCAGCAGCGGTGGCGGCGGCAGCAGCAGCGGAAGCAGGGGTGTTGGCAGCAGCAGCGGTGGCGGCGGCAGCAGCAGCGGAAGCAGGGGTGTTGGAAGAAGGATCATTTGGGAGCGAGCGGGAGGGGGGCCAGGAGGGCGGGAGGGAAGCGGGAGCACGGGGGAAAGAAGCGGCTTTGAGAGAAACATGGGAGGATGGGAGGTGTGCATTGCCAAAGGAGCGCGAGAGTAAGGATTTTTGAGGCGCCTCAAAACTGGGGACATGGGAGGAGGAGAGGTGTGCATTGCCGAAAGAACGCGAGCGTAAGGACGCTGCTGCGGCGGTTTCTGTGTTTTGAGCCGACTCAGAAGGGACTTGGGAGGGGAGGCGCACATTGCTGAAAGAATGCGAGCGTAAGGCTGACGCTGCTGCTGCAGCAGTCTCTGCTTTTTGAGCCGGCTCATAAGGGGCATGGGAGGAGGAGAGGTGCGCATTGCTGAAGGAACGCGAGCGTAAGGCCGATGCTGCTGTCGCAGCAGTTTCTGTTCGAGCTGGGTGTCGGGACGTCTCAAAACGCGGATGGCTTGAGGAAAGAGAGTGAGAGGATGAAGATGCTGCAGCTGTGGCAGTGGTGGTTTCTTCTTGTGTTCCTTGCGCTGCTGCCCTTCCTGCTGTCTGTGCTGCTGCCCTTCCTGCTGCTGGTGCTGCTGGTGGTGGTGCTGCCCTCCCTGCTGCTGACGAGCCTCGGATGGAAAGAATGCTGCTGCTGGGGGACGTGACATGGTGGGTCTGATGGGGCATGGGAAGGATTCGAGGGGTAAGGGAGGGAATGGGAGGGAGGAGAAGTCAGCAAAGCGACAGCCCAGAATGAGGGTGCAAGGATGGGAAGTGATGAAAGGGAGGGATGGGAAGCATGAAATTATCAGGTTTCTTAGATCTCCAACTCATTCAAAACCCCCCCCATCCGTCCTTCCTCCTCCTCTCCACTCACGTCAATGTCCATAGAGACTGCATCATCCGTATCCTCTGCTGCCCTTGCCTCACCCTCGGACCTTCCTTTGAGACGTCTCAAAAAAGTCGGTTCAAGCCCACCCCTTGTCCCCACCTTCCCCCACCCGCCCTTCACTCACGTCAATGTCCATAGAGACTGCATCACCCGTATCCTCTGCTGCCCTTGCCGCCCCACCCTCCGACCTTCCTCTTCCTCCCGTCCTCCTCCTCTCCAGCCTCTCCTTCCTCTCTTTCCCCTCCTCTCCCTTCCCCTCCTCTCCCTTCCGCTCCTCCTCCTTCCGCTCCTCCTCCTTCCGCTCCTCCTCCCCCTTCCTTGCCCTTGCTTGTTGGGCGGACTCAGAAACCTCCTTCTCCTTCTCCTTCTCTTCCACCTCCCCTGCCCGTCTCTGCCTGCCCATGTCAGGCCCCTCCCCTTCTGCCAGACGCATCTGCTCCTCTCCCATTACTTGGCCCCGCTGTTCCTCTGCGTTTACATGGGACTGCCTCGTCTCTCCCTTCCTGTAAGATGCCCCTTTCGCAGCTTCACTGCTTGCCTCTCTGCCGTTGTTGCCCGCCTGTGCTGTTGCTGCAACCACCTTCTTCCCTCCGTCCTCCAGCCCCCCTCCTGACTCCATCCCTTCATTCCTCGCCTTCTCCCCCTCTCCCATCTCTTCATTCTCCTCCTTTCCTGCTCGCTGCACTTCTCTGCTCGTCTCGCCTACCTGTGCCCCCTCCTCCCCTACCCGTTTCTCTTCCCCTCTCTCCTCACCTGCCTGTGTGTCCTCTTTCTTTAAACCCGAGTGGCCAGCCCTCAAAGCATCATCTTCCTCCACTCTCAAATCGGATCCGTCCCCTTCTTCCTCCCTGTTCCCTGCATCCGCAATCCCACCCCCATCCCCATCCCCACATCTATCCCCATTCCCATCCCCATCCCCACACCTATCCCCATCCCCATCCTCGTCCTCACCATCTGCCCTCCCTTCCCTCCCTTCTTGCATGCCTTCGTCTATCTCGCGCTCATCATCCCCTCCCCTTACTCTCTCCTTCTCTCCCTTCTCTCCCTCCTCTCCCTTCTCTCGCTCCTCTCCCTTCTCCCCCTTCTCTCCCTCCTCCCCTTCCTCTCCCCTACCTCCTCCCTCTCTCCCACCTTGCTTCTCTTCCCCTCCTTCCTTTTCCACATCTCCCCTTCCCTCCTCTCCTTCCTCGCCCTCTCCACCCTTCTCCTCCCCTCCCTCTTCCCCCTTCCCTGCCGCCTCCTTCCCCCGACCCCCATCCTTCCCCCCCGCGCCCTTCCCCCCTTTCCCCCCGCCCCCATCCTTCCCCCCTTTCAACGACTGAATATACCTCAGCAGCAGCGTCGGCTTCCCCCCGACCTTCCCCCCGGTCCGCCCCACGTCCTCCTTCCGCCTCACAGTAGAATTCCAGTGATTCTTCACATTATTATCCGTCCGCCCAGGCAGCAGCTTCGCAATCTCCGCCCACTTGTTCCCCACGCGCTTGTGCGCCTCTATCATCGTCCGCTCCTCCTCCTCCGTCCACGCGTCCTTCTTGATCCCCAGCTTGAGGTGATTATGCCACCGCTCACGGCACTGCTTCCCCGCGCGCCCCTTGAGGTGCGCTGCTATGGCGGACCACCGCCGCGCCCCTCCCCTCTCCACCAGCCGCCTCAGAATCTCGTCTTCCTCCTGTTTGGGGTAAGAGGGGGGGCGGGCGGGGAGAGGGGAGACGGGCGGGGAGAGGGGAGACGGGCGGGGAGAGGGGAGATGCGCGGGGAGAGGGGAGACGGGCGGGGAGAGGGGAGACGGGCGGGGAGAGGGGAGACGGGCGGGGAGAGGGGAGACGGGCGGGGAGAGGGGAGACGGGCGGGGAGAGGGGAGAGAAGAGAAGCGGGTCTTTTCAAGAGAGCCGCGCCCTTCCCCCCTCCACCAGCCGCCTCAGAATCTCGTCCTCCTCCTGATGTGGGGGGCGGGTGGGTGAGAGGGGAGAGTGGGTGCGGGTGAATTTTGAGTCGACCCAAAAGGTGGGGAGAGTGGGTGCGGGTGGGTCGAGTCGAGAGGGTAGGTAGGCATGTACTGGCGTGCGAAGGCCTTCGGCGGTGATACAGGCGCAACTGAAAAAACAATCCAGGGACGTACCGGGGTCCACTGGCCTTTGGCGTTGGTGCTGGCGCGGGGAGCGCCATCTCCGCCCTCCTCCTCCTCCCCCGACCCCTCCCCATCGCTCTCCCCTTCCGCCATCCCCACGCCTCCTCCCCCACCGCCCCCTCCGCTCACACATCCCCCGCCCACCATACCCCCGTACTCTCCCCCTGTGCTTCCGCCTCCTAGCCCAGACCTGGGGAAGCCGCCATGTGCGCTGCTAACGCCGCCGTATGGGCTGCTAGCGCCGCCGTGCGCGCTGCTAGCAGCGGCGGCGGCAGCAGCAGCAGCCAGAACGGCAGTCAAATCGTGACAGCCAGCCAGCACCCCCAGCCCCTCTCCAGCCGTTACCCCCAACCGCTCACCTGCCGTTACCCCCAACCGCTCACCTGCCGTTACCCCCAACCGCTCACCTGCCGTTACCCCCAACCGCTCACCCTCCGTCGCTCCCTCCAAACCCGACCTCCCAGCCCTCTCCCAGGTTCTCATCACCTGCTGCCCGCGATCCTGGTTCATCGACTCAGTATTCGTTGCCATCTGCCCAGGCTGCCCGTAAAAAGACGGCAGCGGCTGATTCATTGCACCAGAGTAAATCAGGTCAGAGTTCATAGGTAGGTTAGAAGCTGTGTGGTATCCGCTCCCGGTGCTGCTCGGTGCAGTACGGTTGGGAGGGAGGCTGCCGGCGAACCCTGACATTCTCATCAGCTCTAGTAACGCCAGGTTACCACCTGCACCAGTTCCCACCTCCCTTCCTGCAGGTAACACCTGGGGAGCTGCAGACCTCTGGAAAGCACCTCCCCCGGCCAGAGCCTGGAAAGAACCTCCCCCGAGTAGAACCTCCGCCAGCAAGCTTTCCAGCCTTCCCCCCGCCATCCCCGCGCCTATGGTTGCGGTGTCCGCGGTATATCCTTCCGCTCCGCCTTCCCCTGCTGCTGGAACCCCCGTAATTCTTCCGCCCCCCAGGCCTGGGGGACCAATAACTCCGCCAGGCAGCGCGGGCGCGGCGAATCCCACCCGCCTTCCGCCAATCCCTTCGCCAAAACTGGCCCCCCTCGCCATTCCGCCACTCCTTCCGCCGACCATGCTTCCGGCGGACGGGGAAATAAGACCATCACCGGAGAAAAATCCGCCAAAGAACCCTGTAGCTTGGCCTTGGGGGGTGTTGTTTGTTCCTTCGTGTTGTGCGACAGATCTATCTTGTGCGAGAGTGCTTCCTGCGACAGCGCTTCCTTGCGCGACAGCACGATGCGACCCCTGCGACTCCCATAGTCGCTGGATATCGCGGAAATGATCGTAAGGCATCCCGAGGGAGCCTGAGGCGACGTTTCCAGGCCCTACTGTCGCCGCATTGACCGCGTTGACCGACGCGTTGACTGCATTGACTGACTGTTGGGACTGCGAAGGAGCCCCCATCGAAAATTGCCGCGGGGAAAGCGGCTGAGGATGCTGCTGCTGCGGGAAATACCGTTCACGCATTGCATTGCCAGCGATAACGGAGTTTCCTTCTTGTAATAAAAGAATGTGCAATGAGTTTTGGGAATACTTTTTATACTCGGTAATATATCTTCACCGAGTCTTCGCCAGAACTCGCGCTTCCGCGGGGATCTGACGGAAATCCTATTCGCAGTTGCAGTCGCAGCGAGTTCGAGTGTCATCATAGCGTGCGGATCATTGCGAGGCTCAGAATCTGTAATTTGACCCGCTCTAGGATCCTCAACAGGGCGCGACGCTGGTCACAGCCTAAGTGCATTCACGTGCCCCTCGCGCATTTCCTACCAAATTCATTCACGTGTACTGCTGCTCGACTTATCCCGCGCATTTTCCTGGGTCTGTTGCAACATACCTATTCCGCGTCAGACAGTGAGGGGTCGATTCATTCAACTGAACCACTCTTTGTTGAATTTCTGTCGCAATTTATCGACAACATAACATGTTCCACTGTATGCAAAACAAGCCGTGCCGAGAATCCCCGTTTCAAACGCCTTCATTTTTTTCCTTAACTCGTGTGATGAGGGGGACACCAACAAGACCATGGATTGCTTGGCGGGAACAAGCAATCAGAGATGCAATTGGCTGGTTTGCGTGTTGAGGCATGACATGGCATGTTCTTTAAGTTCTGGGGCGCTAGGGGCAAGGGGTGAGGCTTGATTGGCTGAGATGGAAGCAGCCGAAACGCGTACACCCGTGTTGACTGGGTATCGTGTCGCGCACTGCACTCTTGTGGTGCTGACGTGGTCTGGGACGGGAGTGCATCTGGTCTGGGTGTACAGTAAACTTTAGCCTATACACGTGGAGGAACCAGAACCCGCAAAGCTAACGACAGATACCGTTACTTGTCAAGATACTGTTCAATGCATCGAAGACGACAAGCGGTGCCCGAGCAATCAGGATGTAACGGCCTTCACTGTACACTGATTTGTCTTCAAGCTCTAAATGTGCACCCAGGAAGTTAAAGAACTGTGAATGGGTCCAACTCAGGACACGACACAATATCGAGTATTGTAAAGGTTTTCCTCCAGCTACATGCATTTTGAACTGCTGTTTATTTTGCACGTCAACTAACGTGGAGTAAGCAAAATGCACCAAAGAAACCCCTCCTCAACTTCACTATACGCACTAGAACTAAGAAAGAACGCTTGGATCTTACGGAAGCTGGTGCACGGGGCAGAAAGCCAGATGGTGGGGCTGATTGATGGAAAAGCAAATTATATATGCCAAAAAACACCATTCAATCAGGATTTGGGATCTTCATGAGAAGAAACTGAATGTGGGGGTGGCTCTGGATTGTCAAGGTCCATATCTAACGCTGCGTTTGGCTCTAGATGTGAAATGCGGATGGTTCCTAGAAGCTTCTCAGGGAGCTCCTCGTCTGTGTTTCCCTGCAAGTAACAGGAATAGCATACACGATAAGCAACATGTTACAAACCACAACAACGGGAACAACGGGTCAACAGCACAGCAAACAAATGCATTATGGAATCCAAAACAATACCTGGATCAAAAAGGCCATGTCGATGATGAGTGTTCGGACATATCCCAGCACAAAGCGCACCACGCCATTGGCCACAGCCGACGAGCCAATATCCACATCCACCTGTATTCAAGTGGTGTCATAGGGAGAGTGTGGAAACAGTACAAAAAGTCAAATACACCACATTCTCAAACTATGCACATGCGCGACACAGTGCCACGGCACAGATGTGCGCATCACTGTACATCAGAATAGTCGAGTCCTTCACAGTACTGCAATAGAACTTGTTCAGTACTTTTAGGGGCGGTGATGCACCTCAAAGTAGTGTACCTCAAAGCACTGTACCTCAAAGTAGTCGGGTCCTTTGAAGTATTGCACAGTGAGAGCACCAGCAATGATGAGTGGTGTCGTCCCCACACTCCGCTTCACCACCCATGCGCCCTGCCATGCACCAATGTACCCCCCCACCCCCCCCCCCAAACAAAAAAAAAACAAAACAAAGAAAGAGTACACCACAGAATTTTGGTAGTGCCAAATCATGGAGACGTGAGATTGTGAGTGCACCGTAAAAGCATGCACCGGTGGCACGAGCATTAGCACATCTGGTCCATACAAGAAGCTGAGCACAAGGTCAGAACATGCATTTAACACAAGCACCTGAACACAGAAGCACGATCACACAGACAGAGTACACGGACCTGGTGGATGCGGGGAATGAGCTTGAAGCGCGTGTTGCGGAAGATGTCATCCCCATTGATGAACTGCCCCAGCATGGATGAATCTGTGGGTGGCTCCTCCATTGCCCAGTAAAACACCATGCTGTACTGCTGCGCTGCTGGCACCTGGTGGGGTGAGGGGTAATAGGTGGCATGTGGGTGATGTGTCACATAGTGTGAGACAGTATTGGGCACGTCTAAGTTGCATGTGTAATGCTCTTCCATGGCCCAATAGAACACCATGCTGTACTGCTGCGCTGCTGGCACCTGGTGGGGTAGGGTGATGATACAGGAGAGCGCGAATAGCGCAGGGTGATGACTGGGGGGGATTGTAAAACAGGGTGAGGGCTACCTCCCTACGGGCTCATATCCATCCCAAGGGTTACCTCTTGGTGTGTGTGTGTCGTGCTAAACCTTCCGCCTCTTCCTCTTCCAACCCTCCCTCCCACCTTTCAGGACGTACACGGTGCACCTCTCATGCTGCAGAGTGTGGAGGCGGAGGCGGAGCTGGAGGCAGAGGTACTCCCTCTCCTCCAGCAGGCATGGGGAGGAGCACGGCACTCCCACCAACAGCAGCACCGGAAACCCAAACAACAGCTTTGGCAACGCAAACAGCAGCACCGGCAACAGCAGCAGTGCCATGTGCTCCCCTCCATACAAATGTCAGCTGCTACTGCTTCTTTTCTAGGGGCACTCGGTGAGTGACGCAGTCTACTCAGCTACTGTGTACTCACCGAGTGCCCCTAGAAAAGAAGCAGTAGCAGCTGACATCATTATGGGAGGGGAGAACATGGTCTGCTGCTGTTGCCGGCGATGCTGTTCGCGGTGCCGGTGCTATTATACGCGTTGCCGGTGCTGCTGTTCGCGTTGCCAAAGCTGCTGCTATTCACAACAGCAATGAAACATGATGTCTCTCTTATTGACCCACCTCTGCCCCACGTACCTACGACTTACCCACCTCTCCCTCCCCTACTCCCCCCTGCCCCACTGACACCCATTGATCCAATCACCCATCCCCGCACGCACCTGCATATTCACAATGAAGAAGAATGGCCGCGACGAGGCGTCACTGCTGGCCATCAACTCCCGCATGCCCTGATGGGGGGGGCGGTGGGGCATGGGCGTGAGGGGCGACAGGCAAGCAGCATTAGAGAGGCGCAACGGGCACGTGAGGGGAAGTAGGGGCGCATGAGGCGTCACTGCTGGCCATCATCTCGCACATGCCCTGATGGGAGGGGTGGTCGGGCATGCATGGGGTGCAAAGGTGTCAGCACACTTGCATGCACATAGAGGTCAGAGCACACACAAGCATGCACATAGAGGTCAGGTCAGTGCACACACAAGCATAAAATGACTTTTGAGGCGCCTCAAAGGGTGTCAGCACACTTGCATGCACATAGAGGTCAGAGCACACACAAGCATGCACATAGAGGTCAGGTCAGTGCACACACAAGCAGAAAATGACTTTTGAGGCGCCTCAAAGGGTGTCAGCACACTCGCATGCACATGGAGGTCAGTACACACACAAGCATGCAATTCGCACACTCACATGCACGGGCGTCCTCTTCAGTTCAACCACATGATCAATCCGCTCCACACGCTTCAGCCAATCAACAGCCACCAGCGCCATCCCCGGCTGCCCGGCACTCTGCTTCATCTTATCCCTCAAATAGCTTTTCGACCGCACTGTAAAGTTCCGAACCTCTGCCTCACTCCAGCAATTTATCCCCCCCATCGGCGACCCCCGGGCCAGGTTCCCCGTCTTGTATGCCCACGCCCATGGGTCTACCGAACCTGCCGCCCTTGCCGAACCTCCTAGTCTCGATCCGGTGGAGGGTCGGGAGCCTAGCTGCCAGAACCTAGGGGAGGCCACAGGGACGGTTTCAGACATCAAGGCCTTGGCAGCTGCTGCTGCATCTCCTGCTGTTGCTCCCGCTCCTCCTGCTGCTCCTCTTGATCCAAAAAAGCTGCTAGTGCCAGGTAAGGGCTCTGAAACAGTGCTCCCGGCATCGCTCCCACTGAACTCCCCACCCATGACGTCCCCACTGCTGCCTCTCCTCCTCTCGCTTCCACCCCTCTCCACCTCCTCAAACCCCTCCCCTCCCCCTTCTGGTATCGGCCCGATCCGCCCGTCCTCCCTCTCCCGCCTGTTCCCCTTCCTCCCAACCCCACTTAGCTCCCTCCCTTGTGCAGCCGCTACAGCTGCGGCTGTAGCAGCAGCTGTAGCCTGCTGCGTGTCCCTCAACCCTAGCAGGGCAGCCAGGGAATCCCCCCTTGTCTGGGCAAAAAACTCCCGAATGCCCGCAACTCTGGACAGCAGGTAGAAATGCACTTCGGTCGCAACACCGCTGCAAATCGGCAGCAACCCCTTTGCATCCATCTGCAACACATGCATCACTACCGACCGTCCGATCGCCGACGGACCCGCTGGGGCGATGATAAACCCTCCATAAGTGAGATTGGCGCGCACACAGCCCATGACGGGGGGGCATAGGGGGTGCTCCATGGACTGGTAGAGCACCACGTAGCACCCGTCACCTGTGCGCTGCCAGTAGCGCCGCAGGCACACGTCGCGCGCTGTGAGGGCGAAGGGGCCGAAACCGACTGGGAGTGGTCGGAAGCGGTAGTGGATGCAGTCGGTGTGACCGTCCTGTGCTTCCACCATGCGAGCTCCCCCATAGGCCACGTCCCACCTGGGGAGAGAGAGCAAGAGAGGAAGGTGGGACGGGGCAATGAGCAGAGGGCGGAAGCGGTAGTGAATGCAGTCTGTGTGGCCGTCCTGTGCTTCCACCATCCGAGCTCCCCCTTACGCCACGTCCCACCTGGTAACAGGGAAGCACAGAAATGGGACGGGAGAGACAGAGGCGATGTGAAGACTAGGTTGGGTTGAATGGCGGGGGGCGGAAGCGGAAGTGAGTGCACTCCAAGTGGCCGTCCTGTGCTTTTACCATGCGGGCTCTGCCTACGTTTTTAAGTCGACTCAAAAACTGCCTACGTTCCACCTATGATGGAGAAGTGTTGGGAGGGGAAGGGAGAGAGGAGAGTAGATGGATCAGATAAAGCAACGTGGCAACAGCATGTGAATTAGAAATAGCTGTGCGACAAAAGAGAGACCAGGAAATGAGAGGCATACTCATTGCGAGAGGAGGAGAGGTCGAGGACGAGTCGAAAGACAGCATCGCTCGGGGCGTCCACAGTTCCCACGGCACTGAGACACGGCAGGCTGCCACACATGCCCGCCTGCCCGCGCTCCTCATTCAGCTCCTCAAAGAAACGCAGCCCTGTGGACGACAGCAAGGAATGCAACAACTTCATGAGTGCTAGTCACCCACCCTTCGTTAACCAGAGGCTGCCACACATGCTAGCCTGCCCGCACTCCTCGTTCAGCTCCTCAAACAAGTGCAGCCCTGTGGAAGTGGAAGGGTCGCGTGGCCATATGGAGCGAACATGGGAATGTTCCATAATTAATGAGGCATGTGCATTGCATTGTGCAGTGCTTCACACACCAATAACCCACTGCCACAATTGCCCGCTTGCCCCCGCTCCATGTTCAACTCCCCAATGAAGCGCAGTCCTGTGGGCGGCAGCACAGAATGGATGTCAGGAAGGAATCTAATGGTAGGCGGAATTGTAACATTGAAAGCACTAATAATAGGCAGCAGCGACCGACGCCTCATTAAATTTTCAGTCGACTCAGAAGCCATTTGTTGAGAAGCACATGTAATGGACGGAAGTGGTAGGATTCTGTGCAAAAACGTGGCAGATAACCAGGAGTAACCGCTACCCACCCATTGCATGCACACGTCCATGGCCATCACCCACCGTTGGATAGCTTGATGAGGCGCCAGGAGCCGTCAGATGCGATCCCTGAAGCTGTTGATGCACTGCGCATCGCCACCATGGCCTCGAGCATGCCGCCCAGCTCCATGGGAGGGCCTGGGGGGAAGGGGGAGAAGAGTTCAGTTTACTCACTGCACTGCACCTCACTGCACCTCACTGCAGCACTGCCTTGCACCACACTGCAGCACACTGCGCATTGCCACCATGGCCTTGAGCATGCCGCCCAGCTCCATGGGGGGCCCTGGGACGAGTAAGTAGGGTTCGAGCAAGCGAAGAAGAAGGATTGCAGCAGGCAACAGGGGGGGAAGCATGCTTCAACATGTGCACTGCACTGCACAGCTGAGCGGACTTCCAGGCCCATGCTATGCAGCAGGCTGGAATATGCAGCGCTAGCCACACTGCTACTCAAGTCGGCCGACACAAAACGAATGGAGCACTGAAAGCAGGCCTACCGAAGCCAATGGAGCCTCCTCTGTCGAGCAGCACTCACTGTGGTGTGGGCAGGTCGTCGTTTTGAGGCCTCACATGATGCCACTGAAAGCAGGCCTACCAGAATCTATGGGCTCTTGAGACGACAGGAAAATAAGACCTACCGAAGCCAATGGAGCCTCTTCTGTCGAGCAGCACTCGCTGTGGTGTGGGCAGGTCGTCTGCTGCCATCTCGTCCCCATCGAACTGCTCACTGCTGCTGTCAATGGAGTCCCGGCAGCTGGGGGGTAGAAACGGGTGGGGAAGGGGGAAACGGGATGGCCGAATGGAACAAGGGGGAAGGGAACCGACCTAAAGGTCATCTCCCACCATCTCATCCCCGTCGAAGAGCTCACTGCTGCTGGCCATGGAGTCGCGGCGGCTGGAAGGAGGGAAGAAGTTGGTTAATTGGTTGCCACAAGTGGTGAGGCCAAGAATCAAGTGCCCTGCTTTGAGAAAATCTGGAGTGCCCGAAATCGAATAGACTGCGCGTACAAGAGGGAACCCACAAGGACATGGTGGGGTGCGGGTGAGAGGAAACGCACGAGGACATGTTGGGGTGCGGTGGCGTTTCCCCCTCCTCCTCGTCTGATAGGCTGTTGGTGCTGGTGGGACGGGTAAGTGGCATTCTTATTGTGGGCGCCACATTCTGCCACGAGCACAAGACAATGGGTGTGACGGATTGGAAAGAGAGAAGGAGCAGGAGGAGCAGAGAAGAAGAAGGTGAAAATGAGCTGTACAGGTGTGATCACGTGACGTGAATGTATGTGATCACATGACGTGAATGCATGTTATGGACCGCTAGGTATATTAATGCTGCTGTGCTCACATGTTCGATTGTCTCCTGAATGGCCTGCATCCACACTGCCACTAGCTTTGAGGCGCCTCATAGAAGCATGATATGCATGACAGCAACTTCTACTGCTGTTCTCACATCACACGTTCTATTGTCTGATGTGCTCACATGTTCGATTGTCTCCCGAATGGCCTGCATCCACACGGCCACTAGCTCTGGGTCCTTGGTTCCCACCTGAAGCACAACCAGCAGCCCGGTGGGCGACATGGGAGCACGAGAGGGACACATGGAACAAGAGGCGCATAAGAATGCATAGATCATGATGTGACAATAAGTGAAGTGCCGCTGAGCATCAGATGATGCCTTAAGAAGACCATGAGACCATGACCAAGACCATGACCATGACCATCACCATCAGATGATAACACATGCCAACGAGTAGATTCGAAGGCGGCTAACGGCCAAAGGAAATTTGACGCCTTTGGGATACCTTATGATTGGCACCGGTGCACAGGACATTACACAATAACGAGTATGTGGTTAGCAAGCACACCCACCAGGCATGGTTTGGGAAGCTCTGGATGTATACAGAAGGTGTAGAGCTCCTGAAGCATGACAAAAAGAGACAGTATGGTGTTGAAAGGGAGGGGAATGTCAGAAGCGTCCCTGAAATGGTCAGGGCTGTTGAGACAAAAAAAGATACTAAGAATCTCATAAGAGGCACACATACAGGCAGCGCACACGCAAGCACCGAAAAAGGCAGCAGAGAGATAGGCAATAGGGGTGTGGCCACAGACCTTGGTGTTGGTGGAAATCCGGCCTGTATCCTCCACACGGCACTTGGGAGTCAGATCAAACTCCTTCACCGGAATCTGTCCAGCGTATGTGGCGGCAGCGAACGATAGAGAGGGGACGGGGCGGGAAGGGGTTAGAGGGGAGGGGGATTGAGGGGGTAGTTGGGGGAATTGGGAGGAGAATCACCTGGAATCCTTTCCAAAAAGGGAAAATGTGTGGCGCAGAGCGGTCAGCTCGTATCTTAGCAGCAATTATCGTCTCAAATTCGCAACCCTATCCTCCCACCACGTACGCACCTCGTGCTGCCACGGCAGGCTGCAGAAGCAGCTAATGCAGACTTCGAGACGCATAATGAAGCGTCTAGGTTTGAAGCGTCTAGGTTTGGAACGTCTAGATTTGAGAAGACCCAAAACTCGTTACCCCATCCTCTCCCCCCCCACTTAATCCCCCATCGCGCGCACACCTCGTGTTACCAAGGCAGGCTGCGGAAGTAGCTGATGCGCTGCGCGCGCAACACCAAGTCTCCAGGTAAGACGTCTCCGAACTCATTACCCCATCCCATCCCCTTCTCTCACCCTCCCCCCAGCGCGCGCGCACCTCGTGTTGCCACGGCAGGCTGCGGAAGTAGCTGATGCGCTGCGCGCGTAGCACGAAGTAGCGGCGCGCCCAGTGGTGGCCGAACGGCCGCGACTTGGACTGTTTGTACAGCCACCCCATCAGCTTCACCTCCCGCGACATCTGCTCGATCGCTGACGTGGACAGCCCGCCGCTGGGTCTCCGCCGGGTCCTGCCGGAACAGATAGGTGAGAAAGGGGGGGGGGGGGGGGGGGGGTGGTGTTTAAGTGTGGTATTTGGTCAGCTTCTCTCAGGTTCGCCTCCCGTGGTATTTTACAGTCGCTGACGTGGGCAGCCGTTGGTTCTTGATGAAACAGATAGGTGTGCGCATGGAATGGTGCTGAAGTGCGATATATGGTCCTATTCTCTCAACTTCATCGCCCGTAATATCTGCTCCATCGCTGACATGGACAGGCTAGGTGTTCGACGGCTCCAAAGAAACAGAAATTTGGGGGTGAATAAGAAAGTTCCTCTAATTGTTCATCCATATAACCCTAGTTGCGGATCAGGGTATATCGCAGCGAATTGCGAATCAGGTTAAACTGAACCAATTCCATAGAAATGCCTAACTCGTATAAGCTTCCTCAAGCAACCTGTCGGTTCCGTTCAATGATCACCTTCGGTCTGGTCCCGGCTCTGACTCGCCGCGCGGGTACGACGAGCTCCTCCCCTTCTCCTCCGCATTTCCCGCCGCTGGTGTCGACTCTACGCTCGCCATTCTCACCCCTGTACAATCCCCTGAGGGTCCTTTACACACGTGGTCGTATAACGAGCATCGCGATCTCCCTGAATGGAGCTATCATGTCAACGAGACGTTAGGAACCTGATCTCGCTGACGCCGGACCAGATTTCGACAGGCTAAGAAACGAATTGAAGAGGCTGATTTGAGAGGCTAGTATTTTTTAAGGCTTGCAGCGGTGGAACAGAAAACAAGTGATTCCGGAGAGGACTAACTGCCACGGAACCTCGATACTCTCGGATTGCAACTATGATGCTGTTAGCTGACTCTCGAAGGCTGGACCTCGAGAACATACTTCCAACTCAAAAAATTTTAAGGTGGGCCTTGGCTGGAATTTCGGTTAGATTCGGTAGAAGACGGTTCTCCACGATTTTAAATCATCACGGAACATGGACCAAACGGAATGTTTGGGATCACACAGCCAAAAAGTGCACAGGGAGCTCCACAATTCTGGGACAGGGCGGGTCCCAGCGGCGACGATCCCAAGATGGACTCCTGTCTCGAAAAAGATCGAATGGCTGGAATTCATGAAACGGGCGTTCCCTAGGCACAAATTCAGTGTATGGCTCCTGCTTCGGTTTCGTGAATTGTGAATGGGTGCTTCTTGGTCAGTCACAGGAATAATTGTCGGTGACTCGGCAAAGTCAAACAGGTTCTGTAAGGGAGGGTAGTTGTCTGTTCAGCTTGCAAAAGAAGGAAGCACAAAGAGCCTAAAGCGTTTAGAAAACGCTATAGCAATTAGGCGTCAACCAAGTGCGAACACGCCACTTTCCATTCTTCAATAGGGACTCTTACCTGCAAGTTCCCTTCTGCGTTTGGGGTTAGTGAACTCTTTAGCTTCTCGCGCTTATGGACGTTACCGATATTTACCTCGCCATGCGGGGCTTCACTTCACCTCGGAACCGCGTTTCTGGTCCTCCACGTCTGCAAGTTGCAGCCATAAAAAGGCGCCAAATTTGCCTCATACAGTAAGTGGGACAGCTAGAAGTGTATCAGCGTCGATAACAATAGAACATACAATGCAGTTCACTTAGCTTCAGGTGGAGAGTTGAACAAAGAGAGCCCTAATTTCCATGGGCCCAAGTTCCACAAAAAATGTGGAATTATCAATGGCACGGCCTGTTATAACCTCCACATCCATACCTCCTTCACTTTCATCAAGCTGCCATGTTAAAGGGGTTCGCATGCTAAAGCGTTCATGGTTTGCCATGAGACTCAGCTCTGTCACCTTCAGAATCTGCGGTGGACAAATTAACAAGTACACGCAATGGTAACGAGGGTGGAAGATGAAGAACACAGTCGGGGGCAACATGAAAATTGCACGACAACGACATACGCTGTCATGAATGCTACGCTGTAAGGGATTGAATAGCAGTCCACAAAAAGGTCCCTTCATCACAGACAGCAAGGCAGCCTACCTCTTGACCAGCGAATAGCTGCCGGAGTTTCACTCCCGCAAGCCGAGAAAATACCGGATGCTCTTGAGCCTGCAGTGGTCAGACATTTGTTAGGAGGGCGGGGAGGGATGCAGAAGACAATGGGTGATTACACAAGAGAGGTGGGAAGCGAAAGAGGTCACGGAAACTGCCAGTTTACCTCGCAATAACTCAAAATGTGTGGCAGAGTAGGTTGATAACAGTACCAGGCGAAATGCTCTTAGTGTATATTCCGGCATACCTCATAGAGATGAGCCAGTCGCAGAAGAATTGCTCCGGGTGATAGCTCCTGATGAATGGAGGTGGGGGCGGCAAAGATAACAGGAGGGGAAAGATGCACACAAATAAAACACAACCACACACATGTGTTGTGAAAGAACCATCAACACAATGGAAGAAAGAAATGAAGCCTGGCAGCAATTTTGTAGTGGAACTTCACCAGCATACTCACACTAGTTCACCCTTCCACTGTACCTCCAGTGTCGTTATAGCCACATTCCGAGGCAGCTGGTAGTTATTCGGAGGAGTTGCAGCCCTTTCTCTGGTGCTGCCATGTGTTCCTGACCTTGCCACCTCCTGCTGAGCGCTTTGGAAGAGAGAGTGACGCCACAGGAACCCCGTCGCTCGTGCGCTCGTGGTAGCTGGTTCAGCAGAGGTCTCAGACTCGTCAGCTGCAGCAGGGTCGGGAGTGGTGGCCGCAGCTGCTGCTGCTGCTGAGGTTTCTGCTGCCTCTGCAGCTTCCGCTGCTTCTGCTTCTGCTGCTGCCAGATCTTCAGTAGACTGATGGGACAAGGGAAGTTAGGAGCAAAGAAGAAGCACACGAGGAGGGAGTGTAGGGACAGCAACAGGCAGGAACTTTCGAGTTGAGACTCCAAATCCATTCGTCCTCATTATTTTAGTCGACTCAGAAGTAATCTCTCACCTCGACAGCGAAGGCAAGCTGTAGAGGGGACAGCACTAGCTGGGAGTGGTCTCTCTGTCAAAAGGCCCCGGCTGCTGCCCCGCCTGATGCCTGCTGTGACTTGCGAGTCGACTCACAAGTCTCCTCTCACCTAATATTGAGTCATCTGCAAGAGTCATTTCTCACCTCGACAGCAAAGGCAAGCTGCAGCGGGGACAGCATCCTCTGGCTGTGGTCTCTCCGCCAGAAGGCCCCTGCTGCCGCCCCGCCTGATGCCTGCTGTGGAGGTGTGCCTGGCGCTGCATGTGTGTCTGGCAGCACTGCGAAGCGGAGAGACCCCACCACCTGGATAGACAGAGAAGGGCAGTGAGGATCAAACACGGAGAAGTACTGTTGAGTTGACTTCATAGGGGGGCCTGATACCCTTGTGTTCCAGAGAGCTGCGACAAAGAGTGTCTAAGCCACCTGGACACATAGGATAGTGTGGAATGATGAAGCTCAGAATTACTGGAAAAAAACGTGGCTAGGCCTGAGAGATCAGGGTTAACAGCTCAAGGTTAGAGGAACACGTGAACACTTACAACGAGGTGGTAGCATTTATCCTCCACACAGACATCCTCGTTTAGCGGCTCTCCGACTCCCTTGTTGTCCACGGTATCCAAACGACTGAGAAGTTGGATTGGGGGATAAAGGGATGAAAAAAAATAAGTGCAGACACAAATCAGTACCACGGCTGAAACAATTCCGCTGACACAGTCTCTCACCGGTGCAGCATGAGTTGAGGCTCACAGGAGCAGCACCGGTGCATATGTTGCATTGAAGGCTCACCGGTGCAGCATGAGTTGAGTGGGAGGCTCACCGGTGCAGCATGAGTTGAGTGGGAGGCTCACCGGTGCAGCATGAGTTGGAGGCGCTACAGCCTGACAATACAAGGCTCAGCGGTGCAGCATGGGTTGGGAGCTCACCGGTGCAGCATGGGTTGGGAGCTCACCGGTGCAGCATGGGTTGGGAGCTCACCGGTGCAGCATGGGTTGGGAGCTCACCGGTGCAGCATGGGTTGGGAGCTCACCGGTGCAGCATGGGTTGGGAGCTCACCGGAGCAGCATGGGTTGGGAGCTCACCGGTGCAGCATGGGTTGGGAGCTCACCGGTGCAGCATGGGTTGGGAGCTCACTGGTGCAGCATGGGTTGGGAGGCTCACCGGTGCAGCATGGGTTGGGAGCTCACCGGTGCAGCATGGGTTGGGAGCTCACCGGTGCAGCATGGGTTGGGAGCTCACCGGTGCAGCATGGGTTGGGAGCTCACCGGTGCAGCATGGGTTGGGAGCTCACCGGTGCAGCATGGGTTGGGAGCTCACCGGTGCAGCATGGGTTGGGAGCTCACCGGTGCAGCATGGGTTGGAAGCTCACCAGTGCAGCATGGGTTGGGAGCTCACCAGTGCAGCATGGGTTGGGAGCTCACCGGTGCAGCATGGGTTGGGAGCTCACCGGTGCAGCATGGGTTGGGAGCTCACCGGTGCAGCATGGGTTGGGAGCTCACCAGTGCAGCAGGAGGTGAGTAGGGCCCTCACCGGTGCAGCATGACTTCGAGCTGTCCGGCTGCCAGGCTGGCAGCACCAGCTGCTCGGTCCACCAGCAGCGACAGCTGTGACTCCCCATCCCCGATGAACGCCCCCACCGTCACCTGTGAGAGGGGTGGGGGCGATGGGTGGGAGAGGGGCAGGAGTGATGGGTTGGAGAGGGGTGGGAGTGAGGGGTTGGAGAGGAGGGAGAGTGAGAAAGCAATAAGGACTTCTGATGTGCCTCAGGGGAAAAAGCTGCATTACTCACGGAGTAAAAATTCCCTGCGATGGGCTCTTTAACTAATCAGAATCTGGACCTGACTTCCAAGCACATGCGTAAGTGAGTTACTCACCGGGTAGAAGTTCCCTGCTATTGGCTCTTTGACTGAGAGGGTCCAATCTGGGCGAGAGTCGCGGACCTGCAAGGGAGCATGGGAGATGGGGGAGAAGGGAGATGAGGTGTAGAAACGGGGAGAGATGAGTGAATGGCAGAGAATGAGCGGGTCAGGGGAGAGCCGAAACCAAGAAGATGATACCATATTCAGAAGTGAAGTGAACAAGAGGCTCTACAGGCTACAGAGAGAAGGCATGATTTGATCTATTTGACCCGTTCGTGGCCCACCAGTCCGCGCTATCCCCCATACAAGCTCACTCGTTTGAGGTAGTCGCGCCCATTGGAGTCGGTATAAAAGACATCGCCGCTCTGAATGGAAGAGGAGAAGGAGGCAACAACCTCTTTCCCCAGAGACCCATCCTCAACTAGAGGCCCTATGGAGTAGCCAAGCTCAGCGTAATTCTCCCCAGGATAGACCCGGTACACCTGCAAGGGAGATACGACACAATGACACGAAGCACCCAAAGCTCCATATAGTACTACCCAGAGTACGATCGGCGCATTCGCACAGAAGATGACACATTAGACTGCGTCTCCATCAACAAGCGTATCAATAACCACTTCCCTCACGCCAGCTCCTCGCCTCGGACATGTCACAAGGCACCTGCAGCTGCCGGTAAAACTCCTCCACGATGGGCCCTCACAGCAACCACCATCGCCGCAGCCGTCTCTGTCCACTGCACATCCGTGCCTGTACTATACCTTGCTTCTCCATCAACAATCGGCTCCATATCGACTTCCATCCACTGCATCTACGCTCACCTCGGACACGTCACGAGCCACCTGCCGGTGAAACTCCTCCACGATGGGCCCTCGCAGCACACGGATTGGCACCCTCTGCTTCCTGCGGAACGGCAGCGCACCGTCCGCTGTGGGCTTGAAGATGTATGCCCCTGACTGGAGGGGGGGGGGGGAGAGGGGAGGGGAGAGGAGGGGAAAGGAGAGGGGAGGGTTATTCAAAAGGGGGGTTATTAAAGGATTTGCAGAGCTTACTTTGAAGGGGCCTGGCAATAGAAGTTGAGAAGAGAGCGAGGAGGTGCCAGTGAAGGGCGAAACAGAAGGCGGTTAGTGGGAGAAGGGAAAGTAGGGGGACAGTGGCAAGCAGGCGGCATGCAGCAACAGCAAGAACGAGGCACGGGCACGGGCGAGTGAGGTGGAGGAAGGTAAGGCGGCAGCTGACTTGGAGGAAGTGGGTGGGCAAGTGACAACTGACCTCTGCAGATGAATAGAAGAGCATGTCGCTGCTGATGTTGGCTGTTGCTAGCTGATAGCATCGCAAGTGGGGAGGCATCGACCAGGGCACAGGGAGAACAAGGGAGAGAGGGCACAAGGGAAAAACAATGTGAAACTGACAGGGTTTCCAGCACAAGGCAGTTTGCCTGGGGGCCTTAAGGATGAAAGGGGACCATACGGGAAGGAAAGGAAATGGCACATGGAATGGAAGGGGCATGACGCATGGAAGGGGCATGACGCATGGAAGGGGCATGACGCATGGAAGGGGCATGACGCATGGAAGGGGCATGACGCATGGAAGGGGCATGACGCATGGAAGGGGCATGACGCATGGAAGGGGCATGACGCATGGAAGGGGCATGACGCATGGAAGGGGCATGACGCATGGAAGGGGCATGACGCATGGAAGGGGCATGGGACCTGGAAAGGGCATGTGACATGGAACATTGTAGGGGCATGGGCACACGGTATGGGCATGGGACATGCAAGGGCGATGACACACATACCGTAGCAAAGGCCTTCCCATTCGGCTTGATGAGCTCAGCTCGCGTCATGCCACGAGCAGCCTTGGAGAAAAAGACACGTGCTGCCGGCCGACCAGCCACCAACCCCCCTAGAACTATCTCATCCCCTTGACCCACACCATCGCCCACCTCCTCCTCCTCCTCCTCCTCTCCTTCCCCGCCTTCCCCTCCTTCCTCCCCTTCAGCATAAACCTCCTCCCCCTTTGACTCACCCCCCTCCTCCTGCTCCCCCTCCTCATACCCTTCCTCCCCTTCCGCCCCTCTCTCCCTTTCCTCCCCTCCCTCCCCTCCTTCCCCTCCCTCCTCATAGTCGTCCTTCTTAGCCTTCTTCTTTTTCTTCTTCCCCTTCTTAATCCGTGTGTTCCGTCCCCTCTGCTTCTTTGGTCCCAAGATCCAGTCACTACTGCTCACTGCTGCCCCCGCAGCTCCTGAAAAAGGGAGGGATCGAGAGAAGCATTGTAACAAGAGGTGAGAGGTTCAGAAATCGAAGATAGCCCACCTCTGAGAAAGCTCAGCGAATGCCATCCCTGGCTGGGGTGCAACGAGGAACAAAGTGGGATGCCCCAGTGGAAGCACCTCAGCACGGAACACCCCTGACACCACCCCCTGCTGCTGCTCCACAGGAGGCATGCTGGCGCCTGCATGCTGCTGAGAAGCATCGCAGATAACCCACCCGCCCAGCCACCTTTGAGGAATCTTAGAAATGGCATACCTGGTTGGGCGGAAGTGAGGAAGAAAGTGGAGTAGCCGAGAGGAGGCACCTCGGCACGGAATACCACTGACACCACCCCCTGCTGCTGCTCGAGAGGAAGTGCGCTGGCGCCTGCATGCGCTGCTGTGTAGAACGCACGGATGGCCCACCTTTGAGAAATCTCAGAAAAGTCATACCTGATTGGGCTGCAGTGAGGAAGAAGGTCGAATACCCCAGAGGAGGAACCTCTGCTCGGAACACCACTGACATCACCCCCTGCTGCTGCTCCAGGGGAGGCACGCTGGCACCTGCATGTGCTGCTGTGTAGAACGCGCGGATGACTGGGCGAGGGAGGAGCTCTGGGATGAGCTGCGATGGGATGGGCTTGTGGGTTGAGTCTGTGACAATGACAGAGGGCGTGGTGACCTGATGGGAAGGGGTGATGGGGGGAGGTTGGGTGGTGGAAGAGGGAGGAAGGGTGTGGGAAGGGAAGAGGAGCGAGAGGAACGGGTATGTGTGGTTGAGAGTGGAAAGAGTGGACGACTGGCCGAGGGAGGAGCTCTGGGATGAGCTGTGATGGGATGAGCTGGTGGGTCGAGTCTTTTACAATGACCGAGGGAGCGGCGACCTGATGGCAGGGGGCGATGGGTAGGGCAAGGGGAGCGAGCGGGAAGAGAGGAGAGGAGGGGGGGTGGAAGGGGGGAGGGGGGGAGGGGGAAGGAGAAAGGAAGAAAGGAGGGGAAGGGAAGGGACATGCATGGGTGAGCACTACCAGATGGCTGGATGAAAGAGAAGGAGAAATGAAGTGTGATAGCACAGGCTGGTGGGTACAAACGGTGAGGAGGGCAGAGGGCGTGGAGTGGAGACCAGACGTGATGGCGGGAGGGCAGAGAGGGAAGGAGAGGGTGGGGAATGCGGGAGACGGGGGGAATGTGGGATGGGAAGGTAGGGGGAGAGATTGGTACTGGGAAAGGGCGGGAGGGTGAATGGGTGCGAGGAACAGTGAAGCTCTCAAGAAGCAGCAGCCAACGAGGCATGTGAAAATCGCAAGACTGCTGCAGATGGACAGGGAGTTGGCACTCGATAATGGAGCTCATGGAAATGCAGGTGGTTTTAGAAATCAGAGCAAACACAGGCAAGGGCTCACTGCTTGAACATCACCTGCTGAAACTGAAAAGGATGCTGGAGAGGAGCTTACTGGAATGCGGATGATCTCAGTGCGAGCCCAGGCAAGGGGATTGAATGCGACCACCACCTGATGCAAGGGAGGAATGGAGGGGAATAGGGATGGGATGCGAACAGTGGTGATGGATTGGATTGGCATGGCATGGGATGGCAGTGTGCTGTCAGCCGGCTGGAAGATCAGTTACTAAAGCCTGCCTGAAGTGAGCCTTTTGAGTCAACTCAAAAGTCACCTCGTTACATAGCACAGTGTGCTGTCAGCTGGCTGGGACATCAGTTACCGAAGCCCAGCTGATATGCGCCTGTGCTTCACAGCAGTCACAATCCTTCTCAAGCACAACACACCACATGTACAACGCAACAGACCAGGGGGTGGACTCACCAGAGAGTCAACTCACCAGAAAGTCAACTCACCAGAGAGTCAACTCACCAGAAAGTCAACTCACCAGAAAGTCAACTTAGAGGGACTCACCAGAGGCGGAATAAGAGAATGTACACACCAGGGGATGACTCACCAGGGGATGAATCACCAGGGGATGACTCATCGGGAGATGACTCACCGGTGGATGACTCACCAGGGGATGACTCACCAGGGTCTTGCCAGGTTCAAGGCCAGATTGTGATGGAGGGCAGAAGGAGATGTTCAGAAGAGGGCACTGCAGGGAGCAGGCAAGGGGGAGAGGAAGAGGGAGGAGGAAGGGGAAATATCTGTTGAGACATGCACAATTCATGCGGCTAGAAGAGATGATAATAGGAAACAGTCGCATCAAGAGTGAAAGAGCTGCTGAAAGCATGCAGCTCTAGGAATGGGCTCACGTCCACTCACTGTTTCAAGCAACAGCTTTGGCTTCTCCTGCAACCGCCTCCCCCTGCTGATCCCCTCCTCCTGCACAGAGTCCCGTCTTTCCAGTGGGTCCTGGCCTTCACGTGGCACGCCCTCCATCACAGTGGACGAGATTTCAAGGGGAACACGGTGTGGTGCTGTGCTGGTGGGTGGAGGCACAGCCGCATCTGGAGCAGCAGGGTCGTCACCACCAGCATTTGCAGCGGGTTCTCCAGCAGCATCACCAGCAGCAGTATCCGCACCAGCAGTGGCAGGTTCCTGGCGAGCAGCACTAGGGGCACCGGCAGCGGCGGCGGCGGCGGCAGCTGCAGCAGGCCTATTGGCGGGAGTGGCAGCAGGTACCGCTCGGGTGGGGGCAGGTCCAGAGGAATTGGGGGCGGTAGGAGGCGAGGACGGAGGGAGGGGAGGAGGGGGGTGCAGAATGAAGTATGCCAGGGCGCTGGTGAGAACAGTGGAGGCCTGGATTGTGGGGGGGGGGGGAGAATCAGTGAGTGGAAGAAAGGACCGGAAAATTAGGAGGGGGAAATGAGGAGGAACGGGAGAGAACGGTAGGGGGAACAGAAGAGGTGTGGAGAACCGCGGAGAAGGGGGGTATGGACTTCTGAAGCGTATGTGTACTTTGTGATCCAAACACTGTGTTTTTCACCAGGTGACCCTCTCAATTCCTCACCTCCTGTGCTGCTCGGTGCAGGCGGAGCGTGTAGTCGTCATTCACGTGCTGCTGGGCCGTGCCTGTGATGGCATCATGATGCTGTGCCACTGCCACTGCCTCCCCCAGCGACGCCGTCGACGCTGCCCGAGCCTCTTGATTCCCAGCAGCAGAAACATCAACACTCGCAGCACCACCGCTACCAGAGCCGGCATCACTATCACCATTGCCACTCCCACTCTCTCCAGATGCTGCACTAGGCGCCTCTGGGGCATGGAAACTCGAGACCATCATTCTGCCAGCGCCGGAGCCCACGAGGCTCATCCCGTCGGTGTCTCCTCCCCATGCCTGCAGGGCCTCACGCCCCACTGCTGCTTCTAGAATGCTTGCTGCCAGCAGCAGCGCGCTGCACACCCGCACGTAGCGCTTGAAGGCTGGGCGGGAGGAGTAGAAGCCGGTCCAGTAGGCATGTGGTGCATCGGCGTAGCTGCATGGGGGAGGAGGAAAGAACGGGGTGGGGAGGAGGTAGGGAAGAAAAGGATGGGAAGGAGGTGGAGGACGACGAGTCTCGTCAGCATGTTGCCTTGCCAAAAGAGCAGGCTGCAATAGCATCAGCACTGCAGCGCCACAGTGCCCCTCAGCATTAGCATTGCAATGTGATGCACTACTCACGGGAAGAAGTCGCCAGTCTTGACTGGCCAGGTCTCGTCAGCTTGCTGCTTGGCGTCAAGATAGATCGAAGGCGTAGAGTAGAGGGCATTCACCCGACCGTCCTGCCAGGAATGAGGGGGTGGATGAACACACGTTGCACAGGAGGATGGGCCTTTTTGAGTTGCCTCAAGCCCCAGGGCGGCATCGAATCCCCTCACAGCCCCCCAGGGCAGCGTCGACTCCCCTCACAGCCCTCCCATGGTCGAGAGTTTGACGTAGTGGATGAGCTTGTCCATTTTCTTGAACCACATGAAGCCACACCATACATACCACACCCTACCACATCGCACCACGCCACATCGTGCCAAGCTGACTGACCAGGTTGACATAGTGAATGAGCTTGTCCATGTTCTTGAACCACATGATGGCGTTGGAGTAGGCAAAGTCCTTCCCCATGGTGAACATTACATGGTTAGACCGCGTCACCTTCGCCTGTCACAGAGGAGGGGAAGGGCAGCAGGGACACAAAGAAGGAAGAGCACTCACACAAAATCCTTCCCCATGGTGAACATCACATGGTTCACCCGCGTCACCTTCGCCTGCACAGGAGGGGTGCAGATAGGAACCGGGAAGAAGCACAACCTGACAGGGCTGTCGCTGCTACGAGAATTGATATAGTTGGTTGGAACAAGCATGGACAAGTCTTTCAAGGATGCACATGCCTTGACAGGAGGCAGTGCAGCATCTGACAGGAGGCGCTTTATGCACAAGCATCACATCAGTCATACCTGCTCCCAAGCTCGTTCAACGAACAGGTCGACAAGCTTCCGGACGTTCGACTCCCCTGATTGCGGATCATCCTGTAACGAGGATATAGGAGGTCGGGGACAAAAGCTTAGAGCTGGCAGATAAGATGAGAACAGCAGGATTAGGCTTTTGCCAAAGTGCCGGAGAGCTGGAGGAAATTGAAAGATAAATAAAGGTATTGGCGGCATGTGCCTTTGCCTGGCATTTGTCCCACACATGCCTGGCATCTGCTTTGTCCTCCCTACCTGAACGAATGGTGGGAAGTTTAGGTCCTCACAATCAAGCCCAGGAGGAGGATCGTACATCCAATACAGGTGACCGCCAAACACCTGGTCAAGACAACCAGGTTGTAAAGATTCTTAGAAAAGGGTACAAGTACATCAAGAATACGGTGTGACAACAACAGTCCTTGTATGCAATGCAAGGATGTCATGTAAGCCCCTAGTTTGCGAGAAAAGTTCTAACCTGGGCTGATTTCCCAAATGTTTTCGATGCGCGCCATACAAACTCTTCCTTTTTTTCTTGTTGCCGATTGGCCACGTCTTGGTAATCTGCCCGCGAGAAAAATATCCCATCAAACCCAGCCTGCTCATAAGAGAGCCTCAACAACATCAGGGCGGAAACAGCAGAACGAGAAAAAAATAGAAAGGATACGAGGGAGGTGGGGAGAGAGGGAGGCGGGCGGGCGGCGGATGACATTTACAGAGAAGGAGGGTGGTAGGTATCAATCAAGTGGTAGCACATGTAAACACCAACCATGCCACGTGGGCAGACTATGTACCCGCTTCATCATCCCCTTCCCACCTCTGCAGTGATGAGACTGGCTTGAGTTGCCGAGTGGCCGAGCGGGTCAATCCGCCACGCAATGCATGGCGTGACGTTGAACTTGGAGCAGAGGAGGCGCAGGCCCAGCGACATCTGGTGGACCACATGTGATACTATGTATCCCTTTCCCCATCTCACCTGAGCGGTGATGAGACTGGCTTGGGTAGCGGAGTGGCCGAACGGGTCAATCTGCCATGCGATGCGCGGCGTGACGTTGAACTCGGAGCGGAGGAAGCGCAGACCCAGCGACATCTGGTGGACCATGTCCGTGTAGTGCGTGGTGGCCTCGTCGTGCATCACCCACCCTCCGTTGCTGCGCGCACGAGGCAAGTGAGGGCATGGGAGGGGGGAGTGGGGGAAAGGAGAGGATGAGGTGCAGCCCCAGTGACATCTGGTGCACCATATCGGTGAGGTGGCGTCGTCATGCATCACCCACCCTCAGTTGCTGCGCAGCACACAGGACAGCGGGGAAGCGAGCAGGCAACGGTATGCGGTGTGAGAGGCCCAGCGACATCTCCTGGACCTTGTCAGTGTAGTGTGTTGTGGCCTCGTCGTGCATCACCCATCCTCCGTTGCTGTCATGAAGGTGAGAACGAAAAGATGGTCGGTTGACACGTGATCGAGAACTTTGACAAAAGAAGCATTCGTCAAGCGCGCGGTAGTGAGTGCAATCCTTATCTCGTCCATCAATCATAACTGCTAGTGTATCCCAGAGCATTACAATTGGTAGGTGAAGCAGATTTTCATGCCAATAGCAGGACAGAAAGGTTCTGAGGTTACTGCGTACACGAATTCGAGTTGACCTGACGCAACCAGAGCACGCACTCTCGTGCGCATGTCCTCTTTCTGCTGCTGCCACCACCGATAGAAGAACGCCTGGAATGAAAGGAGGGAGCGTTGAAAGATAATCCTGGTTCACCTCATGTTGAGATGACATGATTAGTTTAAATCTGTGATAAGTTCAGCCTGAGAGGGATGGTTAGCGTAGAATCAAACAGACAGAGTGAGTTGAATATCCAAACGACATGTTTCTCGTGAGATAATTGTACACGGTTAGTGTCTGACGTAATATGAAACGTTTCACCTGAGTTAAAACTGACATGGTTAGCATGAACACGGTTAGTCTGACATAATATGAAACGTTACACCTGAGTTGAAACTGACATTGTTGGCATTACAGAAAAACACACGGTTGGTTTCCAACGCTGGCCCTCTCACCTGCTCCACCTGAATGAACTTGCGGTCAGGATTTGCCTCAAGCTGGTCAATGACAGTCTCGATGATGTACTGTACTGATGTCACCTGGACACGTTCACAATTAATAATTGAAAAGTAACATGATCATGCAATAGCTTGGAAATCTGGATTCTGGAAGCCATAGAAGATGACTCATTCCGGTATTGATTTCAGGAAAACAGGTTCAGCGGAGTTTCTGGACCTTCTGAAATAGGAACTCACGTAGTACTTGTCAATGGTGCTCGTCCATCCCAGGTCATCGTGTGAATGTGCTATTAGATGCACGTTCAGCTTGCTTTCTACAGGTACTGCGTCCGTCTCATAACGAATCTCTTCGTTAGCTGCGCCGATCGAAGCAGAAGACGCCAGCCAATCAGGCTTACCCATGTGTTGCGAGACGGATTGGTTGGCTGAATTCATAAACGCAAAGAGAGATGACGAAGCGATGGGGAACGAAATGTTCCCGCCGGTCATGATCTGCTGAATTGTCAACAGCGTAGCGCCTGCCAGAATCCCTATCAGGAAAGGCAGTGCGGCCGAGGCCGTACGACTTAAAGACATCGCAGTGAAATTCGATAACAGCTTGTATGGCAGCTTCAGTTACTAGACAACGCGACGCGATTCAGCAGCTTGCTTCCGTTAGAAAAACTACGACGCAGGACAGGCCATCACGCCATAGACCCTGCGCAAACAGCTGAAAGCTTCACGATCATAGCGTTCGAACCATGATGGTCATGGTTGGTCATGAACTTGCAGGCATCTGCTTTGTGTTCCTCGAAGAACCGCGAATCTCGGGGAGGCCACGAAGTTGTTTGTCATGACTGACATCCGTGAGCAGACTTGGTGCTGGGAAAATGGTTCTCGTCCCACCCACTCCAGAAGGGAACTTCTGGGTTCGCAGTTTCCTCGATACAGTTGAAGGTCAATTACGCAACACTGTACTATTGTGCTGCTAGTACGGTTAAATTCTCACATAAGTATGAATGGCGGATCCAGTTGTAATCTCAATAATTTGGTTGCTTTATTTTATTGCTGGTTTTATCCATGCCAGGCGTAGGCATTGTGCAATATAAGATCATTATATTCGTATCCACATGCGTATTATTTATGCTAACACAGTACATTTTCATGCCTGATCTTTTTGTGTATTGCACGTCATAGGGGCAGCATCTATGTATCTGGGAGAATGCAGGAAACATATATTATAGTGTACAGCGTTTCTCAGTATATATAGAGAGTCGATTCACAACTGTGCACGTTCCAGATCCTCCCTACACGTGATTGGCTGCCATTGATCAAATCTGTTCCTCCCAAACCACAGGCGCTCCACCAGCCAACTGAACAGCAGCATCTGATTCACTTCCGAACCAACAAATAGGACCAAAACAACCAAAGGCAATGGGTTTCGGCGCGGTTTTCTGTGGTGGTAGTGTCTGGCTTCGAGGTGAAGCTTCAAACCGAAACACGCACAAACGGGGATAGGGGAAGCAGCAACAAATAGATACCCCAGTAGGTCCATTTACCACAACAGTTTCAACCCTCGGATCTGAGGCCGTTGGATAATACCTAACAAGCCGCCCGAATAGATCTAAACTCGGCATTACAGACCATTTGTCCAGACTGCTTTCAAGTGACGCCATGTGACGCTGAGCTGTACAGTATGAGCCTTGTCCGCTCTCTTACGTCTACCCCATTAGTGGTCTCAAATGCTTCACCTGTGCTTTCCAGAAGCACCAGCAATCTAATCCCTCGAACTTCCACCACACTCTCAAGTGGAACGTCACGTGACGCAACGACACAAATGACGTCAAGCACGCGCGCCGCTGTAAGGGGCGACGCCATTCATCCGCGGGTCGCGGCGGGTCGTGAAGCCCGTCTACTGTCGGTGCTAGTACAGTATACGCGATATTTTATTTTGAAGACGTCATTAATGACAGGCATGTCGTCACGCACAATGATTCGACCCCGCGGATCAGCCATGCAGTAGACCATCACTGTCCTCAGGTCTTCAGACCCCACCCACAGGTTCAGTTTCGGATGATTCTTGTTCCTATTTCTGTTCCCATTCCTATTTTGCTGCCACTCGCACAGCTAACAATCCGTTTCTGGATTTGCAATCTGAATTTCGCTTCCTCTTCCGAATACGAGTCCTCACTTTAGCAGACTGAGCTGAGCAGTCGTCTGCGCCGGACAGAACTCAAACTCACCCACCGCATCGGCTCTGGTACAGCGAACGACCGGTGAAAGCACGATCACGCAAGGGGACTTATCTAATAACTCAAGATGATGCGCCTTTGCCTCCCCTCAGCGTTCCTTCGCCTCGCGGACGAGCACGAATTGGAAAGCCAGGCGGTTCCAGCCTCTTCCCCAGATCGCTCCGTTGACCCCTCCCACTCACTTTCCCAGGAGGGAAATGTGATTTTCCCTCAAGGCGGCGAAATTCGTGCTTCACCAGCAGCAGCCCCCCCTTTTGAAGACCCACTTGCAAGATCAGGAAATGAGGCGTCACGCTGCGGCGAGCACGGTTTGCAGACTGCTGCTGAGCAGAGTGCTGTTAGGCGGAATGACGCTGCCAGGTGGGCTGAACGCGCTTCTCTGGAAGCAGGACGGGCCTCTCTGGACGCGCAGCAGGGACTCATGAGCCGCCTGCCACCGCGGCCCGGCGGGCGATTCTCCCTGGAGGAATCCTGCTGCGGCCGCTCCTACCGCTGCGACAACATGTGCTTCCGGGGCTTGGAGGCGTTTCCGGGCGAGCCCACACGACGGTCCGATGCCGCTGCCTCTCCTCGACCTTCTGCGCCCAAGCAGCCGCTGGAGAGGAAGCTATCTAGCGGCATTCCGCGGGTCATGAGCGACGTTGATCAGATTTCGGCGCGTCACTCTGACCCGGTTCACATTCGTGGTGGATCTGATCGGTATCCATCCCGGGGTCGGACTTGGGGCTCTGCTCGAGACACTGCTTGCAGCCACTCCGCCAGTTTTGCCAATTTGGGCTCTTTGAGCGCCACAGGCAGTTTTTCAGAGACGCATGATTCAAATCACCGACATGCGTCAGGTTTGGGTCACTGCACTCGTTTGCACAGCAGCCACAGGCACTCCTTGGGAGCATCTCTTGCAGATCTTGCTCTGATTGAAGAAGCCCTTGGTCTCTCACAGCAAGGCAGCCTCCATGCGGACACCTTGAGAGCAGAGGACCATTCTCACCCGGGTCTAGCTCGTGGGGATTCTCTCTGTGGGGGTTGTTCTTGGCGTGCTGCTGAGCTGGCGTGCAGCCCGATGTGGGTGGATAGCGCCAGGTCACGGATTCAGGAGGCTGCACTGGCTGTGGTGGAGGCACAGCAAGCAGCAGTGGAGCTGAGTGCACGGATTGATGAGGCAGAGGGACGTTCGACAGGAGGGCTTGCATTGAGAAGCCTACCAGGATTGTCCTCCTTTCCTGTGACGAGGAGGAGCTTTGATGGTGTGGCAAGCCTGCGACATCAGTCGGTGGAAAGTAGTCCCAGTTCAACCAGAGAAGCCTCATCCCTTGCAGCCAACAGAACACGAAGTGAAGGGTCGTATATCGGGCTAAAAATAGTGAAACTGTTTAGCATGGCAAAAGTTCAACCTAAGACTAACAGGAAGAGTCAGCTCTGAATGCTACTATTTCTTGTTTCTACACAGAATATGCGGTCTAGTGGATGGTTATAACTTTCTCCTATACAACGATAATGTTCCCCGCGGCATGTTCAGGGTTGCTTTGAGCTGGATAATGCCACTCATGTAACATGTTAGCCATGCACTTCTAAACGATTTCGTGTTTTGCACAAAGGTATCATCCTAGAATCAGAATACTGTAGTGAAATCAAATGTTGAAGTAAAGAATTTTCCTATGACAGCTAGGCAGCATATGATTTTCCCGAAGTTCAAAAGCCTTTCAAATTCAGAAAACACAAGAACCGTGTCTAACCGTGAGAAAACAGGCTGATCCCAACAGTAGGCAGAAAACGAGCGCGCCTGCATGCAGGAACTGGCAAGGCAAACCCAAATGCTAGAATATCGTGACATGACAACCGTGAGTGACATGTCATGCGATGAGGCACTTGAGTCACCTGATTAGATATGCGGCCGGATGAGTCCCTATTTCCAAGCTGGCGTATCCATGATTTGTGGTTTCTATTGTTTTCGTACCAGTTTCAAGCGTACGACTGGCCCATTTTAATCCCCACGGGGGTGAAGGGACCAATAACTGACAAGACCAAACCGAATTTGATCCTCCACACTTCGCCCTTCCATCCACTCCTCTCATGTAGTCAACTCCAGTGTACGTCTAGGCCATAGTGAATTCCCGCCTGTCCTCAAGCTCGCCGCGATTCGCGTTTCCTGCCGCGCGTAGTCATGGTTATGGTTGAGGGGGGATGCATTGATGGAAGCCAGAATAACATCGGATTGCATTCCCGGTCAATCACTGGAAAACATCATTTTGCCATGGCGCTCGCACGTTTCTTGCCACAGCACATTGGCGCGTGATCCACGGCGGGACTGAGGCGCGTCCACTGTATTTTCGTACGCGTTGTCCTCGGTGCGCATTTCACTCCTGCCCTTCACATCCATCCCCGCGAATCGCCCACTCAGTGCCCATCAGGCTGCTCGGCAGTTCTTGTCCTTGCTTCAGAGGTCAAGGACAATTAGCTCTTCACATCAGCTGCTCATTTCCGGAAGAAGCTCATTATTTAACCTGGTCTAGTCTTATAAGGTGGTTCAGTTCAGTTCAGCTGAGTTCAGTTCTATTTTTAGCACCTCCCAGTGTTTGTTTCCATTCAATGTCTGCGGATTCCTTAGCTGACTTCACGTGGGCGAATGACCATTTGGTGGCCTCGGAGGAGTCATCGCGTGATTCAGGGAGGTTGTGGGAGAACGACGCTGGGTGGGAGCGGCGTTGTGACTGTGGAGCTCGTTCAAGTGGTAGCAACTTGAAATGCAACACTTCTGGGAGAGGCGACGGCGTCGCCGGGGCGCGACACTCTAGCCTCCCGTCGCGCTTGTCGTATGCCAACATGGGCGTGCTTTCCCGCCGCTCCGACGACCTGAGCTCGCGACAGCGGCGGCCGTGTTCCCGTCGCACGTCGTCGTGCAGCGACATCAGCATCCTGTCACCTGCGTCGTCCGTCTACTCGCACGACGACGCGAACCGGACGTTGATGTGCGTGGGATGCTCGAGGTTAGACGCTGAGCTGGCTTGCGACCCGTTGTGGATTGACAGCGCACGCGCGAGAATCGGCGGCGCGGCATTGGCTGTCGTGGAGGCTCAACAGGCAGCGGAAGAGCTGAGTGCGAGGGTAGAGATGGGCGCAACTCTCCCTGCGCGGGATCTAGAATCTCCTGTAGACCCCCGCCAGCTTTGCATGGGAGAGGTCCATGGATCGAATCTCAGGAGTGATGCCCAAAGAAGGGTGAGACGGAGGAGTGGGGGGGGCGCACACAATAGTTTAGATGCTGAGAAATGTACAGCTGTGTTTGATCAGATTGTGGGTGCAGAGGCGGAAGCTAGCAGGTCAGAAGATGAGAGAGTGACCAGGCCAAGGGGTCTGGGGTGGGGTAAGTCCCTGGGGGATGACACTTCAAGAGTGGCTAAGAAGCTTGCTGCTCACATCAGGAAGGGAGGCAATGAAAAGCAGGACAAGAAAGCCAGCCAAGGTAGTCAAAAGGCTAGGTTTATTCTTGGTTGGTTTAAAACAGTAATCAAGAATTAGCACGTGTATATATAAAAATGTGCATATCTGTAATCAGGAAACAGGATTGACGACACCGGTGTGGTTATAATCCTTGTCTGGTCTTGTAGGAGATGATGACCATACGGAGATGATGACCATACATGTATTATAAGACTACTTCCTTAGAATTGCTGACCAGTGTGTTCTGGATGAATTTGGGTGAGATATTCCCGATAAAGTCATGACAAAAGCATTGTTCGCGTTCACCCTAACGGGGATCTGCTCTCGCCAGAGAAAACCTCCCCCCTCGTTCCTCCTTGATCCTCTCAACCAAGATTGTGATGATGACTTAGGGATGTGAATAATTCAGCATACAAGGCTGGTGTTTTTTTAGGCGATTTGATCAACCGCAAAAATCGACAGAACTATTTGCCCAATACCCTATCTTGGTCGTTCATAAGGAGGTATGGCGGATCAGTGGCAGGCGGCGCAAGCAGGCGCGTCGCAGGCGGCGGGAGCCATGAGCGCCGGGAGCCAGCCGGCCAGCAGCACAGGTGCCTATGCGCCGTCACACCAGGTGCTGCCGCCGGAACCTTCCAGGAAACGCGGTTGCGTTGCATTTAACCGTCCCCTAGATTCGCACTTGATGGTTCCATGCGTTGGGCTTGAACCCTTTTGTTTAGTCTCTTCAGTGTGTTCGGGATTGAGCTTCTTACTGATCAGCCATGGATCGCTTGCTATTATATCTGGTTCTTACGACAACAAAAGAAGAAATATATTATTGAGTATGTAGTTATCCAGCGTTTTGGAAGCCCTAAGGCTGACATGCATGGTCGCCGTGTTTGCTTCTGTTTCAATCTGACGCATGGTGGCGTCAGCAGGGTTGGGACGTGATCGGAGCGTGGGGTTACCAGCAGCAGCATCAGCAGCAGCATCAGCAGCAGCACCAGCAGCAACCGATGCAGGAGCCTCAGCTTGGCGGTAATGCCCCCGCTTTGATTTTTTAATCGCCTCGTAGGTCGTCTTTGCTAAGTCTCTTTGATGTTTCGAAATCGTGTTTGAATTGCCGGTTCCTTCTTGCTGCGTAGTCACTTGTTTTTCTTTCATACGACTCAAAGAGTCTTGCTCTGCTTCCGTCGCCGTCGCCGTGCTTCGTTACCCGCCTCGGTTTAAGCGGCAGTTATTCGTGCGTCGCTTAATGCATGACTCTCTCTAACAGTGTATCAACCCCTTCATGAGTCCTTCGAACCGTTCATGACCCCTCACCCCGTGTATCAGGGGCGGAGCTCGATTGGGCGGCCAAGGCGCGGCTTTGGGCGGAGCAGCGGGCGGCGCAGGAAGCGGCGGCGGCAGCGGCGGCGGCAGCGGCGGCAGCAGCTGCGGCGGCAACGAATAAAGAAGCAGCAGCTAACGAGGACAAGGAACCGCCGAAGCAGGATGCTGCAGCAGCGGATGCGGCGGCGGCGGTGGCGGCGCCGGGTACGCAACAGCAGGATGTGGGTGGGGGAGGGGGGAAAGGGGGAGGAGACGGGGGAGGCGGATTTGGCGGGTATGTTGCTGCTGACGGGACGTATGTGGGTGGTGGGTACAGCGGTGCTGCTGCTATGGACGGGAGCACAGGGGCAGATCAGCAGCAGCAGTACTATCAGCAGCATTACCAGCAGTATTACTACCCACCGGAAATGCACCAGCAACCTTATCAGCAACATCAGCAGCAAGAGCAGCAGCAGCAGCAGCAATTGATGTACCCCCCTCCGCCTCCTTCTCACGCCCCTCCACTCCCTCCCCACAGTCATCCCCCCAATCCCGCGTCGTTCTACCCGCCGCAATACCCCCCTCCCCCGATGCAGTACCCCCCTCCGCCCCTGCAATTTCCCCCTACGGCCCCCGGTGGTTCCTACAACGGAGTGTACTCGGGATATGGAGATGCCAATGCGCCTGACGCTGCAGCAGCAGCAGCGGCGGCGGCGACGGCGTCAGCAGGAGCGGCAGCAGGAGCAGCGGCAGCAGGCGGGTTTCCCCCCCAGCACGCGCACGAGCAGCCCTACCCGCGCCTGCCCCCGCCGCCCCCCCCTCCGCCGCTCCTCTCCGCCCCGCCTCCCGCGCACGCCTCCGTGCTCCCCCCTCCGCCCGTGCAGCCGCCGCAATACCCGCCACCTGCAACACCAGCAGCAGGGGCGGCAGCAGCAGCGTACGTGCCGCCAGCCAATCAGGCGGCAGATATGTCCGTGCTCTCACCAGCGGTGCTGGCGGCGGCACAGGCAGCAGCAGCGTCTGCAGGAATGTATTTTGATCCGGCCATTTATGATGTGGGTGGGGGTGGTTCTGTGACTCCTGGTGCTAAGCCCAAGAAGGTGAGCTGCTGCCATCTGTTGTGGCCCGTTAATAATATTCTCTCGAATGTCTGGTTGTCCCCTCCCCGTTTCCCCCCCCCCCCCTCAACCCCACTTACCCTAAACCCTGAAGAACTTTCTTCGTCCTCTTCCTCGTCCCTCTTTCTGTTCTCGTTTTCTTTCTCTCCCTCTTCCCCGGCCTTCGTATTTCCACATGAAAAGTCATTAATTCGCCCTCTCAAGCTTTCTCTCCCTCCCTCTCTCCCTCTCCCTCTATCCCGCTCTCCTTCTCCCTCCCTCGATCTCCCTCCCTCTAACCCTCTCCCTCCCTCTCTCTCCCTCTCTCCCTCCCTCCCGCTCCCCCCCCCCTCCTTCCCTCCCCCTCCTCTCCCCCCCTCCTCCCTCCCCCGCCCTCCCCCAGTCCCTCCCCTCATGGCTTGTGGACGAGGTCGTCAAGAAGAAAGCAGCCCTCGCAGCAGCAGCAGGAGCAGCAGACTCACCTGCGAAAGCGCCCTCCAAGGACAAATGGTACAACGAAAGAGGCGCTCTCGCTGCTGCTGGTGCTGGCGCGGGTGGCGCTGCTCGTGGTGCTTCTGGTCGTGGTGGTGGTGGGCGAGGGGGAGTGGGGAGTGACGATGAGGAGGAGGACGAGGAGGAGGAGGAGGAGGCGGAGGTGCAGCGGAGAATGGCGATGAACAATGAGATCAAGCGCGTGCTCACAGAAGTGCTGCTCAAGGTGGGCTGGGTGTGAGGAGGGTCGCATGGGAGGGGGGTCGCTTGGGAGGGGGATCGCATGGGAGGGGGGCTCATGCGAGTTGCATTGCAGGTCAATGGAAGCTGTGTCCGCCGCTCGCCGCACCCTCTCCCCCTTGTCCTGCGCTTTCCCTCCCGCCCCACCCTTTCTCCGTTGTCCCGCGCTTTCCCTCCCCCCCACCCTTCATTTGAGTCGACTCAAAAGCCCCTTCATCCTTGTCCCGCGCTTTCCCTCCCCCCCTTCATCCTTGTCCCCCGCTTTCCCTCCCGCCCCACAGTCTCCCCCTTTTCCCGCGCTTTCCCTCCCCCTTCACCCTCTCCCCCTTTCCCCACTCTTTCCTTCCTGGCCCCACCCTTCGCCCTTTTTCCACGCTTTCCCTGCCGCCTGACCCTCTCCCTTTTTCCCCACGCTTTTCCCCCCGCTCCAACCCCTTCCGCTCCGCCAATAGGTAACTGATGACATGGTTAGGCGCATTGCTATGGATGCCCTCAGGGATCCCCGAGAAGAGGAAGAAGAGGAGGAGGAGGCGGGGAGGAGAGGAGGGGATGGCGTGGAGGGGAAGGGGAAGAAGGTTAGTGGAGGGAAATGGGTGACAGTGGGTGAAGGGGAGGAGGAAGGGAAGGAGGAGGAGGAGGAGGAGAACAGGAGCGAGGGGGAGAAGGATGGAAACAGGCGTACTCAGGAGGAGGGAAAGGAAGAGGGGATAGCAGGTGAAGAATCAGGTGGAAAACCAGGTGCGCCGGACGTGGCAGAAGAAAACAGGAGGGCTGTGGCAGGGGGGGCAGGTGATTCTGGGGGGAAGGGGGTGGTTGAGATGAGTAAGGCAACGAGTGGTGAGAGGAAGACGAAGAGTAAGAAGAAGAAGAAGAAACGGTCAGGAGGGGGTGGAGGGTTGCTGGGTGGAGGGCTGTTGGGGATTGCTTATGGGAGTGATGAGGATGATGAGGATGATGAGGAGGAGGACGAGGATGAAGAAGAGGAGGAAGAGGAGGAAGACGAAGAGAAGGAGGAGAAAAAAGAGAAGGAGGAGAGTGAGGTGGTAAGGGATGCGAAGGATAAAGGGGTTGATGGTGGTGAAGGGGGTGGGAGTGCGGTGCATAGGGATGGAACCGGGAATCACGAACAAGTTAAGGTTGGTGCGTTGGAAGAAAGGAAGGAGGGGAAGGATGGGGAAGAGTTGGGGCAGGAGGGCATTAAGGCTGAGAGGAAGGATGGGGAGGGAAAGAAGGATCAGGAAGAGAGGGGGGCAAGGGGAGTTGAGGGGAAAAGGGGAGAGGGGACTATGGAGCAGGAGGGAGGGGAAGAGATGCGCAGAGGGGGGACGATGAGGGGGAGAGGGGGAGGAGGAGGAGGGAGGGCGAGGATGATGGGGTAGGAAAGGGGAACGAGGCGGAGGAAGGGCGTGGGCGGGCGAGGGGAGAGGAGGAGGGAGGGGAGGAGGAAAGCAGGAAGGGAAAGATGAGCAGGAGGAGTGAGGGGAAAGATGATAAGGAGAAAGATGGGGAAAGTGAGGAGAGCGAGGGGAGGGAAAAAAAGAGGAGAGGGGAGCATGAGAGGAAGGAGGGAATTGAAAAGAGGCATAAAGAAGAGAGAGATGGGAAAGTGAAGGAGAAGGATAAAGAGAAGGATAGAGAGAAGGATAAAGAGAAGGATGACGGAAAAGAGAAGGAGAAGAGGAGGGCTAAGGGCGAGGAGAGGAGCAAAGAGAGGGATGAGAGGAGGGGCAAGGAGAGGGAGAAGGAGAGAGACAGAAACGGGAAGGAGAGGAAAAGGGATGGAGATGAGGAGGGGAGTAGGGACGAAAGCAGGGAGGAGGGCGGCAGGAAGGAACGGAAACGGTCTCAAAGCGAGAGAGAGGAGAAGGACGAGAAGGAGGAGCGGAGGAGCAAGGAGAAGCGCGAGAGGAAAGACAAGTCTGAGGGCAGGAGGAAAGAGGCGAGCAGAGAAAAGAAAGGAGAAGCTGGTGCTGATGCTGATGCTGATAGTGACGACGACAGGAGTGGAGAGCGGGAGAGAGGAAGCAAGCACGGGCGATCAGAGCGAAAAAAGGAGGCAGGCAGGAAGGGAAGGCATCGCAGCAAGTCGCGTTCCCGGTCCCGGTCCCCTCAACCCGAGCGCTCTTCCAGTGATGGCAACGAGGAGGAGGAGGAGGAGGATCGTGGCAGGTGAGGTGGGGAAGACGCATGTGCGGGTGGGCATGGGGGGGGAGGGGGATGGGGGGTTGGGCATGTGGGGTTGGGCATGTGGGGGTGGGCATGTGGGGGTGGGCATGTGGGGGTGGGCATGTGGGGGTGGGCATGTGAGGGTGGGCATGTGAGGGTGGGCATGTGAGGGTGGGCATGTGAGGGTGGGCATGTGGGGGTGCGGATGATAGGGTGGAGGGCATGTGAGCGGCAATGCAATATGTAATATGTTCCCTCAGTGTTGTTCCGTTCCCTCGACATCATCCTTACCCACCCCTTCTATGACCGTATACCTGCCTTCCCTATTCCCTGTTAGCAAGTTTTGAGGATTCTCAATGCTTTCCCACCCCTTCCATGACCGTCTACATGCCTTCCTTTTCTTCTGTTTGAAACCCAGGCATGGGAAGCGTGGGAGCAAGGACAAGGGGAAAGAGCGAGAGAGAGCAGAGAAGAGCAGCGAGAAGGAGAAGGAGAGCAGGAGGGGGAGGGAGGAGAGGCGGGAGAAGGGAAGCAAGCGGGACAAGGAAAAGAGGAAGGAGAAGGAGGGGGCAGGGGAGAGGGGCATGGGGAGCAGAGGAGGAGCAGGAGGAAGAGTCGCAGTGTCAGTCGCAGCAGGAGTCGCAGCAGCAGCAGCCGCAGCCCAACCCCGAAGAGACGGTGTGAAGTCTCTTCTTTCTCTCTCTGTTAGCTGGTCCTTCTATTGAATTCTGCAGCATCAGAAGCGAGCTCACCCCCACGGCACTCTATGTGCTCATACCCTTCCTCACCTATGTAACTTCCACCTGTTGCTTCTGTGCAAGTCTGTGCGTGAGTTAGTGCATATGTGAGTGTATATGTGGGCGCATTTGTGTGCATACGCCTGCACTGTCTCTGCCCCCTCGTGCTGCCTCTCCCTCTCACCCTCGTGTCCCAGCCCCCCTCTGGGCGGACTAGTCTGTCCTTCCTGTGCCGCCACTGCTTTCATGCAGAGCAGTGCGCGCTTTTCAGCAGGCCAGCTCCCATGCGCGGTGGCACTTTCTAAGCACTTGCTCAGCCTAACAACCAACACCCCCCTTGCGCGGTGGCCTGTGGTCGGGTTTCCGGGTCTTCGGGTTCCCTTTCCCTCTCCCTCCCTCCCACTTCTCTCTATGGTTCGGATCCTTCTCCCTGCAGGTATGCCCTCTTCCCTGCCCTACTACCCTCACCACCTCATCGCTCACTTCTGCTCGTCCTCCTTTGCCGTGTTGTTCATGTTAATGAATTCTCTGTTCATTCCTTCGCTTCGACTGCTCACGACTCACGCACACAAGCACGTTGACTCTCGCTCGCGCATGTGCTGGCAGGCTCGCATGCCTCGTTCTCAAACAGCCATGCTTCCCCCTCTTGCCCCCATGCCAGGTACCGCTCTGAGCGATAGGAGCCAGCGCGTTGTGTGGATGGAGGCACACGAGCGCGCGTGTTGATCAAGTGCAGAGAGAAAACCAGATGTTGGGATTCTGACTAGGTGGTCTTGCACTGGGCTTTTTGAGCTGCCTCAATGGCACTAGTGAGGAGGCGCCTCCACAATTGGATTTTGGAATTTTCACAAGTGGTGCTACTACCGCTGGACTGAAATGATACTAGAAGGGCAGTGTTGTTCTTTTCTCCTTAAAGGGAGCACATACCTGAACCTGGAACGGGTCAGAGGTGACTTGCATCCATGTTCTGGGGTTGGAATTAGGAGGGGTGGTTAGGGGTTTTGAGTGGGAGGAGCTCAGGTTTGGTCGTGAAGATATTGTTGTGTGTTGGTACTTCTGATTGTGTGATTGGATTGGGGTCCAATCCAAGTGATTCTGCACCAAAATCGGCCCTTGACTTGATGCAGCTAGTTTCTCCCTCATCAGGTGCACATTTGCAAAGAAACCGTAGGAACTGATCCTGGTTATTGCAGTCTGAAGGAGTAGGTGAGCTGAGGTGCATCCCAGCCCATCCTAACCTACCTACATCAATCCATCATCTAGCACCTATTGTCCACTACCTATCATCAACCCTATCTCCTTCCTTCCACCTCTTCTCTTTGCCCCTCCCCTGAACCTGCCTGCGCTCCTTGCTGCACCCTCCCCTCCTCTGTCGTCCCCTCCTTCCTCCTCTCCACTTCCTTCTTCTCCACCTTTCTCAACTTCTCCCTGTCCTCCGCCCTTTGCACCGCTCCCCCTCCTCGCCTCCCCCTCCTCACACTCCACCTCTCATTCTCGAGCACAAGATACTCCCCTGATCGTGCCAGCAGTCGCCACTGCCTCGCTACAGTAGCAGCCTCTACAGTAGCGGTGCAATTTGGTTTCACGCGGTCGTGCACTTCCACCGCCATCACCCGGACCTCATCCAACCATGGCCGAGGGTCATACCAATCAGAAATGCTGCCAATTTCAGTTGTGCTGCTGCTACTACTGCTGCTGCCGCTATTGTCGTCACCGCTGCTGATCCCCCCTGAGACAGTGGGATCAGCATTTGCTGTTGTCACATCCGTGCCTGCTGCCAATGGGGGCATGGCCAGCACTTCAGCCTCGGACCCCTCGATATCCATCTTCACAAAATCAAATCTCGCCAAGCCCACCTGCTTTAGCACATCGCCTACAGTCACAGCACGGATAGTCACACCCCCCTCAGCTGCCCCTGTGCTTTCCGCTCTGCTGCTGTTGATGCTGTTCGCTTCACCCTCTACCCCATTCTGCACATCATCGTTAGTATCACCTTCGTTTGTGTCACGGCTGCTATTAGAGGGCACTGGCGTGACCACATACTGCCACCCCTCCCTCGTCTTCGTTTGTGTCCCATTCCTTAGCATCACCATCCCAGAGTGGTTAAACAACCCCGCATGCACCGCGTACACGTTCGGCAGGCGATACGTGTTACGGCGTAACACCTCAAAGTTCTTGTCGCTCGCCTCTATGGCGACCACAGTGGCGTTGGGGAAGAACGTGGAGAATATGAGCGTTGCATAGCCCACGTTGGCTCCTGGCAACGAGAAATACCACCAGCGGATTCAAATGCTAAGAATAGGCTTGTATGAACGGCCAGGAGGGTACAGCCGTACTTGTGGAAAATAATCATTTATCTGGGCTAGGAAGCATCCGGAGAAAAGCAGAAAAACTGAGCACCCGCGCTTACCTGCGTCTAGCACAGTTCGCGGCCGGAAGTGCTTGATGAAGCCGAACTCGTCCATCTCGACAAGCTGCTTCAGCACGCTGAAATCCGAGTAGTACGGCCGCACGTGTAGGGTCAGCACGCACGGCGCGTGCTGGCATGGCACTTGGCCGTGCACCGCCGCCATCGCGCACACGACGGCGTCGCGTGGTAACTGTTTTCGCACGATCTCCAAGGCGAGGTAGAGCTGCCGGTTCGTCTGCCACCGCCCCGCGTACCAGTACCGCGGCTCGTCTGGCGCGCAACGCGGGGCCACGGGGGCGATATCGCAGCCGTTTGAGGTGGGGGGGATTAAAACCAAGAGGAAGAGGGGGACGAAAGAAGGGATGGGGAAAGGCAGGGGGGAAGAGGAGGGGAGGGAGGGGGAAGGGGAAGAGGATGTGGGGGGGAGAGATAGAGCTGGGGCTTAGCCATGAGGCGGGAGTTACGAGCACGGCGGAACCATCTGGCGAAGATACATGGAGCGGAAAAGAGATCGGGGAGATGGCGCGTGTTCAAGAGAGGACGCGTCAGTGTCTCTTACCTCGCCGCCACCCGTGCTCTTCCGCCATGATACTTCTCAACACCATGGAACCCCATCGACCCACTTTGAGAATTCTCGAATGGATACAAGCGCGTCAGTGCCGCTTACCTCGCCGCCACCCATGCTCTTCCGCCATTATGCTTCTCAACTCCATCGGACCCATCCCACACACGTCGCCCACGACTCGAATCCTCGCCATCTCCGCATCCGATATAGTCACAACTTCGACCCCCGCGAGCGAGTTGAGCTGGTTCACCAGCCCCGTCGCGATAAGCGCGAGCACAAAGAAGGAAAGCAGCGGGAGGCTGTTCGCGGCCCACGCCCACGACCGCCATGGCTTTCCGCCGAAGAGGGAAAAGGAGGAGGAAGGGGTGGAGTACGGGGAGGTCAGCGGTCGCGGCGAGAATCCCGCCGAAATGCTTCTAACGGGGGCTGAAAGGCTTCTGGTCGGCGTGCCGTGAGTCGATTTCACGGGCGTGGTGGAGTCTTCCATAATGAGCTTAGCCCACAGGGATGAAATAACCTTACAGTGGAATGTACGCTTACTGCAGCGCTTAGCGAGTGTAGTCTTACAGCGGATGTGGATCCGGGGAAGCGAATGGGAAATATTATATTTGGGGGATTGACTTTGGCGGAACGGACGACCTGAAGTGTCGTCCAGCGCAACCTAAACGGCAAGCAAGCGGCTTGCGGGATTAACAAACGATCACGCGGGCTACTCCGTGGTCGAAGAACTCTGTAAGATCGCTAGTGAGATGCTCCAGTAGAGTATAGTTTTTATCTTTTTAAAAACATGTCCATCTGGTTGCGCGGCGGAGGATTCGCAACATTCACCAGCAGGGTTTCAGACTGCGCGGTCTACTTTCTAGGTATGAAGGTTAGGGGACAAGAACAGAGGCAAGAAAGAACCTGAACAAGAAGACAGCGCCGACCGTGGCGTGGATTCAGCAATAACAGTTGCAGCACGAAAGAGACCGTGGTTGCGAATCCCCCGTCATGGCTGCGTGAAACTGTGGCAGAGGCCACGAAATGAAAGGAGGCCAAAAGAGGGTTGAAGGGGGGAATTTTTCTTCTCTTTTCGAGTGAACAAATGTGGGAGAAGAACCCACAAATGCCAACCCTCTCTTGGCCCTTCAACCCTGAATCGGGAGAAGAACAAATGTGCCTGCCACGCCACTGCAGGAGAATGCGACGCGACCGCCCTGTGCGGTGCGGGTCAGACTGCCTCGCAGTCAGCACCTGTTGGTTCGGGAAATATGAGCGCCGTGTCTGCTGGCCTGACCTCGTTTGAAGAGTTTCAGAACTTCATTCTGATTAGCCAGCGGGAAACTCGGGGATCGATGGTTCAGGCGGTGTTGTGACTGTATGAGGTTGTCTGGCGTCGACCAGCTCTGGTCTGGTTGGCTGCGGGTGCTGTACATGTTGTCAGAGTGCTGCCCATGCATCGGCCAGAAGGGGGTGTGCTACTGACCGAATCATCTCCGTGTGGTCCTCTGGTTACTCAGCAACAGAAGATCGCACCTAGTCGTCGAGTTACCATGTCCGTCAAAGCAATATTTGACTTCGCTGAGACAACTGCATGGTCCTCGAGCTGTAAGGTGGAACCAATTTGACCGTCAGACGACCCATAAATGATTGACATTTGGCAAACACATTGAAGCGAAAGCTCTGTGATTGGATGAATCAGCGTCTGTATGCGCTGGCACATCTTTCTGGATTACCCTGGCCCCTTGTTCCTTCTCAGCACCTTCTCCAAATCCACACTCTAGCGGCTGGCCCATTCTCTGTTTGCATTCTCAATCTTTTTGTAGACAATTCTGAGCTCTCGGTAGTCCCAAGATAGAGAGAGGCAAAGGAACCGTATTCCACGTTTTACTCCTAACATTTGGCTTCGGTGCTTCTTGTCGAATCAAACGAGTTTCTGAGCCATGGCATCGAGCACATTAAGTGGCATTCGGTTTATGCGAGTCGTTGAAAATCATAGCCTTTCGAAATCATCAGGTCGGCACCATCGGTCCCAACTCATTCTCGCGTGAAGATTCGTTCATGTTTCATCCATCCCGTCGCACACGCTTTCATGCCCAGTCATGCTCGGTCGTGACTGCACGGTGTGTTAGATTTCATAATACCTCGTCAATTCTCACACAGGTGCCTCCAGTTCTTTTTCTTTCCTGTTACCAGCAGTCATGACCATCGGAAGCAATGGCGCAGTCAGCTTGGTCCCTCTGCGTCTCCACACGGTTTCCAGCGTCTCCGCCATGTCATCAGCGTCCCTGAAAACGAGACGATTTCGGTGTGGATCAATTGCAGCATCAGCAGTCTCAGAAAAGCCCGAAGAGCAGCAGAGTGGTGCCTCGGATCAGCCTCCCCTGGTGGTGGCGACGCGCGAGAAAGGCAAAAACGGCAAGCTGATGAAGGCACTGGTGAGTGTTTGATACTCTGGAAAAGAATTAGTATGCGTTCAAAACACATCGGCACGGAGTCGAAATTGCTGATGAGAACGAGTTAGAGTTCTAGCTGCAAATATGTGAGGAGAACTCAGGAGATTGCCATTGATGCAGCTGCTCTTCCCGCCATGTGATCAACCCCAATCAAATCCTCACATCCCGAATCAGCGTTGTCCACAAATGGCGTGAGGGACGTGCCGGTAATGGAGCTCCCACTCATCCAGCACTCAGACAAGCCCACAGGTGCACACTAGAATTATTCAGAACCCAGCCTCTCCCTGCGCTTGCCTCCCCAGAGTGCCAGAGGAGTGCCTGCATTGGAGCTGCTGCTCATCCTGCATTCAGAGGGGCCCAAGTGCTCACACTAGGAAGATGCAGACCGCAGCCTCTCTCTGTGCTCGTCTCTCGCAGAGTGCGAGGAGAGTGTCAGTGATGGAGCTGCCGCTCATCCAGCACTCAGACGGGCCTGACACCCACCGACTGCCAGCCGTGCTTCGAGGTCACTCCACACACACACCCTTCCGCCTCCTTCTTCTAGTCAGCTTTTCCTTTGCCCCACACTCTGCCCTCCCTGCCCCCTTCTTTTTTCCTGTTCTCTCTTTGTTCCTGTTTTTTCCAGTCTCCTTGTCGTCCCCACTCTGAATCCTGGGTGTTTCCTCTGCGGTTTCTTATTCTGTTGCTTTTCGACTGCCTCGTGCCGTTTGCACTGCAGAAGAGGAGTTCGAGTGGATTGTGGTAACCTCGCCAGAAGCTGCTTCAGTATTCCTTACAGGCTGGAGGTATGGTTGCACCACCACGCTGACAGTCTCCATGCCCGTCTTCGTACCTTGCATCTGCATCACGCATGCCACTGCACTGCTCTCCCAGTTCCCTGTAGTCCGGTTCCCCATCGCCCCGGACTAGCACCCCTCGGTCATTATTTCATCTATGCCACGTGTCCTTTCTCCCCGACACGCATCAATGCTACTGACTTCTCCCTCCCCCCGGCGCCTCTCAGAGCCGCAGGGTCGCCGGCACTGAGGCTGGCAGTGGTGGGGGGCGGCACAGCGGAGGTATTCAACCAGCTGGGCGAGCAGGAGAAGCGCCTCCTGCCAGTCCAGTTCGTTCCTTCCAAAGGTAACCAGTTTCTTCTCCCTTGACAATCAGTGTTTGGAGCTGTCTGGCTCGGCCGAGTGCTTCTGGTGCAACTATGCGTGCGTTTCTCATTTCTCCCCCCTCCTCCCTCCCCTCCCTCTCCACCCTCCCTGTGTCCCCAGCCACGGCCAAGTACCTGTCGGCTGAGATTCCCGAGATTCAAGGCGGCAATCGCCGGGTGCTTCTGGTGCAACCTTGTGTGCTCTCTTCATTTCCACTCTCTCCTCCCTCTCCACCCTCCCTCCCTCCCTCCCTCCCCAGCCACGGCCAAGTACCTGTCGGCTGAGATTCCCGAGATTCAAGGCGGCAACCGCCGGGTGCTGTACCCCGCCTCAGCCAAGGCCAGCACGGATCTTCGTGGGTGCTCTAGGCTGGGATGCATGTTGGCTAGGGGGGAAAGATGGACGGGGGAGTGGGAGTGGGGATGGGGGTAAGGTGGAAGAGGGTTGCTTGATTGATGGTCTGGTTTGGAACTAGCAACAGCTTTTCTTTTTTGTCAGTGCTTCAAACGTTTCAGCATTTGTGTGTGTGTGGCTGCAGAGAGTGGGCTAGCAAGCAGGGGCTTCCAAGTCACGCGGCTGAACACATACTCCACGGTATGCTGCCTGGCACTCAACTCGTTCTGTTACAGCCACAACACGTACCTCTGTCAGCTAACACGGTTGCATTCCTTCTCTGGAGCTGTTTGTATCATTCAGATAATTTCCCACTCATCGCCTTCATCCATCGCTCCAGCAGTCTCACAGAACCCCCTTCTCTTGTCGGCTCTCTTCCGCACCCTCATCACCTCCTTCCTCCATGGCTTGATACGTGTGTCAGTGTGTGCGCCACACTGTGCGTGCATGTGGGCATGGGGGCATCAGGAGTCGGTGACGAGTGTGGACGAGGACACCATACAGAGAGCCGCCAGGGCTCCTGTCGTTGCCGTGGCTTCTCCCACTGCTGTCAGGTGAGCAACAGCAGACTCTCCAAACTCAAGCATGGACCGTCTCGATCTCCCCTCTTCACACTTCCCATTTCCCTAGTCCCTCATTCTCCCTCCCACCATTTCCTTCTCCCCTGGCTTCCCTTCCCCCCTCGCCTCTTGCCCCTCACCCCAGGGCATGGATGGAGGTGGTGACGTCCCGCACGCAGTGGGACGGAGCTGCAGTGTGCATTGGGGGAACTTGGCCCTCGCCCCACATCCCACACCCCACACGCCCACACGCCCCCTCGCCCCTTGCCCCTTGCCCCTTGCCCCTCGCCGTATCTCTCGACCCTCACCCCAGGGCATGGATGGAGGTGGTGGCATCCCGCACGCAGTGGGACGGAGCTGCAGCTTGCATTGGGGGAACTTCAGCCGAGGCTGCCAGGAAAGCAGGAATCAAGAGGGTGTTTGCACCAGACAGCCCTGGAATTGAAAGGTGAGCTCGTTCTGGACCATGCGCTACTCACTCGCTACAAAAACCTCCCCTGCTGTATCAACTGTCTTCTCAAATTATTTGTCTGCTCCTTGGCTTGCTTTTCTCTGCCCCTACATCTCCCTCTGTTTCTCTGTGCAGCTGGGTGGCCAGTGTTATGGAAGCACTGGAAGCAGCACCTGCTGAAGCACAAGCGTAGAAAACCAACTATTGTATTAGAAATCATTGTGTTCAATTGATTAACACAATCTGATGTGTGTCATGGGCCTTTCCCCAATCATTATCGATTATGGTTTCGGAAAGGGACAATAAAGCGCTGGGAGTGAGCTTGTGACGAGCTGTTCTGTGCGGAAATGGTAACCGAAACCTTGCGAATATGTCGCCGAGATCGCATCACCTGCCAGCTCAGCGTTGCGAACACGTCACCGAAATCGCCACGCCTGCTAGCCCAACTTTGCAAAAGCATCACCGACAAATCCACTCCATCTCACTTCGCTTCGTCGGCTCTGAGAAACCTATTTCGCCTCCGCTATCCGTACTCATTCCGTATGCTCGCGTTTCTGTTGGCGGAAGATGCGTTCACATAAGCCCCCCACGTAAGCTTAGCCACAAGGCACACTTCTGGACTAAGAGGAAGTTAACGACTCTGTATAAGCGTCAGAAATAGGAAAGCAGACACGCGAGGAAGCACCTTGAGCTCGCTAATGCACGCATGGCACGCACCACCAACCGCAGTCGTCGTGAGGTGTCGTTTGCAGTCAGCGACCATGTCCTTCTCGATAGCCGCAACCTCCGACTGCCACAGGACAGCAAGCTTCGTCCACGTTTCATTGGTTTATTCGTCATCGAGCGCACACTAGGTCCAGTCGCATACCGCCTTCGCCTTCCCGCTCATTTCCGCATGCACCCATCATTCCACGTGTCTCTCCTTCGTCCATACATCGATCCCAACGCCACTTTATCGGGCTGTGATCGCACTCCACTGCCGGTAGCTGTTGACACCGACGAGCCCGACTGTTAGATACAGCGCATCCTCAGGCACCGTCGCCGTCTCCAAAGGGGTGTCTCTTTCATCGACTTCTTGGTTCGTTGGCGTGGTTACGATGCAGCTGACGACAGTTGGGTTCCTTCGTCATCGCTGTCTCCTGATAACGCTTGCCTCCAAGCGTACCTCCAATCTGCAGGCGCCATGGACGTCGCCTCCTTGGGAGGGGGTAATGTTACGTGGTAATTTACTGTTCAAGGGGTGTTTACCCTAAATAGTGCCCAAACCTAATCTCAATCTTATCTTCATCCAACTCATCCAAGATTTCTAAGATTCCCAAGTGCCACGTGACACTCTAGCTTTCTTGCCTTACAATTCCTAATCCCACAAACCACTTTCTCACAATTGTTCGTGCATGCTATATCAACCTTGCTTGTATCAACCATTTAGCAACCAATTCTCTTCTACGGTATTACTTTGTAACTCCTTCGCCTATTTCGCTAATAGTTATTTCGCCAAAGTCTTCTGCCGCGTTTTATCCTAGACTTAGTCGACCCCAATTTTTTTTAGTCTACTTAGGCCAGCGGGCCTAACAAAATAGATGGTGTCAACATAATACAGAGACCAATTCAATCACATTCCTTGCTGCCCATAATATCTGAACCCTCCACCTGGGTCGGTGGGGCTAGCTGATGTGGCCACAGCAATTCCCATGGCTCCCTGCGCTATCCTCCATCTCACCCGCACCCCCATCCCAATAGCAGCGACAGCTGATACTTTTTGCACATCGTCCTCCGTTGTGTGTATCGCTTCACTGCTTGCCATGGCTGTTTCTAGCAGCTGAGGACGTCTTGCTCTCGGTGCTGGTTTTCGTCCGCCCGATTCAGTTCGTCGTCGCGGTCAGTTGCCGGTCATTCGTGGATCTGGACGGAAAGTCGAGGAATTGCCGGATTCCGTGTTCAGGCGCTCCGTCATTGTTGCCCATGGACCATTTTTCAAGATCCGCTTTCCGTTCGCGTTTCCTATTAGCATCCTTCGTGCTAGCTTTTTTGATCGGACTCGCTTGTATCACGGCTGCTAGCGCTGGGAAATTCGAGCATCGCCATGACAAGCAGCATGGGAAGCACCAGCAGCAGCACGGTCATAAGCACCATGAAAGCCGTCACCACCATCGTCAACATCATCATGATCATGGCAAAGGCGGGGGGAGGCCTGGGAGGTACAACACGCGGGCTGGCCCCGTGGAGGGGAAGCTCAACGTGCACCTCGTCGCGCATTCACATGATGACGTGGGATGGCTTAAAACCGTCGATCAGTACTATATCGGGTCGAACAATTCCATTCAGGTGAGTTGACGTGGACATCCATGCACTCGAATCTCGGTAAATCTGATTCTTTTCTTGCATTTGAATCGGGTTTTTGGGTGAATTCATGAGGATTCGGATCAATCACCAGATGCTAGTGCATATTCTCAATAACAATCCGTTAATCTGTTGCAGGTTGCTGCAGTACAGTACATACTCGATACAGTGGTGGAGCAGCTGAGCGAGGACCCTAACAGAAAGTTCATTCAGGTGGAACAGGCATTCTTCCAGCGCTGGTGGCGCCGCCAATCCAAGCACGTGCAACGTGTCGTCAGGCGATTGGTCAAGAACGGTCAACTGGAATTCACGTAAGTATCTAAGGAAATGTCGGCGCTCTAATACGGGAGCTGGGGATATTCCGTGAAGGGATGTAATATGTGGTCTGGTGACGGCGATGTTGGGGGAGGATGAATGCGGTGATTTCAACAATGGCGTGTGTCAGCGATTTGAGGAGCGCTTCTGTCTGCAGTGCAGACGTATGGAATTGAAGGTGATGCCCTCCGATTGACACCAAACAGTTGAGTTCGTCACAATCTGAGGATTGACGCTAGTTCCTTTGTCGCCTCTTTCACGTGCCTCCCTCACACGTCTTGCAGCGACGGCGGGTGGTGCATGCACGACGAGGCGGCGACGCATTACACGGACATGGTGCACCAGATGTCGCTGGGGCTGCGCCTCATCCTTTCCGTTCCCCCCATTCCCTGCTCCCATGCCCTCCACGTGCTCTGTTTCCGCAGCAACGGCGGGTGGTGCATGCACGACGAGGCGGCGACGCATTATACGGACATGGTGCACCAGATGTCGCTGGGGCTGCGCCTCATCCGCCGCCAGTTCGGCCAGGTGCCGCGCGTCGCCTGGCAGATCGACCCCTTCGGCCACTCCGCCGTGCAGGGCTACCTCATCTCCGCCATGGTGGGTTCTGCTCGGTGCTGCTGGGTTTTTTTTGGGTGCTGCTGGGTGCTTCTACGTTTTCTTGGTTACTGCTTGGTGTGGCGTGACTGGAGGGGGAAACACTTCTCCTTCCCTACACTCCTCCCCCGTCTCCATCGTTCCCCCCAACACGGCGGGTTTGACGCGCTGATCTTCGCGCGCGCAGACTACGTGGACAGCACCGTATCACCGTTTCAGCGTTCACTGTGATTCACTGTTTCACTTCGCCCTTTGCCCTCCCCCCCCCCCACGTCTCCATCATTCCCCCCAACAGGGCGGGTTCGACGCGGTGTTCTTCGCGCGAGCGGACTACGAGGACAGCGAGGCGCGGTACCGCGCGCGCACGGCGGAGTTCGTGTGGCGCGCGTCCGACACGCTTAAGGAGCGCGCGGAGGTGTTCGGCGGGCGGCTGTACGTGCACTACCTGCCGCCCGACTCGTTCCGCTACGACACCAACAACTGGGACCCGCCCGTGCAGGTGAGATGAGCGCGAGAGGGCACGCGCTGTGATGCTTGCTGTCTGCTGCTGCCTGTGGTACACTGAGAGTGTAGAGAGGACGACTATCGTCGCTGTACTGGGCGTTTTGTTCTGATCCGACTGTGTGTTGGCTTCCTCCTCCCCATCTCCCCCCCGACCCCCCCCCCGCCCCCCCCCCCCCCCCCCCCCCCCCCCCCCCCCCCAAAACCCCTTGTGTGACAGGACGACCCTGATCTGTACGACTACAATGTGCAGGAGCGGGTGGACAAGTTCGTGGAAACTGCGCTCAAGCAGGTGAGGTGGAGGGAGGGAAAGCAGGAAAAGGTGGGACAGGGTGGGTTGAGGGGGCGGGGTTGGGGGTGGGGTTGTTGGGGGTGGGGTTGTTGGGGTTGGGATGGCCGTGAGGTGGGGATCTGGTGAACGGTGGGGAGGGAGAAAGGAGAGAACTTGGAGGAATTGCATGCGGCATGCGTTGTTCACGCTGCTGGTGCATATAGCACGCACCATGTGTAACCCATCCCATGTAACCCATCCCATGTAACCCATCCCATGTAGTCCATCCCATGTAATCCATCCCATGTAATCCATCCCATGTAATCCATCCCATGTAACCCATCCCATGTAACCCATCCCATGTAACCCATCCCATGTATCCCATCCCATGTAACCCATCCCATGTAACCCATCCCATGTAACCCATCCCATGTAACCCATCCCATGTAATCCATCCCATGTAACCCATCCCATGTAACCCATCCCATGTAACCCATCCCATGTAACCCATCCCGTGCGCCCCATCTCATGCACCACACCCCATCCACCACACCCCATGCACCACATCCCACAAGGCGGAGAGCTACCGCACAAACCACATCATGTGGACCATGGGCGACGACTTCGCGTACAGCAATGCAGTGACGTGGTTCCGCAACATGGACAAGCTCATCCACTACGTCAACCGTGACGGCCGTGTGAACGCCTTCTACTCCACGCCCTCCATTTATGTTGATGCTAAGCACAGAGCCAACGAGTCCTGGCCTGTCAAGACTGGAGATTTCTTCCCGTGAGCACCTTCGCCCACCCCTTCACCCCTTCACCCACAACCTCCCCCCCCTCCCTCCCCCCCCCTCTCTCGTGAACGCTTTCTACTCCACGCCCTCCCTCTACGTGGATGCCAAGTACAGGGCCGACGAGTCCTGGCCCGTCAAGACAGGAGATTTTTACTCGTGAGCACCTTCCCCGCCCGTCGGCCCCCCTTTTACCCCTGTCCCCTTCAAGGAACTCTTTTGGCCTTGAAACTGTCAGTCCCCCCACCCCCACCCCCACCCCTCCCCACTCGCTTTGCCTTCTTCGCTTGCTGCCATGTTGACTCATCTCTCTTAAGCTTGATGTTCCGTTTGGTTCTTCAGTTGTTTTTCTCCTCCTGTACCTGCACGGCCCTCTAGTTCCCCCCGCGCTATCTGCAGCTATGCGGACTGTCTGCACTGCTACGGGAATGGGTACTTCTCCAGCCGCCCCGCCTTCACATGTTTCTCTCCCCTCGTCCCCTCCATTCCCGTCATCCCAACCGTTCCCCCCGCCCTGTCTGCAGCTATGCGGACTGCCCCCACTGCTACTGGACGGGGTACTTTTCCTCCCGCCCCGCCTTCAAGCGCTACGTGCGCCACTGCAGCGCGCTGCTCCTCGTACGCCCCGCCCCTGCCCGCCCCTACCTGCCTCTCCCCCCCCTCCCCTCAACCCGCCCCTGCCTGCCCCCTTTCCCACACGTTCTTTCCCCCGTTTGTCATCCCCTTGTCTATTTCTTCCCTTCCTCACATTGGTTCTTCTTCTGTGCTTGTGCTTGGTAAGGCATGCAGTCGCATCGAAGTTGATGCTTACAACTCAAACCCTTCTCACCTCCCTCCCGCTCATCTCCTCTTCCTGTCCTATTCGCCCTCGCCTCCCACGGCCCTTGTGTGCACCTCCTCCCCCGCCCTTGTGTCGCATCCACCCTTCCTGCGTGGCAGGCTGCCAGGCAAGTGGAGGCGCTGGTGGGGGGCAGCAGGCTGAGGAGAGGGCTAGAGGGGGGAGCAGTGGCAGTGGGGGTGGAGGAGCTAGAGGAGGCGATGGCGGTGGCACAGCACCACGACTCGGTGAGCGGCACGGCCAAGCAGCACGTTAATGACGACTACACGCTGCGCCTGTACCGCGGGGCCGTCAAGGTGAGGATGGGGGGACTGGACAGTTTCTGAAGTGCCTTAGTGGGACAGGACGGGATGTGAGGTGCTGTTCCTATTAGCGGCACGGCCAAGCAGCATGTCAACGATGACTACACCATGTGGCTCTGCTGTGGGGCTGTCAAGCCCTGACAGTCAAGGTGAGCCTGGGGAGAACTAGTCGTGCATGCCTGTCTTGAATCCCGTCTGTGCTTTCCTGTCCTCTTGTGTGGCTCTGTCGAGCTCTTGAGTGGAAGCAAGGCAGCGTGAAGTCAAGTGGGTGAAGCTAGTGAAAAAGGCAGTGTCGCTGCCAGGGATGAGTGAATTTCTTGTCATCAGAGCCCCCTGTGGTGATCACAGGGGGGCATGACAGAGCATCTAATCTTCTCTCTGAGGCATCGTGTGCCCCCAGGCTGCCTTCCCCCTATGTGTTCCTGTTCCTCTGGTTCCGTGGTAATGCCTGTGTGGTTTGGGCATCATGTGCTTTTGCTGGGCTTTGGAGTTATATAGCCTCGCCCGCAGCATTAACTTGGTCGCTTTGTTTGGTGTAATGTGCTGATGCATTTCTACGGTGTGGTATCTTAATGTCAGGGTGATTTGCATTTTTGTCTCGGTAGCAAGGGCTGTGCTGCCACTGCCAGTGATGATCGAATTTCTTGTCATCGGAGCCCCCATGAGGGGCCGTGACAGACCCTTATATCCCCTCTGAGGCATCTGTCCCACCCACCCTCCACTCCGAATCCACGTTCGCGTTTTCTTGTCTCTGTTCTTGTGTGACGCCTCAATGAGGCGCCTCAATCTCCGCACACGATCTGGCTGGCTTGCTGGTGCTAGCTGTACGCGCACACTCCAGCCAGACCTCGTGTGTGGGTGTGCTCTGCATGGCTCTGCTCGAAGGGCTTTGTTGCGTCAGTGGGGTGTTGGTGTAAACTGCTTGTGCTGCTGCCAGGGATGAGTGAATTTCTTGTCATCGGAGCCCCCTGTGTGCTCATGCTACCAGGGGGCCGTGACAGAGCATCTAATCTAATCTTCTCTCTGAGGCACATCGTATACCCCCACATAAAGCTCCCGTCATCTCTGCTGTGGCAGATGTCAGCTGCTTTACCCACCGAATGGGTGTGGTGCATGACATAGCTGCATGGCGGATGGATGGGAAGCATGAGATTAGATGAAGCACGCAATAATGTTAGTGGGAGAGAGGAAAGCCAGTGTCGCTGCCAGGGATGAGCGAATTTCTTGTCATCGGAGTCCCCTGTGGTGATCACAGGGGGGCATGACGGAGCATCTAATCTTCTCTCTGAGGCATGCCACGTGGCACATGTGCGCAAGGTGCTGAGCGCGTAGCTCGTATCAGCACCACTGTTCATGCCACCATAGGTCGTCGGGTCATTGTCTGAGTCGGATGAGTGATACTTATGCTACTGATGCTGCCAGGGATGAGTGAATTTCTTGTCATCGGAGCCCCCTGTGGTGATCACAGGGGGGCATGACAGAACATCTAATCTTCTCTCTGAGGCATGCCACGTGGCACATGCAAGTGTCGCACAGAAGAACGCAATCAGATGCATTTATGTGCTGAGCGCGTTAGCACCTTTCTTCATGCCACCGTGACTACTTTGATAGGACATTCTTGCAGTGTCTGATGAGAGGTGCTGTGCTTCCAGGGATGAGTGAGTTTCTTGTCATCGGATCCCCTTGTGATGACCACAGGGGGGCATGACGGAGGACCTAATCTTCTCTCTGAGGCATGCCACGTGGCACATGCTTGCATCATGCAGATGATACTTGTCAGATGAGGAGGCATTGCAGGTTTGGAGGTACTGCCAGGGATGAGCGAATTGCTTGTCATCGGAGCCCTCTGTGGTGATCACAGGGGGCCGTGACAGAGCATCTAATCTTCTCTCTGAGGCGCGTGTGGCTTTATTTTTAGTCTTCCCCGTCTAGCGTCGCACACAAGAAGCTAGTCTTCTTGGTTTTGCGTCCGCATGCTCCCACGCGTGTCATTGCTTCTGCTGGCTGTGACCTCCACGTTAGAGTTCGATTCAATTGACATAGGCATCACCTTGGTTGTGTATGGCAGGGAGCGTATTCAGTTCCAGCCCTTGCTGGTGCATTCATCCCCCAACCCCATCCCCTGCCCGTTCCCAATCCCCACCGGCGTGTGTCTGTTCAGGCCTCCTCGCTGCTCACACGGGCCATTCGCTACATGATCTCCCACCAGTCAGATGCTGACACGTGGCAGGCCCAGTCTCTACTGCAGCAGATGCCAAGCTCCCAGCCCCTATTCTCCTCCGCCTCCACCACCCCTGCCACCGCCTCGCCTCTCGTACGAGCCCTTGGGCAACGCCGTGCAGCAGAAGCAGCGGAGGGTCGAACGGACAGGAGCAGACGCAGTCTGAAACTCAGCTTCGAGCTGGTGAGTGCGGCTTTGCCTTGCACACAGCATTTACTTGTGTTTTTCTTCGTTTTGGTTCATTAGTTGCTCATTGAAGTCTTCACCTCTTCCTCACATGGGCACGCTGGCTTCCCCCCTCTGCTCCCTTGTGCTGCTCTTCACCCTCTTTCCTGCCCCAGTGCCCGCTGGCAAACATTTCGTTCTGCCCGCCTTCACAAACGGATCTTCAGGACGGGAAAGTCCTGGTGAGTTCCGGTTCCCATCACGCCATGCTGTTGTATCTGTCGATCGCATCGCTGCTGCTTTTCATTACAGCGCCCTGATTTGTCGCCTCGCAGTACGACGCACTTTAATGCCGTGTGATGCACGGCTTGTGTTGTGATACGATGCGTTGCCTTGTGCTATGCCTGCCTGCCTGCATGCTGCATCAGGTGGTAGCAGTGTACAACCCACTGGCATGGGCTCGCAAGGAGATCGTCCGATTTCCTGTGAGCCGCCATCACCCTCCCTGGACCCTCTTCGCCCCTTGCCTCTCACACTGCTTCCATGCTTCTCACTTTTCCTCTCAGTCTCTCACCAGCTCTCTTCTGTTCTCGACCTCTCTTCTGTTTTCCTCTCCTTTCAACTCCCCTTGGCCCGTCTCTCTTCTCCTCATCTCTCCTTATCCCCTCTTGCGCTCTCCTTTCTCGCTCGCCTCCTCTTACCACGTTCTTCCTATTGCCCAGGTGTCAACTGCTGACGTGGAAGTTATGAATGCCAGCGGGGCAATCATCCCCTCCCAAGTCCTTCCAGACACCCTCCTCCTCCCCTCCACCCGTTCCTTCCTCATCCAAGCCTACGCCGGACCTGACGCCGAACCAAACGCCAGACCTGCCGCCGGAGCTAATGCCAAACCTGATGCCGGAGCTGGTGCCGAGCCTGGTGGTGCAGGCTTGGAGGCGCTGTCGCTGGTGTTCTGGGCAGATGCGCCTCCCCTAGGTGTCGCCTCGTACTTCGTGCTGTATAAATACCCTGAAAGCAGGGGGCAGGGGGACAGCGAGGAGGGGATGGGGCAGGAAGAAGTAGGAGAAGAGGGGGTGGAGCAGGAGGGTAGCATGGAGGGGAGTGTGGGTGAGGGCCAGAAGGAAGAGGTGAAGGTGATGCAAGAGGAGGTCGAAGAGGAGGAGGATGAGATAGTGATTGGCGGGTGGGTGGAGGGGGAGGAGGGAGAGGGCAGTAGCAGCAGCAGTGCGCTGACTCTCTCTTTCTCCAGGGCGCAAGGGGGCAGGATGACCCGTGCTGTGCTGCTGAAGCGGGGCGAGGGGCAAGCGGCAGGAGCAGCAGCGGCAGCAGCAGCAGCAGATGTGGGGGTGGAGTGGGCGTGGTACAATGCGAGTGACGGAAAGGCGAGCAGGGAGGCATCAGGGGCGTACATCTTCCGCCCCGTCTCCTCTGATCCTGTGCCCATCACCCCGACCAACGCCACTGCTGTATGCCCCCACCTGCCTCCTCCCTTGCTCTCTCCGCCCCTGCTCTCTGCCCCCAGTTCTCTCTCCCCATGCGCCCTGCCCCCTGCTCTCTCCCCATGCGCCCTGCCCCCTGCTCTCTCCCCATGCGCCCTGCCCCCTGCTCTCTCCCCATGCGCCCTGCCCCCTGCTCTCTCCCCATGCGCCCTGCCCCCTGCTCTCTCCCCATGCGCCCTGCCCCCTGCTCTCTCCCCATGCGCCCTGCCCCCTGCTCTCTCCCCATCCGCCCTGCCCCCTGCTCTCTCCCCATGCGCCCTGCCCCCTGCTCTCTCCCCATGCGCCCTGCCCCCTGCTCTCTCCCCATGCGCCCTGCCCCCTGCTCTCTCCCCATGCGCCCTGCCCCCTGCTCTCTCCCCATGCGCCCTGCCCCCTGCTCTCTCCCCATGCGCCCTGCCCCCTGCTCTCTCCCCATGCGCCCTGCCCCCTGCTCTCTCCCCATGCGCCCTGCCCCCTGCTCTCTCCCCATGCGCCCTGCCCCCTGCTCTCTCCCCATGCGCCCTGCCCCCTGCTCTCTCCCCATGCGCCCTGCCCCCTGCTCTCTCCCCATGCGCCCTGCCCCCTGCTCTCTCCCCATGCGCCCTGCCCCCTGCTCTCTCCCCATGCGCCCTGCCCCCTGCTCTCTCCCCATGCGCCCTGCCCCCTGCTCTCTCCCCATGCGCCCTGCCCCCTGCTCTCTCCCCATGCGCCCTGCCCCCTGCTCTCTCCCCATGCGCCCTGCCCCCTGCTCTCTCCCCATGCGCCCTGCCCCCTGCTCTCTCCCCATGCGCCCTGCCCCCTGCTCTCTCCCCATGCGCCCTGCCCCCTGCTCTCTCCCCATGCGCCCTGCCCCCTGCTCTCTCCCCATGCGCCCTGCCCCCTGCTCTCTCCCCATGCGCCCTGCCCCCTGCTCTCTCCCCATGCGCCCTGCCCCCTGCTCTCTCCCCATGCGCCCTGCCCCCTGCTCTCTCCCCATGCGCCCTGCCCCCTGCTCTCTCCCCATGCGCCCTGCCCCCTGCTCTCTCCCCATGCGCCCTGCCCCCTGCTCTCTCCCCATGCGCCCTGCCCCCTGCTCTCTCCCCATGCGCCCTGCCCCCTGCTCTCTCCCCATGCGCCCTGCCCCCTGCTCTCTCCCCATGCGCCCTGCCCCCTGCTCTCTCCCCATGCGCCCTGCCCCCTGCTCTCTCCCCATGCGCCCTGCCCCCTGCTCTCTCCCCATGCGCCCTGCCCCCTGCTCTCTCCCCATGCGCCCTGCCCCCTGCTCTCTCCCCATGCGCCCTGCCCCCTGCTCTCTCCCCATGCGCCCTGCCCCCTGCTCTCTCCCCATGCGCCCTGCCCCCTGCTCTCTCCCCATGCGCCCTGCCCCCTGCTCTCTCCCCATGCGCCCTGCCCCCTGCTCTCTCCCCATGCGCCCTGCCCCCTGCTCTCTCCCCATGCGCCCTGCCCCCTGCTCTCTCCCCATGCGCCCTGCCCCCTGCTCTCTCCCCATGCGCCCTGCCCCCTGCTCTCTCCCCATGCGCCCTGCCCCCTGCTCTCTCCCCATGCGCCCTGCCCCCTGCTCTCTCCCCATGCGCCCTGCCCCCTGATCTCTCCCCATGCGCCCTGCCCCCTGCTCTCTCCCCATGCGCCCTGCCCCCTGCTCTCTCCCCATGCGCCCTGCCCCCTGCTCTCTCCCCATGCGCCCTGCCCCCTGCTCTCTCCCCATGCGCCCTGCCCCTGCTCTCTCCCCATGCGCCCTGCCCCCTGCTCTCTCCCCATGCGCCCTGCCCCCTGCTCTCTCCCCATGCGCCCTGCCCCCTGCTCTCTCCCCATGCGCCCTGCCCCCTGCTCTCTCCCCATGCGCCCTGCCCCCTGCTCTCTCCCCATGCGCCCTGCCCCCTGCTCTCTCCCCATGCGCCCTGCCCCCTGCTCTCTCCCCATGCGCCCTGCCCCCTGCTCTCTCCCCATGCGCCCTGCCCCCTGCTCTCTCCCCATGCGCCCTGCCCCCTGCTCTCTCCCCATGCGCCCTGCCCCCTGCTCTCTCCCCATGCGCCCTGCCCCCTGCTCTCTCCCCATGCGCCCTGCCCCCTGCTCTCTCCCCATGCGCCCTGCCCCCTGCTCTCTCCCCATGCGCCCTGCCCCCTGCTCTCTCCCCATGCGCCCTGCCCCCTGCTCTCTCCCCATGCGCCCTGCCCCCTGCTCTCTCCCCATGCGCCCTGCCCCCTGCTCTCTCCCCATGCGCCCTGCCCCCTGCTCTCTCCCCATGCGCCCTGCCCCCTGCTCTCTCCCCATGCGCCCTGCCCCCTGCTCTCTCCCCATGCGCCCTGCCCCCTGCTCTCTCCCCATGCGCCCTGCCCCCTGCTCTCTCCCCATGCGCCCTGCCCCCTGCTCTCTCCCCATGCGCCCTGCCCCCTGCTCTCTCCCCATGCGCCCTGCCCCCTGCTCTCTCCCCATGCGCCCTGCCCCCTGCTCTCTCCCCATGCGCCCTGCCCCCTGCTCTCTCCCCATGCGCCCTGCCCCCTGCTCTCTCCCCATGCGCCCTGCCCCCTGCTCTCTCCCCATGCGCCCTGCCCCCTGCTCTCTCCCCATGCGCCCTGCCCCCTGCTCTCTCCCCATGCGCCCTGCCCCCTGCTCTCTCCCCATGCGCCCTGCCCCCTGCTCTCTCCCCATGCGCCCTGCCCCCTGCTCTCTCCCCATGCGCCCTGCCCCCTGCTCTCTCCCCATGCGCCCTGCCCCCTGCTCTCTCCCCATGCGCCCTGCCCCCTGCTCTCTCCCCATGCGCCCTGCCCCCTGCTCTCTCCCCATGCGCCCTGCCCCCTGCTCTCTCCCCATGCGCCCTGCCCCCTGCTCTCTCCCCATGCGCCCTGCCCCCTGCTCTCTCCCCATGCGCCCTGCCCCCTGCTCTCTCCCCATGCGCCCTGCCCCCTGCTCTCTCCCCATGCGCCCTGCCCCCTGCTCTCTCCCCATGCGCCCTGCCCCCTGCTCTCTCCCCATGCGCCCTGCCCCCTGCTCTCTCCCCATGCGCCCTGCCCCCTGCTCTCTCCCCATGCGCCCTGCCCCCTGCTCTCTCCCCATGCGCCCTGCCCCCTGCTCTCTCCCCATGCGCCCTGCCCCCTGCTCTCTCCCCATGCGCCCTGCCCCCTGCTCTCTCCCCATGCGCCCTGCCCCCTGCTCTCTCCCCATGCGCCCTGCCCCCTGCTCTCTCCCCATGCGCCCTGCCCCCTGCTCTCTCCCCATGCGCCCTGCCCCCTGCTCTCTCCCCATGCGCCCTGCCCCCTGCTCTCTCCCCATGCGCCCTGCCCCCTGCTCTCTCCCCATGCGCCCTGCCCCCTGCTCTCTCCCCATGCGCCCTGCCCCCTGCTCTCTCCCCATGCGCCCTGCCCCCTGCTCTCTCCCCATGCGCCCTGCCCCCTGCTCTCTCCCCATGCGCCCTGCCCCCTGCTCTCTCCCCATGCGCCCTGCCCCCTGCTCTCTCCCCATGCGCCCTGCCCCCTGCTCTCTCCCCATGCGCCCTGCCCCCTGCTCTCTCCCCATGCGCCCTGCCCCCTGCTCTCTCCCCATGCGCCCTGCCCCCTGCTCTCTCCCCATGCGCCCTGCCCCCTGCTCTCTCCCCATGCGCCCTGCCCCCTGCTCTCTCCCCATGCGCCCTGCCCCCTGCTCTCTCCCCATGCGCCCTGCCCCCTGCTCTCTCCCCATGCGCCCTGCCCCCTGCTCTCTCCCCATGCGCCCTGCCCCCTGCTCTCTCCCCATGCGCCCTGCCCCCTGCTCTCTCCCCATGCGCCCTGCCCCCTGCTCTCTCCCCATGCGCCCTGCCCCCTGCTCTCTCCCCATGCGCCCTGCCCCCTGCTCTCTCCCCATGCGCCCTGCCCCCTGCTCTCTCCCCATGCGCCCTGCCCCCTGCTCTCTCCCCATGCGCCCTGCCCCCTGCTCTCTCCCCATGCGCCCTGCCCCCTGCTCTCTCCCCATGCGCCCTGCCCCCTGCTCTCTCCCCATGCTCCCTGCCCCCTGCTCTCTCCCCATGCGCCCTGCCCCCTGCTCTCTCCCCATGCGCCCTGCCCCCTGCTCTCTCCCCATGCGCCCTGCCCCCTGCTCTCTCCCCATGCGCCCTGCCCCCTGCTCTCTCCCCATGCGCCCTGCCCCCTGCTCTCTCCCCATGCGCCCTGCCCCCTGCTCTCTCCCCATGCGCCCTGCCCCCTGCTCTCTCCCCATGCGCCCTGCCCCCTGCTCTCTCCCCATGCGCCCTGCCCCCTGCTCTCTCCCCATGCGCCCTGCCCCCTGCTCTCTCCCCATGCGCCCTGCCCCCTGCTCTCTCCCCATGCGCCCTGCCCCCTGCTCTCTCCCCATGCTCCCTGCCCCCTGCTCTCTCCCCATGCGCCCTGCCCCCTGCTCTCTCCCCATGCGCCCTGCCCCCTGCTCTCTCCCCATGCGCCCTGCCCCCTGCTCTCTCCCCATGCTCCCTGCCCCCTGCTCTCTCCCCATGCGCCCTGCCCCCTGCTCTCTCCCCATGCGCCCTGCCCCCTGCTCTCTCCCCATGCGCCCTGCCCCCTGCTCTCTCCCCATGCGCCCTGCCCCCTGCTCTCTCCCCATGCTCCCTGCCCCCTGCTCTCTCCCCATGCTCCCTGCCCCCTGCTCTCTCCCCATGCTCCCTGCCCCCTGCTCTCTCCCCATGCTCCCTGCCCCCTGCTCTCTCCCCATGCTCCCTGCCCCCTGCTCTCTCCCCATGCTCCCTGCCCCCTGCTCTCTCCCCATGCTCCCTGCCCCCTGCTCTCTCCCCATGCTCCCTGCCCCCTGCTCTCTCCCCATGCTCCCTGCCCCCTGCTCTCTCCCCATGCTCCCTGCCCCCTGCTCTCTCCCCATGCTCTCTTCCCATTTCTCTCCGCCACCCCTCTCCCCTCATCTCACTTCTCGCACCTCAATTTTTTCCCAGCCCAGAGCCCACACCATGTATCTCTTATCCTGCACTCTCCGCCCCTCGCCTCTCCCCCTCCCTAGGCGTCTGTGCGGGTGGTGCGAGGGGCACTGGTGGACGAGGTGCATCGCCAGGTGGCGCCCTGGATCCACGAGGTGAGGTGGAAAGGTGACTTTTGAGTCCTGGGTGACTTTTGAGTCCTGGGTGACTTTTGAGTCCTGGGTGACTTTTGAGTCCTGGGTGACTTTTGAAAAGTCACCCAGGTGGCGCCCTGGACTCACGAGGTGAGGTGGAAAGGGTGGGAGGATGGGGGAAGGAGGAGGGGTGGGTGGGGAGGGGAGTTTTCGTGGGGGGGAGAAGGGGGGGGAGAGGGGGAGAGAGGGGGGAGGGTGGGGGGAAAGGTATCGTGGGGGGAGAACGGGGCGGAGAGGGGGAGAGAGGGGGGGGTGGGGGGAGGGTGATGTTGGGGGGGTTGGGGGGGGGGGGGGGGGGGTTGGGGTGGGAGGGGAGGGAGCGGTTTTGCTTCTGAGGCGCCTCGAAAGCAGGTGGATCCTTGGATCAAGGAGGTAAAGGGAGGGGGTTTCCATGGTGCTGCTCAGGGAGCTGATGACATCCTTGTAATCAGACATTCGCTCCAGACGCACATACTCACGCCATGCCAGCGTTCCAATAAACCCCTCTGTCTAGATCAGCTGCTTCAACCACTTCTTCCTTGCTTCGCCCATCCTACTCCTCCGTTCCTCGCCATCCCTCTCCTTTTCTTTCTATCCCTCCTTCCCAAATCCCTCTTCCTGCTATTCATGCTGCTCTCCTCTCCCCTTCCCCCTTTTGGCCTGCCATCTGTGTGTGTCAGATCGTGAGAGTGTACAAGAACACCAACTATGCTGAATTGGAGTATGCGGTGAGTGCCTTGGGTGCTGCGAATGATTTGAGTGGCGAGGGTGCTGGTTGTACCCTGAGTGCCTTGAGTGCTGTGAGCGCAGGGATCAATGTTCATCGTGGAGTAGCTGCAAACCTGTGAAAAACTCTTAAGCAATAGGATCAAGACTGTGAAACTGATTTCCAGAAAATTCAAGAAAATCTCAAGATTTGAGTGGCGAGGATGCTGGTTGTACCCTGAGTGCCTTGAGTGCTGTGAGCGCTGAGAGAACATGTACATGTTGTGATACATTGGGACATAATTCTGCTTTGGTTGCACTCTCAAACAGATACCCTTTGAGGCCCACATCCATTCCCCTCCGCCCCTGTTTGCCATCATCCTCGCACTCTCTCATCTCATGCCCGTGTGCCTTCCACTACCCCCGCTCATCACAGGCGGGCCCAGTGCCCATGGACGATGGCTTCGGCAAGGAGGTGGTGCTGCACCTCCCTCCTCCCTCAGCAACAACAGCAACACCTTCGTCCTCACTCCTTCTGGTCCCTCCCTTGTCCGTATGCCTTTCCCCATTCCCGCTCATCACAGGTGGGCGTAGTGCCCATAGACGACAGCTTCGGCAAGGAGGTGGTGCTGCACGTTTCCCCCTCCCTAAGCAGCAAGCCAAAGCCTTCTTAAACCCTCTCATCTCCTGCCTGCTTGCCTCTCCCTCTTATGCTCATCACAGGTGGGCCCAGTACCCATAGAGGATGGATTCGGCAAGGAGGTGGTGGTGCGCCTCTCCTCCTCCCTCGCCAGCAACGCCACCTTTTACACCGACTCCAACGGCCGAGATTTCATCCAGCGCACACGCAACTTCCGCCCCGATTGGAACCTTACTGTCACCGAGCCTGCTGCTGGCAACTACTATTCCGTGAGTGGAGTGCGGTGTGTTGGTTGCATTCCTGAGTGCTGATTTCATCCAGCGCACACGCAACTTCCGGCTTGACTGGAACCTCACGGAGCCTGCTACCACCACTCGCCCCCATGCTACCACTTGCCCAAACGACTACCCGGTGGGTGGAGTGCGGTGTACTGGTTGCATCTCACGGGTGAAGCCACTGTGCTGAGTGCTTGCCTTTCCAGCTTTGCCGGTGTGCCTGGCTCCAATGCTGACCTCCCGCCACACTTTTCAGGGAACTTCCAGCAGTGCTTTGACAACCTTCCCTCCTCTCCTTCCCTTTCTGCTTCCTCCCTCTCCCACCCCGTTCTACCTCCTCCCACCCTCTCCTGCCACTACCCTCCCCCTTCCCCACCAGCTGAACGCAGGCATGTACCTGCACGATAACAACACGGACTTCTCCGTACTTGTTGATCGACCCAGCGGCGCCTCCAGCCTCACAGCGGGCAGGTGGAGGTGATGTTGCACGACGACCACCGCGGCTCTCTGAGTGCCTTGGGACCGACTGACCCACAGTGCCTCAACAACCTGACCCCTCCCACCCCCCGTTCTGTTCCTCCCTCTCCCCCTTCCCACCCCCTCCCACCACCACTCCCCTCCCACCCCACGCCACCAGCTGAACGCGGGAATCTATCTGCACGACAACAACACGGACTTCTCAGTGCTGGTGGACCGACCCAGCGGCGCGTCCAGCCTGGGGAACGGGCAGGTGGAGGTGATGCTGCACCGCCGCCTGCTGCACGACGACCACCGCGGCCCCCTCAGTGCCTGGGGACCGACTGACCCACAGTGTCTCAACAACCCACCCCCTCCCACCACCACTCTCCCCCCCACCCCCCCCGACCCTGTCCCCACCAGCTGAACGCGGGAATTTATCTGCACGACAACAACACGGACTTCTCAGTGCTGGTGGACCGACCCAGCGGCGCGTCCAGCCTGGCGGACGGGCAGGTGGAGGTGATGCTGCACTGCCGCCTGCTGCACGATGACCACCGCGGCCCTCTCAGTGCCCGTGGACCGACTGACCTACAGGGTCTCAACAACCTGACCCCTCCCACCCCCCGTTCTGTTCCTCCCTCTCCCCCTTCCCACCCTCTCCCGCCACCACTCTCCCCCCCACCCCACGCCACCAGCTGAACTCAGGCATTTATCTGCATGACAACAGTACAGACTTCTCGGTCCTTGTCGACCGACCCAGCGGTGCATCGAGCCTGGTGGACGGGCAGGTGGAGGTGATGCTGCACCGCCGCCTGCTGCACGACGACCACCGCGGCGTGGCAGAGCCCCTCAACGAGCGCGTGTGTGTGGGCGGCCAGGAGGGCGCACAGGAGGGGCAGCAGCTGCAGCCGCCAACCTGCATGGGCCTGGTGGTCACTGGGACTCTGCGCTTTGGGCTGCACCCGCATGGGTGGAGCGAGGGGGGTGTGGTGGGAGTGGGAGCGGTGGAAGGGAGTGGAGAGGGGTTGGCAGGAGGGAAGGGGGAGGGGGAGGGAGTTGAGGCGGCTGCGGAGTGGCGGCGTTGGAACATTCAGCGGATATTCTCTCCATTGCAAGTGGCGTTTGCCGTTGAGGTGGGTGGATTGGGGGGAGTGTGCATGGGGCAGTGCGGGTGGAGTGTGGGCACATGGGGGCTTGTGGGTTGGGCAATGGGTGTTGTGACATGGGACATGGGCCACGGGTCATGTATGGCATGCTGCACATCTTTTTGGCATCTCTCTGCATTCACACAACCCACCCCCCTGCCAACCCCCGCCCCCCCCCCCCCCCCCCCCCCCTCCCCCCCCCGTCGCCTGCTTTCCATTGTTCATCGTGTAAAGAGCTTTTGTGGTTTGAGATGCCTGACACCCGCTTGACAGTTCTTCCTTTGATTGTTGACTGGTGTCTGTGTGTGTGGCTTGCTTCTTGTTGGTGGGGTTGACTGGCATTGACTGCCTGGATGGGGCATGGTGGGGGCATGAATTGGGGCGTGAATGGGGTCTGGATGGGGGCGTGAATGGGGTCTGGATGGGGGCATAAATGGGGTCTGGATGGGGGCATGAATGGGGTCTGGATGGGGGCATGAATGGGGTCTGGATGGGGGCGTGAATGGGGTCTGGATGGGGGCATGAATGGGGTCTGGATGGGGGCATAAATGGGGTCTGGATGGGGGCATGAATGGGGTCTGGATGGGGGCATGAATGGGGTTGACTGAGGTGGTTTGGCACTGATGGGTCATAATGCTGGTTGACTGGGCATGAATGGGCTTAATGCGGTTGACTGGTGCAGAATGAGGATGACCTGGCAGCGGAGGGTGGACTGTACACGTGGCAGTTCTCTGGCACCCGGAAGAGCAAGTCTGAGGAGTCAACAGATTCAATGCTGTCAATGCCGCTTGGAAGAGGAGGGAGACGGGCGATGAAGGAGACTAGCAGCATTGGGGAGGGTAGGAGAGCGGAAGAAGAGTTGGAGGTGGAGGAGGAGGAGGGTTATGAGGACAACGAAGAGGAGGAGGAAGAGGAGGAGGAGGATGATGCAGAGGAAATGGATGGGGTTCAGGAGAGTGGGGAGAGGGCGAGCAAGGAGGGTGCGTATGAGCTTCCGAAGAACATTGCAATGATCACACTCGAGGTACCACCAGGCCCGTTCAGGCCCCCTTCCCATTCAGCCCCTGTGTCATGATGGTCTTTCAGTCACGCAGGCAATGTTTCGCAGATCATTGTGGTACGTGCGGGGGCACCCCCTGACAGTGCCAAATGTCCTTCTGCACCACTCGCACATGCTCCATCTCTCTCTCTCTCTCTCTCTCTCTCTCTCTCTCTCTCTCTCTCTCTCTCTCTCTCTCTCTCTCTCTCTCTCTCTCTCTCTCTCCTCTCTCTCCGCTGCTGCAGGAGGTGCATGAGTACAAGGTGCTGCTGCGACTCGCCCATCTCTATCAAGTACGCCCCATCCGCCCCTCCACTGCCCTCCCAGTGCTAAACCCCACTTGGTCCAACCCGCACTTGGTCCAACCCCCACTTGGTCCAACCCGCACTTGGTCCAACCCCCACTTGGTCCAACCCCCACTTGGTCCAACCCCCGCTTGGTATAACCTCCGCTTGGTCCAACCCCCGCTTGGTCCAACCCCCACTTGGTCCAACCCCCGCTTGGTCCAACCCCCACTTGGTCCAACCCCCACTTGGTCCAACCCCCGCTTGGTCTAACCTCCACTGTATCACCAGTTGTCTGCTAGTTGTCCCTCATCCTTCTCACCCGACACCCTTTACGTCAACCATCGGCCATCCTCGCTATCTTGCCTGTCCTGGCATCTCTTGACCCTGTTTTGGCTTGCTCCTTCACAGGCTGAGGAGGATCCTATTCTCTCGCAGCCTGCTCGTGTGGACCTTGACAGACTCTTTGCACACCAAGAGGTGAGGCACAGTTTCCTGTGTTCGCAAATATTTGATGTCTTCTTTTCGTTGCATTCTTAAAGTCCATTGCTGCTCTTGGCAGATTGAGAAGGTAACTGAGCTCAGCCTGATGGCCAATCAGAAGCTCTCAAAGATGCGGCCACCAATGAAATGGAGGACCGAGGAGGAAGTGGAGTCCATGGATGGGGTTCATGGAGTTGGTCAGAGGGATGCATTTGACTCCTCAGACGGGCCATTCATTGTGGAGCTTGGACCAATGGAGATCCGCACTTTTGCAGTTCACTTTGATGATTAATTTGAGAAGTGTTGATCTTGATGTTTACTGCTGCTTGTGTACATACATGTGGCCGATGGTCACGGGCATAGTGACCAGTAGGTTGCTCCTGGGTTTTCATACCTGGTGGAATATGATTTAAATTTGACGATTTAAGCTGGCAATAATACAGTGCATATGGGTACGTACATAACAGGATACCCGTTATGACTCATCACCACTGAAGAGCCCAGTATCCAGCGCAAACAGTACCCGAGGGTTCCTCACAGCTGAACTGTCACCCCGTCACCAGCTGACGAACTCAATATTCGTTTCGCAACCAATCGTAGCCCACGTTGTGTCGCGAAATATCCCCTTTCTGATTGGGCAACGGGCAGGATGCCGTAATTAACCAATCAGCAACCGTCTCCACCGACGGAAACGATCAAAACACCGTCAGCAGCACCTCGCTTTTCCCCTTCTCTTCGCATCCCCCCACCAACTCCTCCCACCATCATAACTTTCCCGAGCTCCCAGCTGTCGCCCCACACCAGCACCAGCTGTCTTTCAACATCCAATTGTTGCGGCTGACATTTCTCGAAAAACCTAGACTAGCGTGTTGATTGTAGCTGAGGAGTTTACGAGCCTGTGCAAAGGACGTCGCCCGGTGTCACATTTTGTTCGGAGATTAGACCGAGCGGGTACCTTGCGTTGTTCGACGGTTTGCGCTTCTGGTATTGTTTTCTTTCTGCGCTATACACATCTACGCCCTACAATCTTGGATTTTCACGGTAGTCTTGGAACCTTTCGACTTCAGAGTTCATGGCGGACCAAGAATTGTCTATGGCAGAGCAGGTACTTGATTCGTTTCCAAATTGGGCGACTGCCGATTGTAAGCTCACTAATTGTGTTCCAAAACAACTCTTACGATGTATTATGCTATCTTCGAATGTTTGTTTGGATGATAATTCTTCCTTTTTCCCACGTTTCTTAACCTTCTTTCGGTCCACCACCCATTTACCCCCGCGTGCTTGCTCTACAATGGTCCTCCTTCCACACTCCCTCACGTGCACAGGAGGCGCGCTTGAAGAAGAAATATGGCGGTGCCCTTCCGAAGAAAAAGGGGCTTCTTTCGAAGGTAATGCAATCACCTGTGTCAACTCTTTGCCTTATCTCCGGTGCTCGCTGTCCTTTAGTCTCACGCTCTTTTTCCTCCCTCTTACGCCTGTGATATACGATGATGGGTGTTCGTTGCCTGCAGGGTCACGAAAGAGCTTTCTTTGACTCGGCCGAGTGGGCAATTCAAAAGGTCAGATACCTTCTCCCTTCATATCTGAACCCCCCTGGAGCAGAAAAGACGTTTTAAAGACTGCTTCAACTCCCAGAAATACCATGGTCCTTCGGTTTTGCTCATTGTCTCCACGAATTCTCTGTTTTTGTGCTTCTCCTTGACCCTAGCACTGATGAAGAATTGTTCCACATGTGGCCAATTGTCTTATTGCAGCAAAAGGGCGGCGAAGTTAAGCCTCCAGCAGCCAATGAGGGGGGTCTACAGCCAAAGCTAGAGGTGAGTTGCCACTTAAAGCTCTGAAGCACTAAATGGCTCTTGACCTGGTCAACATCTCCTAAAACCATTGTCTCTCATTCGTCTTCTTTGTCTGATCAGCTGCTATTCCCCTCCTTAAGACATGCATGCAAACCAGCATGTTCAGTATGTCCGTCAGGTACTTCTCTGGATCGTCACCCGCCCTTCCCCTTCCCCTACCACTGCCCCTCTCACTGCTTTGTTATCTCAGCCTACCCCGCATCAACCATTCCCAGCGAGGAGGTCGTCACTATCAGAGCCTGATCAATGAAGCCGGTTATGATACAGGTATCTGGTTGTGGTTGTGAGCCGGTTATCTGGTTATAGATGGGTCGGTCGCAATAAAGCCAATGAAGCACTCTTCAGCTGCTGCGTTATGCTGTGAAGGTGGTTTTATCACTACTGACATGTTCCCCTGTAATTGCAGTTACTACCAGAAGGCTCGTTGAAAGCATGTGCGGGCTGTTACCCTGACATGTTTGGTTACTCTCTCTAGCACGTAGTTTCAACCTACTAAAACTCACAGCTTTTCCAGTAGTGTCTCTGAAATGAATGCCCTGACCGACTGTAATGTAAAAGCAGCACATTTTTAATTGTTTTCATGATCAGATAAACTGTGTAATGCATACATACATACCGTTGTATCTGATCGTTCTTTTGTGACCAATTCCGCGTCGCTCAGTTTGATGGTCCGCACTTCGCGGCACTGAACCAAAAAGCCATAAACGTTCATATCGCAGTCGCTCTTTGCCAGGGCGCCTTCACAAATATTCGGACCGCACGCGAAAGTACATGGCTCGAATTTGTTGTCGTCACACAGGATGCGAAGTCCCGTTGGCGAGTACGAACGTTGAGAGTGGCTGACGACCCTAGTATCACTTTCGAACGAATCGCGCATGCTTTCGCGCATTCGCTGTCTCAATTGTTGGTGGATGCTTGGACCACATCAATTGCACAATCAGTGCCGCCAACTCAATGCCTCGAACAATCAAAATGCCCATTTCCTTATGCACCAAAGTTGATCATCGCTTTCCAAAGGTTCAAGTTTATCTCCAGTCCTGGACCTGCATCCTGGAATTAGAGTCGAACTAGAGAAACTTAGGCACCACGTGTTTTACGCGCTCATAGCAGTCATGTCTCGGCAGCTTTTCCTCCTGTTAGTAGCTCTATTTCTTCTCATCATATGTGCCTCTGCTGAGATGAAACCGCGAGAAGACTTAGTGGGCAGTCCACCGAAAGCGTCCACTCGTTCCGGAAGACCGAGTAACGTTACGTCTCCGACAAAGCCCAAGTCTGTAGCAAAATCCCCGCCAAAATCCAATAGCGGCGCAGTCTCTCCGCGAAAACCAGGAGGTAGTGTGGGCGGTGGAGGGGGCTCTGGGGGCGGCACAGGGGCGCGAAAAGGCCCACCGCCGGTTTCTGCGCCAGGGGCGGGTAAGGGAGGAGCGGGAGGGACGAAAAGTGGAGGCGGAGGCGGAGGAAGTGGCGGAGATGTGCGGCCACCTGGGGGGAAAAAGCGCAACTCGACCAGCGGTGCCAAGCCGAAGACGAACAGCGACGATACGCCCCCAGACGCGCCGCCAGACGATGGTTCGAATAGTGGTACGTTAGAGTCTAGTAGCGACGGCACGGACCCAACAGTGGATTTTATTCGAGTTGCTGTCGCCGCGTGCCACTCTCCATCTTCCGTGTCATCAATCGGGTTGATCCATCCCAGGCACCTGCTTCATATTCCCACCTTGCGTATACTGTCCTCGCCTGTGCTCTGGCAGACACTGGCCGGGTCGCCGTGTTCAGGAACGCGACGCTGCTCTTCCCCGTCAACGCGGCGGCTTTCGCCATGTCCATCGCCACATTCAGAAGCGAACAGGTATGTCGTCATGCTTTCGTCAACAGGCAAAACTTTTGAGAATTGTCTGCGCACTCTTTTTGAATGACCATGCGCGTCTATGCGCTCATGAGTATGCATTCATCAACGTTAATAACGGTTAACAATCATGAAAACAACGCTGAACGAAACGGGGAAGACAGCAGCTAGATCCGCAGGGCTGCGTGAGAGCGGCGCTGGTTCACGCCTCTTGTTCCACTGACCACAAACCTGGTAGCAGTCAACAAACCATCTAGTAGATGCAGCATGCTTTACAGACAGCACAGGGTGGATTCATCTTGCTACACTGAATGACAAAAAGTTTGTGACGTAACCAGCTGCCCAACCAAGCTAGTGAATGAGTAACACCGAGCTCCGAGTTCGACCAGCACGGAGATGGCTTCTGGAAGAACACCACCTCTTTCGTGATCGTTTTTCCAATCCCATCGCTTATGCGCAGGTGGCGCGGATGTTCACGTACCACGCAATTAGGGGCGCGTACAAGGCGTGGCAGCTGAAAGCGTTGCCCATCAACACGCGCCTGCCCACCATGGAAGGCTCGTTCGTCACCAAAGTGTCCAAAGTCAATTCGTCCAAGCTCGCGTTCAAGGGGAAGGGCGACATACCCGTTAGAGTGGTACTACCAGACATGTACGAGGGCGAAGACATGTACATTCATGGCACAGACTCCGTGCTAGTACCGCCCTCCGTCTGAATGAAGTTATGCATAATCAGGTGCTGTTTTAGCCTTGCAGCAGGATCTGGGGAATGTGGGCACTGTGTGCTGCATCCCCGGCATACTCACTCCAGGATTATGCAGAGCCACAACAAAAGCCGAAACCCAAGTCAAGGCTCAATGGCCTCCCTTTGGCCCCGTTTACTTTCCTCGTTATTAATGTTAATATGATCTGAAATCCGCTCGCCAGGTCCTTCTGCAAAGCCTCATATTAGTTGTACCGTATGTAGAGTAGTAAAGATGTTGCTGGTGTTTTTACACGCGTCACAATAACTGTACAGAGGACCATCACCACTTGTAGGATGTTGGGTTCGGTTGGGAGTCACTCGCTTTTCAACGACGTTCGCGACAAGCTTGATCTGCTCTGCACGAACAGATGCCGAACACGGTCACACGGAGCACCACCTCGTTTCTTCAGTCACGGCTAGTTTCGTAAATCAAGCAGTTTCGCAGACCCAGAAAAAGTTGGCAGACCAACAGTGAGGACGTGTCTCGTTAGAACTTCACTGTGCCCGGATTTGACTCTCAAAGAATGCTGAGGTCGCTCTCGTCTCGATTCCAAGCATTTTGTCGCCTTTTTGCGATTTGGTGTCCCGATCACATGGTGCTTTGCAGCGTCAGCACTTCCAGGTCCAATCGCGAGAAGTGACAGCAGTCCCAACGAATGGCGCTTCGCCGACATCACAGCTGTGAGCCAGTTTGGGGTTTGGAAGGGGTGGGCCTCGCACAAAATTTGTGCCGAATCGCATCGCATCGTTGGTGATCCCACGTGAAGCTTTGTGCCAGCACTACAGAAGCCAATCAGCACCAACAGCATTCCCTGAAGGTTGGCGCTTTTCGCCATCAAAGGTCACTCTCCCTTCCCCCCACCACATCCCCGAAACACAATCTTTGCTGCGGTGCGGTAAACCCGATGGACGAGTTACACGTTTTTACTCGGTTTACTAGCTTAGAGCTCGGTTCGAGAATCCGTGAGGCCGTCAGTTTCAGCGCCGTTATCCCATAATTTGTGGCAAAGGAGGACCACCCCTATCTAATCGTCCTTCCTATCCCTCTCCATCCTTTCCATTCCCGCCACCCATCCCCTTACCTGTCCATCCATCACTCCAACGCATACACCTGTAAGCCCCATAGATCAGGCTCTTGCTCTCATTTCCTGACTACCCTCAAAGACCTTCAGTATCCACTTCGTCCTAGTTCTTATTCAAAGAACATGTGTTACTTCGATTACACTCAAAAGCAGCGGACAATCTTCGAGAACCACCTTCCTTCAACATCAGTGCAGGCTTCCAGCGATTTCAGAAGATGCAGCAACTGCAGCTCGGGAAATTTCGCAGAGACGATCAACCAGTCAAGAGGGAGCCATGACTCGTTGAACACGGGAGTCTTTGGTCAGCTCCGCACCACACCTTCATTGAACTCTCTCGACAGCAGCGATGAAAAAGATTGTTACACCGCGAGCTTCGATCACGATTTCGACGAGTGTTACCTCGAGGATGAGCTTTTCGACTCCCCAGCTTCCAGAGGCCTTGCTACTTCGCGGTCGATATTTGGCGACGACCTCTGCGCGAGCTGCTCCTGGAGGGTTGCTGACATGGCTTGCGATCCCGTTTGGGTTGACGACGCGCGGTTGCGAATCAAGGGAGCGGTTTTGGCGGTTGTCGAGGCGCAGCAGGCTGCAGAGGAGCTGAGCGCGCGGGCAGACTCGGCGCATTACGAATCTGAGCGGCCGGCTTCTTACTCCGCCAACGCCTCCCTCCGTTTCAGCCGCTGCGAGCCGTCCCCAGCAGTCACGACAACTCAGAACGCCGCAGAAGCTCCTACGCCTCGGGGAAAGACCCGCAGCTCATGGTTCTCAGTGGGCCGATCTAGTGTTTCTGAGCAGCGCGAAGCAGATCGAAGCAGCACGGCGGAACAGGTTCATAGCACGCGGCGGCTGCCTCAGATCCGTAAGGTGAACAGCGAGCTTCGCATTTGCGTCGGGACCATGGCGAAGTTGTGGAGCCGTAACCCGGCAAGCTAACCGTTCATGCTGCTGGGCCCCTTCTGCCCGCACGGCAAGCATACTCTTGGTTCATGCGCCCAATTACATGTTGTAACTGCGATTTTTTCATTCCGGATAATGCCAGATTTTTTTGGTGGTTGTGGACTAGACGGATTAGATGTAACGTTCGTATTGAATAAGAATACAGAATTAATGCATAATAATATATGGGATCCAATTTCAGTGTACGCTAAAACTCAATTTCGTGTAACAACGCAACCAGCATCCTGAGTTTTTTATCTCTTTCGCCCAGCGAGCGACAGCTTTCCTCCACAATTCCAGTTCCAGCCAATCCCCAATGAATGCTGCCGTGGATGCTCGCACCACATCGTATACGTACAGCTGATGCTCACACCCTGCACGCGAATTTGCCCTGCGCCGGGCGGAAACCTTGCACCCGTGGTTTTTGTACCAGCCAGTTGCACCCACGTTATATGCACGCCGAGCAAGTTGCAGTGATATTAACCAATACGAACCACAGAAACTGAAGTTTGACCGAAGAGCCTGAAGTCAAAATGTTACAAATTTTCACATGAGCCCTTATAAGCACCTGACGAATCCATATTTGCTAGCTGCGAACTGGCGAAATTTTTGAAATCATTTACAAGCCCTCTTCACAAGGCAACCTTGGGTTAGTCAAACGAGCATCATGTGTATTCTGATGCTTCGCGTCGCGCTGCATCCCTCCTCAGCTGTTCCCATCCATTCAATCGTTGGATCACGGTGACCACACAACCAACCACCCGATCTGCTTCCGTTCCGTGTCAAGCTCACTTTCCCGCCCTCATCCGCCCACACAACCACCCAGCCTCACAGTCACCCACCACGAGAAATGCAGGTCACGCATGAAGTGGAAAAAATAGCACGGGCTGGGATGAAAGCAGTGACTCCTCTGTGTGGAGAGGAGGGAGGTCGCCACGATGATGTCACGGCCGGTGGCAGTGAATAACGTCGTGACAGAGCTCGTTGACGGCTAGTCAGGGTGGGGGCTTGTTTGAAGGGATATTATACAGGCAGTCACAATTTTCCCCGTTTTATCACGTTTGGTCACAGGGGTATCACAAACAGTCACAGTACAGTAGATTTCTATCGCGGGTGATCACAGTGCTATCACGGATGGTCACACCTCGCCCCGAAAAGCTATCACGTTTGGTCACTCGATGAAACGTTCATACTTAATTTGAAACCACAAAATATACTGTAGATATTTTGGGGAATCCCAATTTTTTATTGCTTATTACCCCGCGCATGATTCTAGCCTGACATTTAGGGGACTGAAGAAAAAAAATAAACCCCTATAGGATGGCACGTCCTTCGGGAGGCATCAACCCTAAACACCATGCGGCAAGGTGTTTAGGGTTGATGCATCCCGAATTAGATCCCATCCGAATGGGTTTTAGTTTTTTTTTTTGTGTTGGGTACCGAAATCGAGCGTCGAGTTTTACCCGTGTTAAAGCGATATTCTTAGGTTCATTATGCATCAATCGAACACTGGACAACCGAATAGTTAGCATGAATTGCTGAGTTTTTAAACGAGTTACCGAGAGTTGTCGCGAATCAATTTCGTCATACTACGGACAAAACCGCGCGCGCGAGAGAACTTTCCTTTTTAGGGTTCGTTTCAACCAGTGACCAAACGTGATAAGTATGCGGGGCGAGGTGTGACCAAGCGTGATAGCGCTGTGATCACGCGCGATAGCAATGTACTGTACTGTGACTGTCCGTGATACCCTCGTGACCAAACGTGATAAAACGGGATTAACTGTGACTGCTCATATAATTTCCCTTGTTTGAATGGTGGAGAGTGACTGAATGGCTGCCGAGTTGAAAAGCCAGAGAGGAGTCCCCCTCCCCTAGTCCAGTCTAGAAATGCAGCTCAGCAATGCTCGTCCAGAGCAGTGCATGCGCGTCATGTGATTCGAGTCAGCGGCACAAGCTTTTATGATGTTTGCGGCACATTGTGCGGACCTGGCTACTCCTCCGAGTACAGATCGTAATGAGCGAACCTTGCTTGAAGAAGAAAAGGATTTCCCAGATTCGTCAGTGACGAATGCCCGGCTCTGGCTGTCCAGGCACCTCGTCAACGCCGTGGCCGAATCACTTCCAGTGAGGCGATGGGCCGATGGACTCTTGCGTAGAGGTGGCCAGAATCAGATCCTTCACTTTCAGTGGTGGCCTCACCAGCCGCCGTAGGTGCACTGATTGCGTCATCCAATCACGTCGCGGAAATGGATGTGCGGACGCAATGGCGTGAGGCTTGTTGTAATGCAAGCGCGGTTGTTGAATTTCGTGAAAGTGAAAATGGGCTCGACTCACTCTCGCACTCACTGTCGTCTCGCTCAGTGCGTAGTCCTAAAACTCAACGACGCCGTCATTCATATTAGTGACCTCGATCTCTCATGCTCGCAAGACAGCTAAGGAATAATCAGCATGGCAGAAATCACGCGCATGAAGCAGCATTCCACGAATTCCGTGCTACTCACTTCACGCCCTGATACTCGGTCCGACAGCCGCCATGACAGCAGTTTCCGTCATCCTGACAGTTGCGACGCGGCGGAGGGCCTCAAGTCCCGGAGAAGCTTCGAGACTTCCAAGCTACCCCCTCGCAACCCCGCCTTTCCAGGTCGAAACGCGGATCGGCCGTGCTTGAGACGCCTCCCTTCCACGCCCCAGGTCTCAAGCGACTTTGATCTTAACGGTTGGATCCGCCTAGCTCAGCGCCTAGAGGAGGACGCCGCACACTCCACCTCGCAAGATCTCCTGCCAGAGGAGGGGGACTCGGACTCAACAACGTCCCCTGTTGTCGCTCACCATCTTGCTTCTCACCGTTCATGCTCCTCCTCGTCCCTTGGAGATTCACGGAGCAGCAGAGGCAATCATGGGTGCGTGTCTCTGCGCTCAAGCCACTCGGAAACCTTTGCTGAAGACCGTGTTA